TTGGTTGCTCCCCTGCGTGGATTGCTAGATGTTGCAGCCAAGGCCGCCGGAGGCTCGAAGAAGACAGCCCTGGCGAAGATTAAGTTGGCTGCCATAGGTTGGGCAGCCGTGCACGACGAGTGTTTTGCCGCTGTTAAAATGACGCTTCAGCACATGGTGACGCTGTCGCATCCGTCGTCGGAGAAGGTCATCAGTTTGTACACAGATGCAAGCGAAACGCACTGGGGCGCACCCAGATTCCACCTGAAGACCTGGGTCTGCCCGTGGATGAGCAGCGGCATGAGCCGCTGGCGTTTTTGAGTGGCTCTTTGGAGGTGCCAGCGCCCGATGGCCAACGACGGAGAAGGAAGCGTTTGCGATCATGGAGTCGTGCAAACGGCTCGTGTACCTCCTGCTGCGGCTGCAGAGATTCCGACTGTTTACGGATCATCGGAATCTGTTGTACATCTTCAACCCGTTGGGCTACAACTCCAACATGGCGCGTTACCAAGCCCACAAGTTGCAGCGGTGGGCCATGTCATGACGACGTTCCCGTACACCCTCGAGCACGTAGCCGGGGATGCCAACGTCTGGGCAGATTTGCTGAGCCGCTGGGGAGCGGCCCCTCTGCCTGCGCAAGTTGCGCGAGTGCGACAACTGGTGGTGGTTTCGCCTCTACAAGCGAAGGATTTTGAATGGCCGACAGCAGCGAAGATCTTGGCGCTACAGCGTGGCGCGATGGAAGAATTGGGGGAAGAACACCCGACTATGACCTGGAGTGAAGAGAGCGGTCTCTACATGACGACCGCCTACTAGATTTGGGACCCTGACAAGGCAGTGGACTTGCAGCAGAAAATCTGTATCATTGCCCATCAAGGTGCCGCTGGATACCGCGGCGTGGACGTTACGCAGAAGGGCGTACTAGATCGGTTCGATTGGGCGACAGCCAAGGAAGACATCAAGGCCTTCGTCGGTGGCTGTTTGCATTGCCTCTGTGTGGACGGAGTCGTGGTTCCGCGTCCATGGGGCGCGGCATTGCATGCGGAACGCCATAACGAGCTGATATACTTCGACTGGCTGCAGCTGCCTCCAGCCTCGAACGGCTGGAAATACGTGCTTGTCGTGAAGGACGACATGAGCGGGTTTTGTCGCTTGTTTCCCTCGGCTACAGCGGACGCCGAGAGTACAGCCAACCCTTTGATGGACTGGTTTGCCACACGGCACGGCTCTGACATGGGTGTCAGATGGCGGCAGCCATTTCAAGAAAGAAGTGGTGGACAAGATCAAGAAGAAGATCGGAGCCCACCACCATATCACCACGCCGTACACGCCATGGGCGAACGGGACGGTAGAAGTGGTGAATAGCCTCGTGAAGCGCGGATTCAAGACCCACCTCAGCGAGATGAAGTTGCGACCAGACGAATGGCACCGTGTATTGCCGCTTGTTCAAAGTTCCCTGGACCACCAGTCGGCGGATCGGCTAGGTGGTGTGTCCCCGGTGACGGCTTTTCAAGGTTTGCCGTCAACACCGCCGATTTCTGGGTTCGTACACCCAAGGACGAAGGAAGTGGAGACCGTGGACTGGCTTGCCAACACAAGGAAGAAGCATATGGCCGAGTTGCGACAAGCTCTAGACGACTTGCATCTAATGTCACATTGCAAAGCGAGAAGTTACGCAGGCAAGCCAGGGACCTGCATGGGCGAAAGAAGAACGTCCGCATGGCGAAAGTTTGCAGTCGGCGATATCGTACTTGTTGGCTGGGTGCTGAAGTACCCGAACAAGTTGGCCCTGAATTGGAAAGGGCCATACCGCGTGTCACGAGCGGACTCCGACTACGTCATGGAAGTTCAGCAACTGGTGGAGCCGTACGAGATATCGTTGCACCACGCCAGTCGGCTCAAGTTCTTTTGCGACGCGGACCTAGATGTGACAAGTGACCCGGTGGATTACGCCGCGTTCGGTGACGAAGGTTTCTACGTCGAGGCCCTCTTGGCGGCGCGTTGCAACGAAGGAAGACATGAAGTTCTGGTCAAGTGGAAGGGGCTAGAAGGAGAAGAAGCGTCTTGGGAACCTGCATCCCAATTGTACGAAGACATTGCGGTTGTGATGCGGCGTTGGATTTTGAAGAACGCTGGCAAAGAAGAAATCAAGGCGCTGCTGGCGGCCTTAGAAGAAACGCTCGGACACTCTCTCTAGGAGGGGGAAGTGTTCTGGGTGCCCAGAGCCGACTCAACCTTACGAAAGGTCGGTTGGCCGGGTCCCAAACCAAGATCTCAAATTTCGGTGGGTGGAACGCAAATCCGAACAAGACCAAGATGTCAAATTTTGGTGGAAAGCAAATCCGAACAGGATCTGATTGGTGAAGAAGGCGACGGTTTGGAGATATCTGATTGGCTAAGGTCCTTACTAGTAGATCTAGATGTCCAGTAAGTGCGGTTAGCGGGGTGACTCTCCTCGAAGTGAGGGCTATTGGCTAACTGACTGTAATTCAGTTTGCATTGTGAATCGGACCAAGCGAGTGGTTCCTGTAGCTTCGACGGGACGTCGAAGGTGCGAGGTGCGAAACAGTCCCCAAGCGCTTGCGTCACCAACTGGCGCAAGTTGACCAAAGTCACTGAACGCGACCATCGTCACATCTTTAACATGCAACAGCGACTGGAAGGTCTGCTCGCCAGATTATGATGGACATTCAGCTGCATATCTCGCTGCGAACGTACAAAACGACCTTGCCGAAACCGAGCAACTGGCTAACTCGAAGCGCAAACATACCCCAACGCTCAAATAACAACGCAAGTACTCACGTCTGACCTATGCCGAGCGACACTTATCCGTGCAAAAGGCTTGAGATTTGGTCTAATGAAAATATTCAACCTGGATGGTCCAGACGGGATCCAGTATTACTGGCACGATCTACGGCACGACAATGACGAATTTTCATTCGACTCAGCGGAGGTGGGAGCTGTATGATCTGGGGTGTTTCGTCGAGAGGCAAGACCGAACTTGCTTTACTGGAAGGCTCCGAGACTGGTAATACATACGTTGAATTCCTACCTCATGCCTTTTGGGCATGTAATGTACAGCGGTAGCATTATCTTTACGCAGGATAATGACATTTATCAATTATGCCAAACAGGTTTTGAAGTTTCTCGATGTAGACGAAGTCGTTTTGAACAACCTGCGTTGTCTTCAGACCAAAATCCCATCGAAAACCTCTGGGGACTCCTTGCCCGTCAAGTCCATCATGATGGATGGCAATATCAATCAGTTGGTGAGCTCAAGAGCACTGTAGTGCGCGAATGAGCGAGCATTTCTCAAGGTTACTTGCTAAAGTTAACCCGATCGATGCCAAAGCGGTGCATGCAAGTTATTTCATGCACGGGATGCAAGTCGAAGTGCTGAAGTGTAGTTCCACTAACTAAACGACGATAATACACGAGACTGTGCTGTTTCAGCAAGGTGTCCTATCCTGCTGTCACACCTCAATAAAGTTGTCGCGACAGAGCTCCATCAGTTTTCACAATTTTTAATGAATTTCCATTCGATTATATTAGGTCAATCAAGATGATTCCTTCGACATATTTCTTTTCAACTACAGTGCAATTTATCGACAACAACACACAAAAAACAGGCGTGTCCTATCCATGTAGCGCGCACTGTATGTACGACTTTCAAGACTCGAGCACAGAGGAAGGGCCTTCCAACGAGGAGGCTAGATGAAAACGAACGATGTACAAATGCATCGCCATCAGGACTCGGTTACAGGGAACGATAGAAAAATGGACCACAGCAGAACTTCCGAAATAATTCAACGAAAGAGCGAATCAAATTTACTTACAATAATCGACTTGACGTTCGTTAGCGAATTCAAAACCCCATCCGTTAAGAATACAACCAAACACACTACTTGGTCATGCTGTCCACTGCAGGCTCGCTCGAGCATTACCCAGCCTTCCCCGAGATGCTCATAAAATCGGCGGTCGTAGGCAAAATCGTGACCAAATACATGCTACGCCAAAATGCCTCGTTCGGTGCGACAAAGGCGGGCATTTTCCCGTCACATTAAGGAAATGCATCCTTATTGGGTTAATGTGCGTGAGTGCCTATTAGTGATGGCATCAATTCACTATTGAGCTCCCAAATTTTCAACTCTTGGGACCTCCCGCCCAAACACGAGTTAAAATTTAATCGTGGCTCCAACCCATGAAGTTGCCGGCCGATCGATCTGTCATGGGGGGGATGCAGCATATTCAATGGTCGCCAATCCGAATATATCCGGACGACGACGTTTCATACGAAACGGCTTCCCAGTCACGTGAGCTGGCGACGACGGGAGGTCGTTACGACGGAGCAAAATACTTCTATTTTGGGTGTGCGAGATGGAGGCCGCCGCCGTCGATGAGACACTACCGTCTCCTCCGCCTCCAGTCAGCGGACCACCACCACCTCGTGCGCTATCCAAGCCAGCGCCTTTGACGCACGTCCATTCGACGACTGAGCCAAGCCGCGACGGGTCATTTGGCCCGGATGCCAAGCACCCGCTAGTCCACGACGGCGTGGTCGACATGCGCATGCTTATGATCTCAATGTGGAAACACCGCAAGAACGTCGCGTTCATAAACTCGTTGTGCGACGAGCTGCGGAAGCTCACCAACACTCGACCGATCTTGGACCAGGTCGAGTTTTACCTTCCACAGGTATATGGACCGACTGCACGCAACCGTCAAATCATCCTGCTCGATATTGTAGCTGTCGCACATGGTCCTGCATTTGGAGAAGGAGCTCCCGATGGAAGCGATGGAGCAGTTTGTGATGCTGCTGTCACTGAGCAGCAGCCACTTTGCCCTCCAATTCTTTTGGATTGTGTACGGAGCACTGGACGAACACCGCCCCAAGAAGAATGGAAACCCTCGCACGTTTACTCGGTGTGCTCAGCTACTCGTCATCCTCGAGCAGTGCTTCATTTACGGCTCCCCGGTCAACAAGCAAGCCAAGGTGACAACGGTCCTGCGCACTCAACGACTGATCCATCGCGGCGGTAGGAACTGTTTGCGAACCAGCAAATCTCCAAGGCAGAAATGAACTTGATCCTCAAGGCCGACCGCCGGTTCTTCGCTGCACAGAGCAGTGCGTGCATGACGCTTGTCGACGACTCGTTTGACGGGTACAGCGACTCGCCCCGCCCCACGCTGCTTGCTCATGTCGACGGTCGCTAGTTGGCTGTACAAGAAAGGCGGCGGCACCAGCAAGCTCGGCCGCCGCAGCTGGCACCGTCGGTGGTGCTGCATTGAGCGCAAGATCCTGTACGTTTACAACAGTCGGCACGACCACCATGCGCGCAACACCATCCCTCTGGAGCGCTCCGAGGTACCTCTCGCTTTGCCGAATTCATGGTCACGATGGCCGTGGTCAGGTCCGCGTGAGTGCAAACCCCAAACGACCACACTACTTTGAGATCCACCACAGGTTGAGCGACACCACATTCAAGGTACCCCAACGCATTCGCCGAGAACGGAACGAAATGACGACGCGATTAGTTTGCTGCCCCCTCTAGCGAGGACCTCCAGCTGTGGGTGGACAACTTGGAATCGGCTTCTGCCCCGCCTGGTCCACCCCCGTCGTCTCCGTCCAAAGTTCCTGGTGGCGGTCCGTCCCGAGCGATCGAGCGCATGTCCGACCGCATGCGGTCGTTCATCCTGGAACCGGAGCGGCGGAACAGCGACGACCAGGATGGAGATGCGAGCGACTGCAGCCGTCGCGTTCATGTCGAGGACGGGATCGACAAAGCGCACGAGGTGTCGATGGCAGCGCCCGTGGACGTTCTCACGAAGGGCGAGGCGCTCCCAGACCAGCAAGCCGACGCCACAACGACTCGGTCGCGAACGTCGTCTGCGGGCAAGGCTCAAGTCCACCTCACCCAAGAGGAGCAGATGCGCTACGATTTCTTCACCGACCAAATCACGTTTGTCAAGTCGATCACAGACATCTGCGAAGACCTGCGGCTCGTCGACGCCTCGAAGCGCAAGGAACTGCTCCCGATCAAGCTCCGTGACCTCGACAAACGCCTGCCCACATTCGCGTACTTGCCGCTGTGCCGATCGACGGACCACTTTTACCACGTCACGGCCGTCTGTGCGGACGACGGCTACGTGTTCAAGACACATGTGCGAACTCCCACACACCTCGTCTCCATCTCGTTTGTCTCTCTCATACGGCTTCTTCGTCCGTGCCAGGAGCGCGCGCCGTGCTTGATGCATTTTGTTTCGACGCCGAACGCGTCGCATTGGGACGTGTCGACCGCGCTTTTCACGTACCTGCATGCCCACGACGAGCACATTGAGACGAATGTCCAGTGCGACGCCGCCGTTCCAAGCGCGTCGACGCCTTTTCTCGACGAGCTGCTTTTGGTACACGGGGCAGCGGCAGCGACTGGGCTCCACCCCCGCTCGTTTCCCCGTAGGACGACGACCGCCGGGCCAAGATTCACGCGATTTTTGGCGAGCTCAAGTGCGAAAAGACTGCGCGGCTCGCCCGGGCGTATCCAGTCGACGGCGCGTTCCATCTCGAGTCGTTTATTGCCAAGGTAGGCGCCCGCCGCCATATATAGCGTCGCACCCATATTCTCGACGGCCATGCAGAGCTACGACGACCTGCGGCAGGAAGTGCTCGTGATGCAGCTCATTTCGTACCTCGACAACGTGTTCGCGCGCGACAAGCTCCCGTTGAAATTGCACCCGTACCGGATTCTGTCGACCGGCGCCAGCACCGGGTTGATCGAGCTCGTGGCAAACGCGACGTCGTTCGACGGACTGAAAAAGACGGCCGGATTCAAATCGCTCCGCGCTCATTTTGAGACGCTGTACGGAGATACCAACAGCACGACATTCCACACGGCCATGACCAACTTTATCCAGAGCCTCGGTACGCCCGGCGCCGTCGTCCGCCGCCGCCCCTGACGCGCGCTCTCGTAGCGGCGTACTCGATGGTGTGCTACATCCTGTGCATCAAGGACCGGCATAACGGCAACATCCTGCTTGACGTTGAGGGCCGCGTCGTCCACATCGACTTTGGCTATTGTACGTACATCCGCGCCATCGTTGTCACTCGATGTGGTTGTGGCAGTTCTTGGGCGAGCACCGGGCGGGTCGTTCAGCTTCGAGACGGCGCCGTTTAAGCTCACGGCCGAGATGGTCGAGTGCATGGGCGGCAAAATGTCGGCGAATTTCAAAACGTTTACAGAGCTGTGCATCCAAGCGGCGCTGGCGGCGCGACGACATGGCGACACGCTGTACACGCTCGTCGAGGTCATGAGCTTGCATTCGAAGCTCCCGTGCTTCAACGGTACGATCTCTCTCGTCCACGGCATCGGGCCATGACGGTCGCCCAGGCAACACCGCGACGACCTTGTCTGCGTACCGAGATCGCCTCTTCCTCAACGTGGCCGAGGATCGCGTCCCAGCAGTTGTCCACGGGCTCATTGAAAAGTCGCTCGGGAGCTTTGGGACGGCCAAGTACGACCAGTTCCAAGAGTACTCGAACGGAATCGCCAAGTGACGGCGGCGGCCGTTCGCTTTTATGTTGGACATTTAAACTACACACGCTGCTTTCGTCTACATGGTTATCCACGCATGGCAGAGCCCAGCGCCACGACGACAACGATCGAGTTCCAGCCCGCGCGGCGAACGGCGGCCGACGACCCGTCCGCCGCTACCGGCCCAAGGCAATGCTCGCTGTCGGGCACGATCTCGACGGCAAAGTCTTCGTAAAAGACGGGCTTGGCCCCGCCGTTGTCGTTGAGGAACATCGAGCTGGGCGTGCACGTAAAGTTGGAGCATGGTGCGTTCGCAAAACCCGTCGGCACGTCGGACGCGGCGCACGGCGTCGTCTGGCACGAAAACGCTTGGGTGGCTTTACTCTGGCAAATGTACATGCCATCCCGACACGAATCGGGCCATGCCGCGGTCGCGCTCACCTAGTTGGTTTGCATGGTCAGCACATTGCGCGCGCGCGCGCGGTGGTGGTGGCAAGCATCGAGGGGCGCGTACGGGGTTGGTCGGCGTGCACGGCGAAAACCGATACGCTTGTTGACTGAGGCCGCACTGGTCAAACTCGGTGGGGGCGACGGCCGCGGCAAACGTCGCGCACACTTTAAACGTGGCGGTGCCACCGAAGAATGCCGTGTCGACCGGCCGGGACAAGAACGCTGGCGACTGCGGGCTGCACGACGCACACATGATTTGCGACAACGAGCTCTTGTGGACGTTGAGCATCTCGGCACACACGGTGCCTACAACCGTGACGTGTCAGGGGTAGCTTGCCACGAAGGAGTTGGCGCACTGGACGCGAGCAAGTTGGAGAACTCGCGTTGAATCATGTTGTCATGGACGGGGAGGCAGCATCGCGACGATTGAAACTTGGTACAAAACGCCAGCGCGTACTTGGTGCTGGTCTACGAGCGTCCCACCCGTGACGACCGCGCGCATCACGACACAGCCACTACCTCGGCTGGCGTCACCCCGCTAGCCAGGCACGTGTCGCCCTCGCCGCACACGACGCCAACGCCGACCACCACGCCGCCTAGCGCCCACCGATGCCGCATCGTCGGACTTTTCGTATACCCAGTGACGGTTACAGGTCTCGACATGTAACGGTCGGATGCCGCCGAAATGGCGCGGTTGGCATGGGATGAACAAGCGCACGGGAGCGCGCACACACACGCTGTAGTTGCTGTCGATGCGCAAGAAGTGACGATGGAGGTCGTTATGACGAGAGATTACAAGTCGCCTGTGAATCCCATCTGGAGCGCGGCGGCAAAGTCGACCATCGAGTCGTGCAGGTGTTTCTGGGACGCGAGGACGCGCCCGCGGTACACGTACAGCGGTGCAAACGTCGGCATGCACTTCATCGCATGCGAAAAGTTGCGCAGGGCGTCGTCGACATGGCCTTGCTTGATGTGCACGCATGCCTTGTTCGCCCACACAAAGCCACAATCTGGAATGATGTCGCCCGCCGCGTTCAAGTGGTGCATCGCGTCGTCATAGGCATCGAGGAGCAGGTACGTCACGCCCAAGTTGACGTGCGCGACGCCGAGCTTCGGGTTGAGCACCAATGCTTGCGCGAAGAACTCGATGGCGTCGGTCAGCTTGCGTTCGTCGAGGGCGAGCGTTCCCTACAGACACAGACGTCGCGTCACTCGGTACAAAATGTGCACACGCACCAGGTGAAAGTACACGTCAAACGCGACGGGGTCGAAGTAGATGGCATTCAGGTAGTCCTCCCGTGCCGCGGCGACGTCCTGCATCTGCTCGTACACCTTGCCTCGGTTCGCCAGGTGCATGGACAGCGTCTTCTTGATGCCGACTATCGACTGTTTGTCGGCCAGCACGTCGTCGGCCGACACGGACATGCGCCGCTTCTTGCCATCGCGGCCATCCATGGCCGTCGCGACGTCTGGGCCACAACGACTCACGTCAGCGTATGATCGATCGACGCGCATCATCATGATGGACGCACGTGGCGACGCGGTACGTGGCATGACCTGGCGCCGGCGGGTCCACTCGTGCAGCGCCATCGATTTGTTCTTGACCAAGAGCGCGTACTCGATTTCAACGATCGGACAGAGTCCAACGGAGATTGCGACCGCCGCGTGCATGTGCTCGATCGCGTCGCGAAATCGACCGTTCTCCAGCAACATCATGGCTTTCTCATCGTGCAAGTCTTGGTTGGTTGGGTCGATCGCCATCACGATGTCGTACTGCCGCGTCTAGCGCGTCGTCCGCATGAGCTCGACGACCACGTGGTGGTACGTACAGCATTCGCGTTGTCGTGGCGCGCGCGGAAGAGCGCCGCCAGGTTGAGGCGGACCGCGACGTCGGTCGGGTTGATTCGAACCGCACGCAGGTAGCAATGCCTCGCCTGCTGCATCAACGACTTGTACGAGTCGGCCTTGGACGACGTCGCCGCGGGAAGCACCACGGCCGACGCGGCCGTCGTTGCGTCCGCGAGGCACATGGCCATCGTGAAATACGTATTGCCGGCATCCACGTACGCTTCCGTCGCCGTGGGGTTGTGGCTCGCGTGCGACTTGAACAGCGCGATCGCTTCCGTGAACCGGCTCAGCTTTAGGTAGACGTACCCGAGGCCCATAACGACGTCCATGTCGTCGGGCGCGTGCTTGTACACGTCTTCAAAATCGTGCGCCGCTACACGCGGCGGTCATCTCCGTCATCGTACGCACAACCAAACACACGAACCTCCTGGAAAATTCAGCAAGTGGCAGCGCGCGAGGCCGCGATTCCGCACCGCGTCCACGTTGGTCGGGTCCAGCGCAATCGACCGCGTGTAGTCCGATTCGGCCTGCGCCCACACATTGAGCATTTGGTACGCCACGCCCCGGTTGTAATACGCGAGCGCGCTGGTCGGATGGTGCTTGAGCGCCTACAACGCCGCTGCTGAGCGCAGCACTCGACAACGATCGACCGACCTGATCAAAGCACTCGATGCTGGCCGTGTACATGGAGAAGCGGCATTTGAGGACGCCGGCGCTAATGTACGCGTGCAGATTACACGGATCGATCTGGAGGGCGGTCGCGAGATCTTGGTACGCCCGGTTGAATTCGCCGCCGGCAACGTACAGCGCGGCGCGCTCGATGTACGGCTCGCACATGACGTGGCTCGCCTTCATGCACCGGGCAAAATCGTTGGCGGTCTCGACATACGTGTGCTTGATAAACGCCGTCATGCACATGACGTTCATGTCGGCGGCCGGCAGCGTCGCGGGGACGTCATTCCCAGGCCGAAAGTTGTTTTCGTAGTAGCACGGCACCCGCTCGCCGCGCTGCATCGCGTCGAGCTGGTTCCACGCCTTGCTCAGGAGCTGGCTGCGGCACAGCGCGCGCTCGTAGTACATTCGGTACAGCTCCGACTTGTCGGCCAGCGTCAGCGCGAGGTCGTAGTCGAGGATGGCAGTCTGGGCAGAAGAAATGTAATCGTGATGCTCGAACGGCATCGTGCGCACCTTGTACGCATGGTTCCCAATGTAGCACTGCGCCCGCCGCACGTAGCTCCGGGCGCACGCTGGGTCCGACTCGATCGCGAGGTTGATTACGTGCAGCGACGCTTCCGTATCGCCCATCGAGTGGAGCGACTCGGAGAGCAGGCACAAGTTTTCTGGTGTCGGGTTCGCGTCGACGGCCAGCTTGAATTCCTTGACAGCTTGCGAATGCTGCGATAGAATCTACGCATGCCATCACGCCATGGAGCGATGCCGACAACTCGTTACCTTGTACGCCTTGCCGCGCGTGATGCGATCGAGCGATTCGTGCTCGGCGCCCATCTCCATGAATTGTTTGTACGCGTACAGCGCCGGCCGCGCATGGTCGAGCTGGAGGAGGAGCTTGCCCTTCATCAAGTGGGCGAACCGGTCGGTCGGCTGCATCACCACGAGCCGCACAAAGTCCCGCATCTAGCCACCGACGGTGACGGTCGACCGGCCTCTCGAAAAAAAAACGTACCGCAGCTTTGACGTGGCCCTGGCGCGCGAGCGCCTCGCCGCGGAGGTGGAGAGCTTGCGTGAGCCCCAAGTCGTTCTTGAGCGCTCGGGTGCACGCCTTGGCGCACGCGTCGCAGTCGTGGTAGTGCGTCAAAAACACGATCGCAATTTGAATCCAAATGTCGTCCAGCGTCGGGTCGATCGTGACCGCTGCCTTGAAGTCTTGCAGGGCGTTGTTGAACCGGAGATCGGCGCCATAGAGGCCGCCCCGCACAATGTACGCGCCCGTGATGGTCGGGTCGAGGTGGATGCACCGATTCAAGTGCTGGACGACGGCCTTGCGGGTCGCGTCGTCGGTTGCGTGGACGCTGGCGACGGCGCCGCGGAAAAAGTGCGCCGGCGCGTAGTGATAGTCCATGATGACGGCGCGGTCCAGGTCGACGGATGCCCGCGCGTGGTGCCCCATCTAGTCGGCGATGACACGACTTTTGAAATCATGCCGTCGCACCAGGATGTAGAGCCGGCCGCGCTGCGTGAGCAAACATGCTATGATCTTGGCCAGCCGGTCCTCTTCCATCTCGCACACGGTCGAGTCGTGGGTGGACGCCGCCTTGGCCAGCCGCCGGCGGTCCTTCACTCTCGCGTCCGCGTCGTCCATGACCGCAATCAAGGCCGTGAGCCCCGCGACGACGTGGAGGCAGTGCTTTGCATCGTGCGTCCACTCGACCAAGCGGATCGTGAGGTCGCCGATCGTTTCGACCACGTCATGCAGGGCACACCCTGTCCGAATCGCGTTCATGTAGTCGTCGATCGTCAGCCCGATCAGCGACGGGATGCTCCTTTTCGCCCGACGTGAGCCATGCGCATGCCATCATCGAAGCCTTACATGACCGTTGCAGTCGCGTCGCTGTCCGCCTTGTCCTTGGACCCCGCTGGCGCCGTGGCGCTGCCGTCGGCCATGCCTTCGATCATCCGGTGCCGAAGGTACGCGCGCTCGTAGAATGCGCGCCAGTTCTGCGGGTCGGTCTTCACAATTGTCGAAAGGTCCTACGCCGCAAGCATGACGACGTTCTCCTGCGCGACGGAAAGAAAGCGCGACCTTGAGCGCCAGCGACGTATGCCCCTGCTTGGCGTACACTTTGGACCGGAGGAGCAGCGCGTCGGCCGAGTTGGGCTGTTGGTTGAGGACGTGGGAGAGGTCGACGATGGCCGAGTGGAATTCTTGCATTTGCGTGTGGATGTGGGCTCGTTGGAGGAGCAGGCGCGGGTGGTTGGGGCACAGGCGCAGCGCCTGCAACACACACGACAGGCGTCGTGAGCAGTCGACGGGAGAACCGACCGATGCCGCCGCACACTCACCGACGTCAGGTCCTTGAGTGCTTGCGTCCTATGTGGGGGTAGGTTGTGAGGTCGCGCCGTTGAAAAGCACAAACCAAAGCCCGAGGCGGCGGCACAGTCTCGCGCGCAGCAGCAGCGGCTCGATCCAGTCCTTCTCGATGCTGATGCACGCGGACGCGAGCATCGTCGCGCGTCGCCAGTGGCGCGCCTTCTCGGCCACGACCGCTTCGTCGTACAACTCGTCCAGCGACAGGACGGCGTCGACGCCCGAGAGGAATGCTTTGGCGGCGTCCCGATCGTGCTGCCGCCGCGCGACGGGAGCCTTTTTCTTGACTGGGTCGCTCGCGTCGGCGTTGTCGATCTCGCTGATGATGTTTACACTGACGCGGACCTGGTACTTGGTGCGCTGTTTCTGGACAATGTGATGGCAGAACTTTTGAAACAAGTTGGTGCTGCGGCGGCGGGCACCGTCGTCTTCGTCGTCCAAGTCGGCCGTCGGCGCGTGCCGGAGACTTTGAACGTCCTTGTGGCGCGCTTCGAGCGAGATGATGTGTCGGTGCGATGCGTGTACGATCGTGGCGCCGGGAGCGGTGTCGCCATCGTCGTCACTCCCGAGGAGCACGTTTCGTGGACGGTTGGGATGGTGCATGGACCCGAGGGGCGGCGTTCGAGGCATGCTAAGCGTCATGCCATCCGCGCCGCCCATTCGAATGTCGGTTGGGTTGTCCATGACGTTGAAGAGCGAGTCGCGCCGGCCGTCGCCGCCGGCCAGCTCCCGCGTCAATGCGTTCGGGTGCATGTACTTCTTGAGCACCCGCGATCGGTTGACAAATTTCTTGAGGAATTTCACCTCGAACTGCACGTCGTTGGGGCCGGCGCTGAGCGGGGCGAGCTGCATCTCGGCGCGCTTCTTGTCGATCTCTTCCATTTCGGCACTTCCACCAGGGTCATCGCGCCCGCCCGCCCCGATTGTGTTGGTACCCTGGAGGCGCTTCTGGTGGCTGTGCACGGATACCTTGGGCGGAGCTTTAGCCATTTCTTCAATGTCGACGGGTGCAACGTAAGACGGAAAGTGCATGGCAGCGGCTGTCGTTTGATTGCTCGTCGGCAGCTCCGGTAGAGGAACCGAGGCCGGGTCCAGGATAATGTCTGCGTCGGTCAATTCGGTGGGCGTGGGGTTGTCGTCCAAGAAGGACTGGGGGAGTAGGGTCGAAGGCACTGGGACAGGTTGAGGTCGGTCGATTGCGCTGACTTGAATCACCTGGAAGCCAAATGTGAAGTAGCGGGACCACATCGCGGACGTACTGGTTTCATGAGGAGATCGAGCAAGCCAGTGTGCTTGTGGTGTTCGTTCACGGGAAGTGACAGCGTCATGGTTTGGGTTGTCTGCGGTCCACCATTGGCGGCACTTGCGTCGCTCTCTAGTTCCTGAAGATGCGTCGACGACTGCCGATTCAACGCAGAAGGTATCGCGCTGATGAGCCGTCGCTTCGCCCGCATTCTCCGGTATGCCATCTTTGCCAACACTTCCTTGGACAACAAATCCAAGCCAGATCGCCTCCTCATCGCGCGGGAAGTGGCTCTGATCGCACACAACGAAACATGAGGTGGTCGGGATGTGTCGAGTTGGTTGCACGTACGCATCGGTTAGCGATGGGGTTTTCTGCCGCGAGTGGCCGTTCACTACTGTCATGTTCTTCGGGCTAGCGGACGGCAACACCGTGAAGAACTGGGGTCGCTGATCTCCCATGTCGATGAATTGCCGCCAACTGGATCGATCGGTGTCGCCGCTTCTGGCGCGCCAACTAGGCGTTGCATGTGGCAGTTACAAAAAGGGACAACCGGCTCGTTAATGTTTTAAACATTTAAAATTATTTCGAAGGCGCCTGAGGCTTGCGACGCTACGTCGGAGCATGCGTCTCCTGGGCGGCAACGACCTGGTTTAATGGACTCGCTAATCGACCATCATGAGTGAGGGGCGCCATGCTCCGGCACGAACCACCGAGTCAAACGTGCGGAAACGGTTGTACGGTCGATGCTTGGTGGTACACCTGGCTTTTAAAATCCGGTCGATACGTTTCAAATGAGTTTAAAATACGTGATATTTCAACACTCGGCTTCTGGCGCCCATGTTTTGAACGTCCGATCGAAGCCGACCGAGACAAAGTGCTTCTCGTCTGGCGCGACATCCATCGACATGATCTTGCCGTCGTGGCCCTTGAGCACGCTAAGGAGGGTCCAGTTACGACTGCGCCACAGCTTCATGCTTCCATCGAACGAGCTCGTGGCCAGAAGTTCGCCAGACGCTGAGAACCGCACGGTCGACACCATGCCGTCATGAGCAGGCACGACGTACACGTTCTGTCGTTTCCGTAGGTCCCAGATGCGCACGGAATGGTCGTCGCTACCGCTTGCCACCACATACCCATTTACATTCCAATCCAGCGACACGATTTGCTTGGCGTGGCCTTGCAGTGTCATGATCGACTTGCCGCTGCGCAGGTCCCACACTCGCCCGATGCCGCCGAGATCTCCCGTCGCACACAGCGCGCCGTCTCCTTGGCATGATATGGCGTATATCTCCCGGTAATGTCCTTCCTGCAACAACAGCTCCGTGCCCTTCTCCGCATCCCACAGCCGCCACGTGTGATCGTAGCTTGCTGTGAGAACATGCGCGCCCATCGGGTGAAACGCGACCTGGCCAAGACGGCTCTGGTGACCTTTGAGCGTTACTACGGGCTTCGTGTCCTGCTGTTTCCACAGCATCGCTGTGCCGTCGGCGGACGCGCTCGCGAGGACGAGGGAGCTGCCGCCGCTGACGTTAGCCGTGGGATGCCAAGCCAGTCCTGTGATGCGGTCCGTATGGCCATGGAAGGTGTGCAATTGCACACACGTCTTGGAGTCCCATAACTTAACGCTGGAGCTCCAGGAACCGGTACTCAGCATGGACGCGTCGGGCGAATATCGGACAACCGAGAGCGGTCGGACGTCTGCGAGCTGACTCGCATTGACGGCGATGGTCTGGGACGTGTGGTAGAGGTCGGCGGCGTGGGCATCGAGCTCGAAGATGGACGAATCCTGCTGCGCGCGTTCATTTGCGAGGCGAGCATTGGTGCGGACCATCGAGTAGTTGAACAGCGCCTGACGCGCGTACTTGAGGTCATTCGACTTGACAGGCACGTAGAACAGTTGGTCTTCCAAGGGAACCTTCTTTTCCTTCTCGTAACCCACCCCAGCTACCGAGGACACGTCGCGAGGGACAGGAAGAACGCCGTCGACGGCAAGTGCCGATAAGATTGTGCGCAACCGTGCACGGCGATCTTCTGGTCGTTCACCAAACAATGTGATGGGGTGACCCAAGCTTCGAAGTTGACGAATGACATCCTCAGGTCGAGTCGGGACGTTTACTGCGCGGGACCGCTTCTCAGTCTCTAACGATCGCAGGAGCTGGGCGTGCTTCTCTTGGGCGCTGCGACTGGTTGCCGACAGTTCCAACACTTCGCGTTCAACTGCATTGCCACTGCTGATGTTCCCTGCACGAATACCTGCTTCCACTGCACTGGCCTCGGCCTGTGCGATCGCATTCGTCGCCGAGATCTCCCCAAAGTAGATGCCCGCGCGTTTGTCGGCCATCGTTCAAAGGTGCGAACCAAACGTGAAATCCTGTGAGAATCGATATTTCAATCGATTGAATTAAACAGGACACGACAAAAACGCTATAAATCAATATACGCTCACACTTCAAGTCTCTATAAATGAATACCCTGATTTCGTGGGTTTATGTGGCAATATCCTGTCACATCTAATTTCTAAAAAATACATTTAGAGAGGGCTGATGAACACATCATCCACGCAAAAGTTGACGTCGGCATGCAACCGCGGTCGTTGGCAGAAGAGCTTGGCCCGACATGGTTCAACGAGGTGAAAGCATCGACTGCGCGCCATTCTTCAAAGAGGAAAGTCAATTTCGACCGAGGCGAGTTCGTCCGTCAAGTCAAAGCCGCCATCGAGACCACGGGCAAGGTGAATGACCCCGGATTTGTCCGTGAAGTGAAGCGACGCCGCGACTTTGCCATTGACCTCGTCCACACGTACGCGCATTTTTCGGAGGAGCAGAAGCTACAGTTGCTGCTGGGTCTGGCTGTGGACTTGGGCAGCCAAGACATGTCGCTATTAGTCCGTTCACTCCCATCCATGTTGCGAGCTCATCTGGTGTTCCAAGTGTTGGCGGCAGCGCTGGGATTCAACCCACCCACCGACCTCGAAACATACAAGCACGTGAAGCGAGGCCTCGTACCTCTTCCAGAGCAATTCTTCTTGCTTATCGGGTGCGTGCCAAGCTCCTTTCGTGGCCTTCCCTACGACCCTCTAGATCCGTGCCAGCCGGGTACTCGTTCGTGCTGCAACTGCGAAGCGACCTAGCGTCCTGCGTCAAGACGTTCCACCGCATCTTGTCGGACCAAGAGCTTCACGCGCTCTCCTTCCTTGATAAGCTCATGCGCGACCTGTTTGCGACGCAGACGGGCGTTCACTTCAAGCGCATCGAGCTGAAACCAGAGAACAAGGAAGTCCTCCGCGTGATCGTCCAGAACGAGCGCGTCCATGCCATGCGATCGTACGGCGACCTCGCCCACCGCCTAGCTGGACATCGTCGCTACGTCTTTGGCGTATTCCACAGCAACATTGCCCATCTCCCCCTTGTCATTGTCGAAACGTTCTTCACCACGTCCGTCACATCGTCCACAATTTTCCACGTCATGTTTGTCAGCACACATGTAGATACATGCCGACAGTCATCGACTCGATCCTCAGCGACGACCCGCCCCCTCATGCGAGTCCTGGCGCTCTCTCACCACCATCGCACGTCACAGACGACGGCACCCCACCGACCCACGGCGTATTCTACTCGATATCCAATATGCACGTCGGCCTCCGTGGCCTCAACCTGGCGAGCCACCTGCTCTTCCTGACCATCAACCATTGCTCCAAATTGTACCCGTCCATCCACACCTGGGTGACGCTCTCACCTGTTCCAACGTTTCGACCGTGGATGCTGCGGCAGCTACAAATGACCAAGACCTCCCTGTGGTTCACGGCCGCGATAGAGGTCTCGATCGAGCAAGAGTTTGGCGTGAATCGGTTTGCCGCCCCCAAGTGGTTCGTGTCGCAGCTCGAGGCCGCGACCGAAACCCCGGCGTTTGTGCGTTGCCCGTCGTTGGCGCTCCGTTCTACTGAGAGCTGATTGTGTTGTAGACGGCGCTCGCCCGGCGCGTCCTCGTCCGCCTCTGCGCCATCTACGTGTGCTTTGAACGAGAGCATATGACGAAGCGGATCGTCGACCCTGTCGCGAACTTTCATCTGCAGAACGGCGCGCACGTCGAAAGCGTCAACTTTAGCGCCGACACGACCGGCCACGGCATCGCGTCGTCGTATGGGCTCATGATCAACTACAAGTACTCGATGCAGTACGCGACCGACCATTCGTCCATCTCGTACAAGCGCGACTCGACCGTCGCCGTCTCCCCGGCGCTTGTGCCGCTGCTCTGGCACCGATTTCATCCGAATCCAATCCTGCAAGGTACACTGGCCGCTGTCGTTGTTGGTCGTGACCGACGTGCGATAGCCATCCAAGACCTGCAGGACAAGCACGATATCCACGTGCTGGCCACTCAATACGCCAAAGGCACAACCATCCTGCGGCGCGGACAGCTCCCCGACGCCGTTTACTTTCTCTGGTACGACGCACGTGGTCGTGTGGTGGCACTCATGCTCGACGTGCAGTCTCGGCCAAGTGCATGTCGACTCCATTCCGGCGACGTCCCTCGCGCAAGGCCAGTCCTTTGGCGACGTCGAGGTCGTCCATGGCGAGCCCGTGCGCTTCAGCATCGTCGCGCAATCGTTGTGCCATGTCTTGTTCGTCCGGTACAAGGACATGGTCACGTTGCTCGACTTGGTGCCGTCGCTACGAGCGCGGCACGACTTGTCGGCGCAAGTTTCGCGCTTGTAACGATGGTGTGTCCAGAGCCTTGTACATTGTTTCTTGTTTGTCCTATTACCTAACCACATACGCGGAGGAGTCGCGGGCACACCATGGATGGTGGAGCTTGCCACGACTCGTGCTACCTAATACATCATCATCTACCCACTTGCCGCCTACACAATCTTTTCCTTGTCGCTTCCCGTGTGCGCAGCGGCGGCCATCGCTTCTTCGCGGTCGAGCGCAGCGATTTCTTCCTTGGTCAAGAATCGACCCCCAGGGCCGCGGGGCCGTCGCATCGCGTGCTTGTGTCGCGACGCGTGCAAAAACGCCTTGCGTTGACGCGCGTTGCCCAGTTTGGCTTCGAGTTTTGCCCGTTGCTGTCTTCGAACCATAATGCGATGGTATTGCTTGGCATTGACGTAAACCGGTTCTTCTTCGACCATTTCACCGCCACCCGGGAGCGGCATGCGGGAAAACATGGCTTGCGAATGCATCTACGACGTCGCCACATCCTCATCACACACGACCACACCCGTCGTCCCGTCCGTACCATATACGGTGGCATGATCATCATGCCGTTGCCATACATCGCTCGCACTTGGTCGCTGTTGGGTTGTTGTTGCTACAAAACACACACATCATGTCACGGGTCGTCGTCGTCGTCGCTCGATCATCGGGGGAGTCGACGCGTACCATCTACACACACAAATCCATCGTCAGCCGCCGGTCGGTCGCCTCCCATGTCGTACCATTTGAAGATATTGCTGTTGCTGCTGTTGGTACAGCGCCATTTGGGCTGGGTCGTACGCGGCGGCGGTGGCTTGGGTCTCCATGGCGATCTACCATCTCGTTGGCTAAACCCAGCCAATCTCCTCGTACCTGGACACAGATTGGGCGGTCGAATCGAGCGATTTGACTTGCGCACGAGCACGGAAACTGGCGAATGACGCGAGCACGGACGCCGAAAGAGCCAATCGATGGCCGTCCCATACAAATTCCAAGTCAAATCCCCCCCAAGCCGTTTTCGAAAGTTCGCAACCCGACCCCTCGCCCCGTTCAAAATTTGAATCAGTGTCCGGATAAATCGGATCGGCACACGAGAATATAATATGTGTGGAGTTGGAAAAATTATATTAATTTCGTTTGCGCGCCGTTTCGGGCAAGACGCGGCGGAAACGGTCCATGCCACGTGGAACGGCGCGCGCGGCATGAGCGAGATCAACGTGCTCGACCACGATGCCCTGGTGCGAGTGCGATTCCGATGCATGCGACTGACGGACATTCGCTTGCGTTAGATACTCCTCTCGAAGGAAGACAACTCGAGCAAGTTTGCCATCGATGCCCACCACCGCGGCATTCACCGGATTGGAGACCTCTCCCAAGTACACGGCACGCAGTTGCATTCCTTCAGGCGTGATCTTTCCCTCCACGTTCATGGTAGATGCCGCGTCTGTACGCGCTCGATGTGTCGTTCAACGATCTGAAAGCACTCGACAACTTGCACACCGCCAAAGACTTGAAAGAACTCAAAGCGTACAACAATAAGATCACGTCGACGGCTGGACTAAAATCGTACATGACAGTCTTCCCACCCAAGGGTGCGCTTCTTACCTCCACGGCGTAGGAACCAAGCCCTGGAAGTACTCATGTTGAGCGACAACGCCATCGAAGACATCTCGTCGGACTTCACGTCCCTGTTCAAACTCAAGACATTGCATCTTCACGGGAATAAGTTGACGCGTCTCGATCACCTCAAGGCGTGCCGCCACTTGACATACTTGGACTTGAGTCGCAACCGAATTGCCGGCGCTTGGGCAAACGTGCGTGAGTCGTCGCCATCACTCCCAAGATCTCATCGTCCCATGCCACAGGCCCTGCAATCCCTTGCTGCCCTCGAGTACGTCAACTTGAGCGACAACCAGATCACGTCCATCGGATCCCTCGAAAGTCTCAAGAAGCTCGAAGAAATCAACTTAGCCGGGAACCTTCTCTCGTCCCTGAGCGGCGCGTACCCACCGAATTTGACCGTATGACCATTCTTCCACATCTTCCCACACGCTCAACGGGCATCAGGCGCTGCGCGTCGACCGCAACAAGATCACAGACCTCTCAACGCTGCCCGTCCTTCCGAACTTGAACGACTTTTACGCCCAAGCGAACTCGATCACCGACATCAGCGTCGTTGTGTCGCGCATGCCTCAGGTACAATCGCGCCGGTCGCCCGGGTTACATCACAACGATACTTGCGTAGTTGGAGACCATAGACCTGCGCAACAATCGGATCCGTGGGCTGACGGACCTCGTGCCGTTGACGCAGCTGCCGAACGTTGAGGACCTCTGGGTGCGAGGTAATCCCTGCACCCTCTCCGACTCGTACGGCGTCGCAAATGTGCGCGTGAACGTCACTGCTGAGCGCAAACTGTAGGTACCTCCGAGATCTCGCGGCGGCCTTGCCAGCGATTCAATTCATCGACGATTTGTCGCGCCCGCAGATCCTAGACGCTCCGAATCCGCAAAAGCTTGTCGAAGCAGCTGCACGTCCACCCAGCACGGGCCGCCCGGCGACGCCACTCGTGCGCCCGTCAAGTTCGTCATCGGCCACGTCGCGCCCGACTACCGCCGATGGACGACCGCTGTTTTTCAAACCGTCTTCCCGAGCAGGTACACCGTCGAGTCGTGTGTGTGCCCGCGCGTGATGCGAGACATCGACAGGATCGCAGGCGAAGATGCTCAGTCCAGCTGAAGTCGAGAAAGCGCAAAACGACGTTCGAGATCGGTTGGACAAGCTGCGCCATCTCATGGGAAAGATGTGTGGTGACAAGCCAGCGTCAACGAAATGGAGCCTGGCAGCCAAGCAGCGCGGGCCCCAAATCGCCCAAATAACGCGAGCCGTCGCGAAAGATGCCGTCCCTCGCGGCCCTGTACCCCTTGCACAACGCACCAAGACCGTCGAGGTGGTGCCGAAGCTGCAACAAGTCATGCGGGTGGACGACGAAGAGTCGGTCGCGTCCGCCATAGCCTTTATCAACCATGACTCCGAGCCCCGCGTCGAGTGTGTGGGGCAGCAGCCTCATGGCGACGTCGAGCACCATGACAGAGCTTCAACCACTCCACGTCGACGCCATTCTTCCAAAGGAGACGGTCGTCCACAGACTTGCGAAATCGGGACCGATCCGATTGAAGGCATTCCGATTCGACCGCCGACATCGCATGGCTCGACACGTGAAGGAGAGATCCAAACGACAGAATCATCCAAGACCTTTGTGACGATGCCGCAAGACGACGTGAATGACGTGATGTCCGACTTGGTTGTCGACCCATCGATCTTGCCGACGCAACGGCCGTCATACGACGACGTGATGAAGATCCACTTGGCGTCTGCGCTCCAGGCAGAAGACATCGATGTGGACGTTCCGGCCGACTCGACCCTAGACAAGGCGATCGACGAATCCCCGCGAGTGACGCCGTGGCGCCGAGCCGAGCAGCGTGCGCGACCCACCCCGATCGAGCGGGGCGGGTTTCGAATGTTCCGCATCCCGGAAAGTGCTCGTCGTTTCATGCAAGGAGCCACCAGCGCCACATGAACGTGGGAGCACCTGGGTGCCTGTTAACCTTGATCATGGAGGTGTGTATACATGTGGTGCGCGGTGGGTACAGAGTGGGCTGAATAAGACATCAGCGCGCCTTCGCTGCTCTCGGACTACACACAAACTCAGCCAACGAGACGTGCGTTCGACACGGCGTGAGCGAATGCGTCTGCCGCGGGCCTTCCCGCCGGCAGTCGCCGCGGCCGCCTTCGCCATCTTGTCCCACGCATCATGCGAAAAAACGAAACGCTAACGGTGCCGTAAACATTAAACGTCTTTGGTTGAACCCTAAAACGTCACGTTCAAGTTCCTTTACACGGAGGTTTTATGACAATTTCCGCATCCTTCGACTCGACGTTGAATGATTGAGCTCCGTCATGGATACATTTCGCATAGCAATTGGAAAATGCTCGTGGCATGGGGACAACGCCACGGGACGCCAAACTTGCATTGCCAACATGTCGACGAAACAAGCAGGTCCTTCGATGGCGCCCCCTCCGAAGAAGCATCCGGGGGTGGCAGTCGTCGCGGGTGCCATTGCCGGCGGTCTCGAGATGTGCTCGATCTGGCCCATGGAGCTCATCAAGACGAACCTTCAACTTGGCACGATGAAAAGGCATTACACGAGCGTGCTGCCCGGCTTTCGGTATCACATTCAAACGGGCGGCGCCTTGTCACTCTACCGCGGCCTCGCGCCAGTCTTCATCGCGTCGCTCCCCAAGGCTGGCCTGCGTTTCGGCGCGTTCGACTCGATCAAGCAGTGGCTGGCCGACGATCAAGGCAAGTCGACGCCGCTTCGCAACATGGCGGCGGGGATGTCTGCCGGCGCGATCGAAGCCATTTTGATCACTACGCCCACGGAAACCATCAAGACCAAGTTGATTGATGCCAATACTGGCGTGTTGTACGGCGTCCAGACGATTCTGCAGAGGGAGGGCGTCCGCGGGCTGTACCAAGGGCTCACGGCCACCGTCATGAAGCAGGTCCATGCAATCGGCTTGCCAACCGTGACCTCAATCTTGTCCATTAGGCCACCAACACGGGGCTTCGGTTTTTATGGTTCAGTGAATACAAAGCCCGTGTGCCTGGACTGTTGGCGCAACGGGGCATCGACCACAACGCTCTAACATCCACCGAGTCAGCAATCGTGAGCTTTGTCGGCGGCATGACGGCAGGCATCTTTAGCACATTTGGCAACAATCGTACGTTCCGCGCGCATGTCTGGCACGTCGCTCATCGGCTTCCTGTACAGCCTTTGACGTGGTCAAGACCCAGATGCAAGGACTGCAAGGCACACGCTATGTCAACACGTTGGATTGTGCCATGACCATCCTCAAGCGTGACGGCATTGCGGGGTTCTATGCCGGTGTCGTGCCACGGTTGGGACGAGTAGTCCCTGGGCAAGGCATCATCTTTATGTCGTACGATACGATCTCGACGCACGTCGCGTCGTTCCTCGACGACAACGCTACCAATGTGAACGTCAACATGGGCAACGTGAAGTCCAAAGCATGAGACAGCAGCGCCGCCGCGTGCTGGACTACTTAGTCCAGCACGGGCCATGAGCAGAGCAATAACGTAGACGTCGTGGTCGTGGTGTCCATGGGCGGTGCGTCGGCCTTCTCCATGTTGTGTCTGTCGGAACGGATCGAACTGGACCAATCGCCGTCGAGAGATTCTTCGTCGCTGATTGGCTGCTAAAATCCATAACGTGACTTGATTGGCCGAAATGATTCAAATTCCCACCAACCGTTTGCATACTTTTGCCAAATTCCATGGCGCCAGCCAAGCAGGAAGATCGGCGCGACGATGGCCGCCTCGTGCAGGAGATTCGTCCGCTATCGTGCGAGCAAGGCCTTCTCAACCGAGCTGATGGATCTGCGCGATTTTGCCATGGATCCACGTCCGTCCTCGCCTCTGTGAACGGCCCTGCCGCAGCCAAGATTCGCCGACACGAGAAAGTTGACGCCGCCACCGTTGAGGTCGTGTTCAAATCAGACAAAGGCGCACCAACGGCACGGGACAAAGAGTACGAAGCCATCCTGAAGCAGACGTTTGACCCCATCGTGTACGTGGAGAACTACCCTCGTGCCGTCATCAGCATCACCGTTCAAGTTGTGGAAGACGACGGGTCCCTCTTGGCCGTGGCTATCAACGCCGTCAATTTGGCCCTCCTCGACGCAGGCATTCCCATGCGTTCGCTGGTTGGCGCAATCACGTGCTCGATTCTGGACGACGGACAGTTGTGTTTGGACCCATCCTTGACCGAAGGCGACGTGAGTAGCGCAGTTGAAAGTGATGTCCTACCTGCATGTTCTACTTAGGCTGCCACCGCGTCTGTTACGGCAGCGTATGCCGGGAAGAACGACGGGATCCTGACGTCTATCACCACAGGTACGCAGGTTGCACGCGAAAGGGTCATGCCAGGGTCTCGTAGGTCTGGTGAACGAGTCGCAGTACTTTGCTGCGTCGGAGATCTGCCGAAGGTAGCATTTAATTCTCCCTGCAACGCCCGAAGTCATGCACATTTGTAGGGCCATTGACAGCGTTCTTTCGTTTGTCCGCATTGCACAGGAGTCCAAGTTCCAAAAGAACGCAGCATGAGCGCGATACATTGCGCTACCAAGCCACATTGCATCGAGTTAGCTCCAATATCTATCGCACTCGTCGTATGACTTCCCTCGCGTTTGAGCCGATTCTCTTTCCGAACAAAGATTCGCTCGTCTCCGTCCCTTCCTGTCCACGACTCGTATCTTTCTACGCATGGCGACATGGCGTTCGTCGCGTCCAGCGCTTCCGTCGTCTCGCACGCACGTCGGTCGTGGTCGCCACGTTTCCCGCGCATGCTTCGATTCAAATCGTGCCGAATGCGCGCGAGATTCCCAACGAACGGTCCAAAACCACCATTCCACAGGGACATTTTCCCGGTGGAAGCCAGTGTGGGATTTACACCAAGGGACCGGGTGGCGGGACATTCCGACGATGTCGGGTGTATTTTTATCGTCATACCTTGGATTTGTATGGAAGGCATGCTGGAAAATAAAAAAATTGCCCTCCCCGACGCCGCCAAACGCCATTTAGCCCAGCGGGAAACATGGATCAACTGCACGAAAAATCAAAAGGCGGGCGGCCGCGGGACCCGGTCTGGAACGAGTTCGAGATCGTGAATGACCCGCAGAAGAAGCGCCTGTGTGCGTGCGTGTGGTGCCGCCAAGAGATGAAGTCCGAGCCCAAGCGGATGCTGCTCCATTTGACCAACAAGTGTGTTGGCGTCGACTTTGAGACCAAGCAAAAGTATATTGCCCGGTGCTCAACCGAGGCGACCAAGCTGCCACGGCCGCCCAAAGACGACACTGCGTCCCTCCTCAACGTCAACCGCATCACCCAGATCGCTGCGCCAACGTCGCGGAAAATCGTTGTGGCAGGCGGCAACTTCCACACGGCGTTCATTCATTTCGTCGCGTCGCTCACGGGCAAACCCCGGCCGCGCGTGTGTTTTCTGCCGACGGCGGCGGGGGACCGGGACTCGACCATCATGACGTTTTATCAAGACTGCGCATCGCTCGACGTCGAGCCACACGTTCAACTGAGCTTTGTGTCGTCCAGCAAGCACCATCAGAGCTTTGACGACGTTCTGTTATCCATGGACGCCATCGTGTGTTCGGGGGGGAATACACTGAACCAGCAAGCGATTTGGCGCGCCCAGGGCATTGACATCGTGTTGCGGAAGGCATGGGAGCGCGGCATTGTCCTTGGCGGAGCCAGCGCCGGATCGCTGTGCTGGTTCGAAGAAGGCACGACCGACGGCCGGCCCAAGGAACTGAGCACCGTCAAGTGCCTCGGGTTTCTCCAGGGCAGCCACTGCCCGCACTACGACGGCGAGCCCGAACGGCGAACGTTCTACCACAAGTTGGTGTACTCTGGTGAGATGAAGCCCGGGTACGCATGCGACAACGATGCCGGCATCTACTTTGAGGACTTTAGCGTGAAGAACATCTTGTCGGCGCGAGCAGAGGCCAAAGTGTACTACGTGAGTGTAGCGGACGGCAAGCTGAGCGAGCTCGAGCTGCCCACGACGCACTACATCAAGTAGACTAAGCACAGCAGGCCTGTCATGTGTATATAAACGAGGCGGTGACCAGGCGCCGGGTGGCCAGTGTGCGTCGAGTCCTGCGATGGCATTGCACGAGGTGTCGGCGGCGCGCCGACGGACAAACAGCATGAGCTTGGACGAGTCTTCGCCGCATCGGCCGCTCGCATTGCCTCCGATCGACCACGACTTGTTTGAGGAGGAAATGTGGTCCAACATATTTGCCGACGACGACGATGGAATCGCCAGTGCCGACGGACGCCGCGCAGGAGGTGCGCTCGATAACGATCCAAGGCATGCCTCATGCCTGACTCACAGACGATTCGAACCTTGCACACGCCGAGTGGCACCATCTCAACCGTGACGACGACGAAGTCAGTGAGAACGACGCTCCAGAATCGCCGTGGGCAGTGTACGCTGATTGTCGTGGCGCCAAGCGTGATGCGTCTTGCGCGTAGGTCGGCGACAGAGCACCACCGACCAAGCCACATTTTGGACATCCTCGACCAACGCGACCAGTACGCGCTCCAGCCATCGTTTGACGCATCCGCACACCGGATTCCGTTTGTGGTACTGACGATTGCAATATGCGAACGAGCTCACGGACGATGGCTCTCCCGTCCGTAGGTCCTCCCCGTGGCAACGACAGGTACGCCGTCGAGGCGGCGCATGCTCGACCATGACTCGTGGCATAGCGCTGTCCAAGCCGCTGTGCCGATTTGACGGTCTTGTCGTTGTCGGGATGGAAGACCCCCACGAAAAGAATCGCCTCGTGCTGACCAACTTTCGAGCAACCGCGTCGATGGTCGCCACGTCGGCGGCGTCGCTGCCCCTTGCCAACGTAGCCACACGCGTGCTCGATCGCGGCTGACGAACGTCTTCGTAGACGGTGCGTGATTTGCAATGGGTGAACGCGACGATTGTTGCCGCGGCCATCGGGAAAGACATCCAGCTCGTCCAAGTGCCACCGGCAGGCGACGGCACGGTCGGGTGCTTGATGGGAGGTTGATCAGCACGGCTCGAGTGCAATGGATGATGAATCGGCGCCTGTAGGGCCGATCACGATGGCGCATTCGGACGCGATCCGAGAAATGGCGATGCCGCCCCCTGGCGTCGGGCGCGACGGCTGCATTCTGTCTGGAGGTGGCGTGAGCAGGGATCGTCTGGGGTGGTCCGATCGAGAGTTGTAGGATTTGACGAAACGGTGTGCGTGACTGATTTGGACAAGGAAGATGTCGTCCTCAAGTTCGACGCGCGCAACGTTGTGAGCAGCGTCCGGTGGATGCCAGGCGAATGTACAGTCCATCGTGGCACCAAGTTTCAACTATGTGTCGATGTAGCCAACCACGTGAGCTGGACAACGGACGGCGGCATGTTTAGCCTAGCCGACTTGCGCGTGCGGTCGTCGACTGGCCAGATCCACTTCGAGTCGCCACTCGTACGTGCGGCTAGTCGGTCGAGCTGGACCACGATGGAAAGTGTAGGCATTTGGACACTCAGGCGGGCTCTTTTCCCACGACTACTTGTCGCCGACGACCGTCGTCCTCGGGTACGAGAGCGGCCACGTGGCGTGCATGGATCTGCGAAGGCCGACCAAGGAAGCGTGGTACGGCCGTTGCATCCATTCGTTTCAACCGACGTCCCAGCATAGCTATGCCGTGTACAAGACGCCTCTGGCGGCTGTCGGCGACGTGCGCAAGCTGCCGTCGTCGACGGCGGAGGTTGCGTTGTTTGGGGCTAGCGGGTGGGTGGCTCGACCGCAACGTGAGCGTCACAAGTGGTGGTAGGTTGGCGCTGGCCAACTTTGACGCGACGATCCCCGACTCGAACGAGTGGCGCATGTACCGATCGAACGCACCGTCGTCGTGCCCATGCCCTTGTGTAGATCGTTTTCGTCCAAGACTCGCAAGGGGTGCACGACGAGTGGCGACATTGCGTTGGGCGACTCCAACTTGATGGCCGTCTCGGACAGGTATCCACCGGTCCCCGTGGTCCTGTCCATGCATGCGTCGGACGTTGCCCATGTGCCATGTGTAGTTTGGGCATGGTGTCTGTGTTTTACGTGCCAACATTTGCCGCGCATGCGCCATGTTCGTCGTCTTTGCATCCGTTTGAGACCGCGGAATCGCCTCGGGCCATGTCGTTTTAAGTCAAGGCAACGTGTTCATTTTCGACGTGAGTTTTGGAGACGCAGAATGTGCTGCACGAGCGCGTGCACGGGCGGCGGCGTCGATTGCTTGGCCTCGTACGTCTTCAAATGGATGGCTGCAAAACGGCGACACTCGGCATCGCCTCCAGCACTCGCCGATTCTGCATTCCACAAGGTAAAGCTGGTACGCATCCGTGCTGCAAAAAGAGACGATCCAGTCGTCGAACACGCCTTACCTTTCTGCGCCGACGGATGCAATGCGCGAGCCACACAGGCTTCTTGCGCAATACATCCAAACCACTCCAACTCCTACAACGTCAGGATTAGCCCAACGCCGCCACAAGCTGCCCGCGTCATCGCGGTCAATACGAGCCTTGCATCGAGATAGCGTAGTCCGTCCCAGCACTGTCGTCGCCAGCATCATCTTGTACGAGCCAGTACGCATCGTCTACGTCGATCGATCAGTCATGGAAAGCGCCACTTTTCCCTGCCAACACTCGTTTTGAATGGCGAAGGTGACAATACGCATTCAGCCATCACCCGCGCCACGCATGCATGTGCACGACGGGTACCTATTCGATGGAAAGGGCCGTACCTGGAGGAAGATGCGGCGAGTGGGGCGCTGCATCGCGTGAAGTCCCGTTAGAATCTTTTGCATCGCGTTGTCCTTTTGATCTGTCACGTGGAGGAGCATCTCGAGCAGCCGCATCGCTGCCACACACCCCTCTCGGCCATCCACCGACACTTGTGAGTCGCTTGCGTCGTACACTCGGACCCACAGCTCCACGATGCGACCTAGCGCAGCCAAGATCACGTTGTTCTGGACCACGACCCGTCCTTTCTTCGTCGCCTTGACGTCCTCCGTCGAACGGCCACCCAGCAAGAAATGGAGCCGCGTTTGGGCAATCCAATCCTTGTTGGTCGCAGCGAAACGCTCTTCGCACATCGTCATGTCCTTGGCAAAATAATGAACCATGAACTGTAGCACCAAGAGCGACCTGCAAGCACGTCATTCGCCCACCAGAGGTCAAACAGGATGGCAGTGAGGGACAGTTGCCACTGGTCGTACCGCAGCCACTTGGCGTCCATGGGTTTGAGGGCGACGTCCTGATCGGATCAAGATGCATGCGTCAGGTTGAACGATGCTTGGAATACGTACGCATAGGGTGTCGTGCATACGGGTCCACTGGGCGGGAAAGGCCATCGTTGTGTTGCATTGAGCGGCGTGTTCGTAGACGAAAATCATCGAGTTGAAGATAGCAACGGCGCGCGCGTATGTGGACTCGTTGTGCATTAGGTCCAGCAGTTCCTCGAACAGGAGCGGCGTCGGGTACTCCTTCGCCAGTGCCACGACGCTGCGCAGTGCCGATGCCGCAACGTCAGGGTCGTTCGTGCTCAAGGACGTTACAATGTCAAACACCTACGGCAAACGAGACAATGGGGTGCGAAAGTACATGCCAGGGAGATACGACGAACGAGGGAATTGTTCATGGAGCTCTTCATCGTGGACGACGGCGTGATTGGTTTCTGGTCTAAGGAGCGAGGCTTGACATGCTGTGGCAACGTCGGTGTGCGCACGTCAAACACGTCGGGTGAATCCACAAGACTCGCGATACGACTCGCACGTTGCGATGATGTGGGAGGAGTCTTCGGTGCCGAAATATTCGACTCAAGACCTGTTGCGGCATGCGATGGAGGAGACTTGGTGATGTCCACAACGTTCGGTGTGTCGATCTTGTTGACAACTGGTCCCGGACATGACTTCAGTCTGCTGGAAGATGCCGCGGGACGGAAGTACTTCGAGATGGGACTCGTCGCGTCTTCCTTGAGCGCCGCGCGCACTTTGCGCTTCTTCCTCGGCGTTGCCATTTTCGACGAAAGCTGGATGTGTGAGAATATTGAGTGAATTTTTGGATTTTTCTGCGTTTTCTGTAGTATAATGTTGACAAAAGTTTTCATCTAAAACCGTGCTTTAAATGAATCCTCCAGCTTCTTCAAAGTCGAAACCAAGTGGATTCATTCGAATGGATACACGAATCATCTATTATTTCGCGCTGCGCTTCAAACGATTTCAACTTTGAATTCGCAGTGCCATGGACCAAAATGGCGGCAGCGACCGACTGGGAGCGGTCGCGGAATACTTTGCCGCGATCACTCGAAGCGAGGTGAGCTCAGTCAAGCACCGCTCGGAAGGATACCTCATCGTTGAGTCTGGTCTCACAGTTGTCACGAAACAGCAAGGCAAATCGCTCTTCAACACTGGGTTCTACCGGCAGAACCGACTCCACTTGTATCCTGAAGAAGCCACCTGCCTGGCGCATCGCGGGGTCCTGGACATCCGCTTGGCCAGCACGGAGGTGTCATCTGCCCCTGGGTCCGCTTATCTCTCCTTGCGTGATCTGAACGACCGACTCAACGTCCACGTGCCACGGGAATGTCGTGAAGTGTACTGTTTCCTGAAGGACCGAAAGTTTATACCTCGACGCGTCCAACGAAGTGGCACCAGCACACATCGACCTGTCCTTTCCACGGCCACGAATGTCTCTATCGCGTACGCCGTTCATGCACCGGGAAAGAAGTCCGACCCGCCGCTCTTCAACGCTGTCGTGTTTCGCATGTCGGACCCCCTGCCTCCTCTCGACGCGCTCCTTCAGCTCACACAGACGCGTCAAGACTGCGAATTGCTCACAGCCAACACGTCATCATCATGTGATCATGGCGGAAGTCCGTCGCCCATCCCTATCAAGTTGTTTGCATGCGACGGCGAAGGCGGCGTCATCGCGCTGGAGACGCTCGTGCCACAACTTCCATCGCTCCCGGACCTATCATGATAGTTTGATATTTCTCGAATCGACCAAAGTGGATACGTCGGGGCAAATATCAATAAATTAGCACTTTGAACAAAACTCGCACATGACGACGACGCGACCATCTACCCTTCCTTGCTGAAGTAGTTCGTGAGGAATGTCTGGGGGTCTAGGATGAATTCGTCTGCGTACGTCGTCGAGGCGAGGGGCTCGTCCACGTGGTCGAACAGGATCGAGTACGGGTCCGTCTCGGGTTCGAGCAGGTTGAACGACGTTGTGGTGTCGTTGGTATCGCAGAACAAGAATGCGCTGGGTTGCTTCTTCAGCATGTGGTGGGAAGGCGACGAGAGCGGGGAGCATTTGTCGTCCATCTTGTTCGCGACATCGCGGTCGTTCTCGGACGAGGACGAGAACCAGTCGTCGTCGGTCAGTTGAAGCATGTCTTCGTCGTTGACAGGGGTCATCCGCGACAGACTTTCGTCGATGATGTCAAATTCGTCCATGTGCTTGTCTTCGACGGATGTTGGGTAGTCCAGAATCATCGTGGGCACGTCAAAGGCCGCCATAGCGGGCCGTCGGGTGCCTGAAGACGTTGCAGGAACGATCGCAGCATGCCGCGACGCGGACGTTCGACCATTTGACTTGTCGAACTCAATTGCTGTACTCGCTGCCACAGTTGGTCGCAACATGTTGTTGTCCAACTGGGACGTGTCGACCGAAGAAGCAAACCCGAGGGGTGGCAATGTGCCTTCCTTTCGCTTCGAAAAGCGCGATGCAGCAGAGGTCGCTGTGTAATGGTTTTCATCGAAGCTGAACTTTCGCTTCTTCACGCTGCTCACGTTCTTTTGCCGCGTGGTGGTGCAGTTGTCGGAAGCATTTTCGATGGACGGTGATGCATATGCCGACGCCGTGGCAGTGCTGTGCATGAAGTGGTTGTCGGCGCCTGAGTTGTTGACATGGCTCGAAGCGTTCGTTCGGTCTTTGCCCTTGGCTTCTTCCTTTGCCAGCTTCTGGTAGTACTTTTGAGCATGTGTTCGAATTTGGACGACACTTCGGGTTTTGATAAGCGTCGCGATCTTCTTCCACGCTCGGTATGGAAAGCACTCGAGCCCCTTGAGGAAGAGTTTGTGTTCGGCATCCGTCCATCTGCCAGTGTTTGCTTTGCAGTCGTGTGGCATGTCCGAGTCGTCGCTGTCGTCGTCGTTCCCAGCATCTTCGTCATCAGGGCAAGACGATTCGTCGTGGAACGACGACGCACGGAACGCGGCGGCTTCAGCGAGCTCTTTTCGCGCGGGCAGCGTCATGGACGACATGCCAGGCGATGTGGGCGACCCCATGGCTTCGCGTTCCTTGAACTTCGCGAACGCCAAGAGCGACGGTGTCGATGGTGCCGTGATTTTCAGCGACGGGGTCGCTGGACCATGTGTGGTTGACGCCGAGTCGGCACCGACGTTGGCCTTGTCCATGTTGTGTGAAGAGGGCTGCATCATGTGCGACGACGGGAGTGATGTCGCCTGCGCTCGACGTGGCGGGATGGAATATGACGTCGTGCCGGGAAGGAGAACGATGTGGTCGGCACTTGGTCGTTTCCCCGTGTGCAAATTGGAAAAACGCCAGGCGCGTTCCATATTTCTATGGAACGTTTCGAAGAGCGTTTCTGATTGGCTGTCCCGACCTCAAGCGGCCTCGGATTGGCTCGTTTTGTGAAACCCCCCGGCGTTCCGACGAGAAATGACCGCGACACGCACGTGACGCCGCCTTGATGCGCGTCGTACATGGGAATCGACGCTTGCGCCGTCTCTCTCCACGAGCCCGTCCACGCACTGTACATGACCCGGTCGTTCGCCCCCATCGCCTGGTTGTCGCCGAGAACACCGACGTCGGGCGAATCACCCCGCGTTGGCCCTCTCGGCATTGCGGCGAATTTTCGAACCCGCCAATCGAATTCTCAGCGTCGGGGCGGCCTTCGAAATTATTTCACGCCACGACATACCAAGAACAAATACTCTTTTCCCATTTGCAATATTAATATTCCCACCGCGTGCAACGGGGCCTTGAAAACCATGAAAATTTATAAAAATATCGAAACGCGCGTTTAAATATCTTGATATTTGTATACCAACGAATATCGCTGGGAACGACGACATGTAACGGCTACTTCAAGTGCCACTTCAACCGAGTACAGTGGATGGGCGGCGACGAAGGCGGAGGAGACGCGCGCCATCGGACTCGCGGACGGGTCTGCCGCACGAAGGCGATCGGGAGGACGCAGGTAGAGCACGGCGCCACACACTCGAATCTGTGCCGTGTGTCGAGGTGCTTACTGCTGCGGCTCCACCTTGGCGATGTCCCAGGGGCCTTGAATTTCACTACCGTCCAGCACCGAAACGTCATGTAAGTCACGTGTGCATGGGTATGGCGGAGATCGACGGGCGGGACTCGATCGGACGTACTTTTTGTACTCTTGGGCGTGCATGAGCCACAGCGGGCACACGAACGTGATGAACACGACGGCGACGAACACCACCACCGATATGGACGGAGAGATCGGCCACATGAGGGCGAGGGCGACGCAAAACAGAACCAGCGCCAGCGCCACGTGGAGGTGTTCGGATGTTTTCTAGCATCGCACGGGTGTCACGCAGCCACAAAAGAGACTCGCACGTACTTTGATGGTATGCTGCGCGATTGGACTCACGGCAAACACTTCAATTGCGAACAACACAAACGAAAACACTTGCTCGTTCGAGTGGAGCAGCGACGCCAGCAGCACCGACGTGAAGATCGCTGCGTTCAGCGAGATCGTACCCGCGTACCTAAGCCACACACATACCATCAAGTCGAGAAAAATGCCGCCCACATCCATGTGCGAATCCAGTCGGTCATCGCAAGGTACCCAAGCACTTCTCGAGTACTTCAGCGCGCTCGCAACGATTCAAACAGCACGCAAAGGACACATTGGGGACGCGACATGCGTACGCACTTGTACGTGGTGCCATTGATATAGGTATAGTCGTGGGTGATGAGATGGATGCCGGTGAGCGCCACGGACAGTGCCCAAATCGTGTCGACAGCGTACGACTCGGTGAGGGTCCTCAGCACCGGCGACAGGATTGAGAGCGTCGCAGAAAACAGCATGCCTTCCTTCACGCCTTGCCACATGTCTGTGTCCCCACATGAATATTGCATCACAGTGGACGACGTACCTAACTCGGACTCGGCGCAGTAAAACATGACAAAATACCCCGTGAGAGCGACAGCAACGTCGATGCCGGCAAGGAGTTGCCAGGACCACACGTGCTCCCTCGAGTTGACGAAGATCGCCTACAATGCTCGTTCAATCGAGGACAGAATGGATCGCGTACGAAGAAGATGAAGACGAGACTCAGTTGCTGTGTGATAGCCGCGGACGCCTTGGACATGCCCCAGTAGTCGTACTCCCGCACGTTCTCTAGACAACCCCCAGCACCACAAACTCATCAGGACGATGTATCGTTCACTTCGCGACGTGTACGAGTACCGTTCGTGCGCAATTGCTCAAGAAACGACGAGTCGACGTAGCAATCGTCGAATGGTTGCTCTTCCCACAAAATCTTCCGCCACACCTGAGGACCGCACATCAGGTCACACGTGCTTAATCCATCATGCCAACCTTCTTCTCTCCATCCATCCGGCCGCATAGCTCGCAAGATTCGGCCCGTCGAGGTCTCGGCGGCGTCATCCCCGTCGCGGGCATTCAACCTGTGAACCGCGCGTCACACCTGCTTTATCCGGACCATTTTGATTATCCGGATACCCTCTACAGCAATTGTTGCATGAAGAAGAGAGGCGGCAGGTAAGTGCCGTCTGCGAGGCGCTGCAATGATGCTGACGGATCATGCGCGCTTCCATCTTCGCGGCATAGCACGACATAGCGAAGATGACATTGCGTGGCGATGTACGTCTGGCCTTGCCGAACTGTCGCGTCTGGATGTGTATGCCACGAAATCTCTCGAGGGAGCGTCGTCGAGGAAGCCGCACTCGGGTGCCGACGCAGCACGACCACAAGCACGGGCCTTGTCGTTGATTCGGGGGCCTAACCGCGCGTGATTCATCATTCACGACGTCATGGGCTGTGCGAACGTACCCCCACGCGGGCTGTGCCTTTGGCGCGCTTTCCAGACGGTGACGGCACGTTGTCGTCCTGTTGCAGTCGCTTGGGCGTGATGGCCGTCGCAATGCGCTCGTCTTCAGCAGCTTCATACCGCTCCAAGTCGGGATATACCGCTGCAATGAGTTGGTCGAACGAGACATCGCGGCCGATGGACGATCGTTTCGGACCGATCGGGGCGCGGCAGCTCGGACACTCTTTGATTCCAGACCGCAGACATTCTTTCAAACACTTGTCGCAGAAGCGATGCAAACACGTCTTGATCACAACGGCGTCTCGAATAATTCCTACGACGCCGCGGCTGTCACCCCGCGCCGCAGGCACGAGCATTCGACGTACCGAGGCAGATGGGGCATTGCATCTCGGCGTGGACGAGTGTAGGTGAAATCGTCAGCGCCGCTGTAGCTTGACGTCTGGGCTGCCGGAATATGTCGTACAACGTCAGCCCGTCGATGAGCGTGACTTCGTCGTAGAGTGAGTTCGGATTCATTCGGCGGTGGACGAGCTGGCGCACATGCCTGTCGTATTCCTCCTTCGTGAACCCGTTGTCTACGGTTGGCGCGGCCATCCTCCCCCGCGCGATGCCGTAGAAAAAAGTGTAACCGTTGAAACCGTCGGCGTTTCCTCCGAGACATCGGCTGGCCACGACAATGACGCAGTGGACGGAGAGCCATGCCGGCGCCCAGGCCGAGCTCGCCAGGGTCCGCGCCGAGGGCGATTGGATCATGATCAAAATCGAGATGGAAAAGAAGGAGCTGGACGCGACGCTGAAAGAGATCGAGATGGCCAAGGCCCAGATCGCCGCCCTCCACACCACGAAGCTGCACGAGTGTCCCACTGCCGTGACGGCCATGTACGTGCCCACATTTGCCGCGCGCATGGTCGCATCAACTCGCCGCAGGGACTTGGCAAAGCACGTCAAGGCGCTGCAGACGCAACAAGAGCGATACAAAGGGCACGTGAGCGAAGATCTGAGCAAGCTCGCATTGCTGCGACAGGTCCATCGATCTCGCTGCACGTGGATGGTTTTCGACAATGACGATAGGCTGTCGACGAAGCCAGACGCGTGCGGAAGGACGCCCTGGCGGCCGAAGCAGACGAACAGTGTCGGGCGAAGCACATGGCAGGCACCATTGCGGCAACGCATGCCGAAATTGCATCCATCAAACAGCGCGAGGCAGTCATGGCGGACCAGATCCGGCAGGTGCAAGCCGACATCGACTCCGACCAAGCCGCGTTCTTCGCCGCAAGAAAGGAGCTGGCCGACCAGTTGCACGAATGCCACAAGCACCAAGCCAAACACCCCAACGAACGCAGCCATGTCCAGGCGATCGCGGGCGTGTCGTCGGCGGCACACACGTACAAAAAGAAGAGCAACCTCTCGTACGTACCGCTCGCGTCGTGTGGCGGATGCGACGTCATGGTAGGTGGCTCCGCGCCCGCAATAAGGTCTGCCTCGTCAAGCGGACCGAGTCGCTCGAGAAGAAGAAGGATCTCCTCGATGCCCTCCTCGACACGTCCAAGCTGCCGACCGTGCACTGCTTCTTGGACAAGTACTTGCGCCAGGAAGCCGACAAAGCGGTCATGTGCGTCGAGATCGATCGCCAGTCCACCATCAGTGCGTCCTGTTCATGCCCGCTACCAACACGGAGACCCACGCTGCTGCTGTAGACGCCGCGATTCTCGTCAACATTCAACGCCTCGAGGCGGAAAAGACCCAGAGCCGCGACATGCACACGATGGACGGGCTGAATCCGTACTGCCAAGGTACGCCGTTGTCCGCGGTGTAGCTGGCTGTCGACCCATCTAGACATTCGCAACCAAGCCAGGAAAAGCAGGGAGCACACGGAAAAGTTGCGGGCCGACACCAAACAATTCGAGTCTTTGTACCGTTTGGTCATGCGCCGCCCCACACGCGGCTGACGGTTGTCGTAGAGCCAAGCGATTGTTTGAGCCGCTGGAGCAACTCTTTGTGCTCACGTGCGGCGCCTCAAGTACTCGCGAGCCGCCCGACCCGTCGATCGTAGCGCCAATAAATGTCCCCGGTGCTCGCTCATGTGCATGATACAGGGCGTCAAGATGCACCTCGAGCGACTCGCGCGGATCGAAGAGCACGTGGCGCAGAAGGTCCTGTCCAAGATTGCCCATGAATGCGCGACGCACAACGGCCACTGGCAACAGTCGGCGACTCTCGTGCGCTTGCTGCAGTCGCGCGGAGTCCTTCGCCCGAAATTGGTCCAGTTCCCGCCGCCGCTCCCGACGTCCGTCGCGCCGGTCGCTGTGGGACCGACACGGCCCTCTGACGACCGGGACAACGACCAAGATGACGAGCACGATGCCAACCACACGGATCGTCCCGACCACGCCATCCAACGTGATGCCATCGTCGCGGTCAACTCGAAGGACGTCCTGCGAGAACTGCGCGAATGCCACGCGGCGCGCGCATTGACTTTGGACGACGACGGCGCGCGCCATTCTCTGTGCAAGTCGAAATCCCGACGACGGTTGAGCGCCGCCGACGTCCGTCGCGACGAGTCCATTGCTGCGCTGACGACCCGCGCCCGATTCCCCGGGACAAAACTGGCGCGAGCTGTCGCTGACGTCGAACTCGACTGCACGTCCGTCATGATTGCCGCGTCGTCCGCCGAGCCCAAGGAGAGGCGGCGCAGCAGCACGTCCGTCGCTAGCACCAGCTAACGCGTTTTTCGTCGACCGTCCATCGTTCGAGCGCTCGTTCCAACCTGCCCCTAGTTCCTGTCATCGTCCCGTTCCTTGCTCTCCGCCACCAACATGGACGCGACGGCCCTCTCCTCACAACATCCTTGCGCTGCTTGGATCGTACACCGAGATCGTGGCGGCCATCCATGGCTGGCGACGTCGCTTTCGCGACACACCGCGTCATGGCGTCCAGCGCGCGAGCCTGGATGGGCCATCGTGGCCAACCGCGCCAAGTCGTCGGGGCAAGCAAGCACAGTCGCGACCGTGCCGTCGATATATTATATAGAGGGACGGCGGCGGCGATCGAATCGGTGGCTGCCACACGTCGCTACACGCCACACATTGGGACGCGCATGCCGCCGCCACGGCAGCTCACCAGTGAGCTTCAGACGGGACTCGACTTTATGCCGTGGCGCGGACGCTTGGCGACCGGGACCAAGTCGGCCATCGCCACGCCTCGACTTGGGAGGTCCGGGACGCCGTCGAGCAGCGCCCACGGGTCGACCTTCATCCAGCCGGTCGTCGTCGTTGTGGCTGGAATCGGCTGCGCTCCGTAGATGGACTTGGGGAAGACGGCGAACACCCTTCGCGCGAGCGGCGGCGGCAGGTTCAGCTGTCGGACAAGGTCCTAAACACACCATCAGGGCAAGATGGCGGCACCGCCGGACGCACCTCGCAATGACGGTCGGCAAACACGGTCGACGGAATGACCGGGATGAGGTCGAGAATCCACTCAAACAAGGTCGCGCTGTCTGCGACGACCGCGGTCCCGAGCATGGAAAAGAGCAGCTTGACGATGCCGTTGCGATGGGGGCACGGGGATGCCGACATGGACGCCGTGATGCTGACGAGCTGCAGACGCAGCGCGATCTTGCGCCGCAGCGCCGCCACGTACGCCGTCGACGGCGTCGCGGCGTCGGCGCTTTGACTCGAGTGCAGGAGCGCCTCGAGCTGGCCCTTCATCGACCGCATGTAGCGCAAAAACAGGTTGTTGGGCGACCCGTGCGAGCTCAACACACGTCGCAAAAAGACAGCGACGATGGATCCGTTGAACGTGTGAAGGTACTGGTCGTCGGTTGTGGTCTGCGCGTCAGCTTCGAGGGCTTCCAGCGCACGAGCGACGGCGGCCGTGATGATTGACGTCGCAATCACGTACGATGCCGCCGTGCTATGGGCCGGGGTGCCGTGGCCAGTATAAATACTGCACAAGGTACTGGCATACAGGTTGGCGACGGCGGCGTCGGCGGCTTCCCGCGCGGCCAGTTGGGACTCGATGGCGCTGTTGACCACCGCATCGGACGACGGCGGGGCGACAAAGACCGGGCGCACGCACGGCGCAAACAAGCGGTGAACGATGAGCGCTCCAATCTTGTCGCTGGCGCTCGCTTTGTCATCGAGTTTGTGCGGCGCCGCGGACGGTGGCGGCATCGTGTCGAGCCGAGCTTGGTAATACGCGGCGGCGGCGTCGCCCGCGACCACCACCGGGACCTTGGCCGGCGGTGGTGCAGCTTCCACGACGGCCGAGGGTGGTCCTTTCGCGCGCTTCGTCACCTTGATATGCTTGCGCTTGACTTCGACTTCGAGGTAGATCGCGCCGCCGCGATGCAAACTCCACTTGGTGATGCCGGCAAAAATCTCGTCCGCCCGGAGGAGGTCGATGCGGTTGGTAGAGAGTTCCGCGGGCGAGTTGAGCGGCCGCCACAGTAGCTTCAACAGGACCGCCATGAACCACGCATCGCCGTTGTCCTTCAACACGTGGCGATCCTTGACGCTTTTGTCTGCAAAGATGATCTCGCGCACGACCACGTCGTTCGTGCAGTCAAAGAGCAGCGTGCTGGCGAGGACACCGCGTTCCTGGCGCGGCTGGAGCGCATTGCTCTCGGCGCTCCAGTAGTACGACATCTGGCACAGCAAAAACACAAACGGAAACATGACGGTGCACGGCACCATGCTGCGGAGGTACCGCCAGTAGTCCTTGATCTAGACACACACACAAGTGGACACGGTCAGGATGAACACACTCGTCATGGCGGCGACGACGTCTACCAGGGGGTCTTCAAAGTTGGCAAACACGTTGTGGCCGAGCTTGGCAAATTGCGGCGGCGCATCGCCCAAGAGGTGGAATGCCAACGTCATGGACAGGATTTGGTTGGACAGCGTGCGATTCTCGGCGCGCGGGGCGGCGGCGGCGCTGGCATTTTTCTACCGCACCACACATCAACACAACATGGTGTGTGTTTCACGGCAATACCTTTGGAAATCCTGGCACGAGAACGAATCGCAGCACCTGTGTGAGATCGACGATGCCGTGGACGACGAGGGTCATCAAAAACAGCTTGAGGCCGTACTGGACCTTGTCGAGGTGGCCTTTCAAATTCGCTGCAAACGCATCCTTCCCAGACGAGTCGGTCGCACTGTGTTTCACAAACACGTTCTTCGTCTTGGGCTTGTCGACCTGGCCCTTGGGCGTTGGCTCGGCGCCGTTGAATGCGACAATCACTTCCTTGTGCAGCCACGTGAGAAGTGTGTCGCGCATGAGCTTGCGCTCGCTCTCGTCATGGCCGTCAATCACGTCGCGCAGCACGTACACGCATCGGTGCATGTACTGCGGCACGAGGACGTAGATGGACTGCTGGTGCGCCGCCGCGCCGCCGCCGCCGTTCGTGATGCGACTGGTCGCCGTGTGCAGCAGCGACACCCACTTGTCCATCACTTCAGTCAGCACGACGCGAAAGATAAAGATGCGTTGCTGGGACGTGAGTGGGCCGAACGTCAAAATCGCATGCACCGCGTCGTCGACGCCTTGGTCGCGGCACGTCATATCGTGCTTGTCGACTGTGCCCATGATCGTGGTAAAGGCCGCCGGCGCCGCCGTCTTGGTCGGCCGCTGGAGCGCCGCAAACACGTTGGTCATGACGTCGTGGAGGTCGGCCGGCATCGCGTCCTTGTCTTTGGGAAACGCAAACTTTTGATTGACGCCTTCGAGGCACACGACGTCTTTTGCGTCTTTGGCCGCTTTGCTGTCGTCTTTCAAGAGCGTGAAAAACGCTTTCGTGAGCACCTCGGGCGGGCTGTGCAAGTGGAGTGCCTGGAGCGCCTTGTCCAGCGCCTTGGAGTGGCGCTGGTAGATGCGGCAAATGAACAGCGCGATCGTCTGGGACGCGTCATCCGGGTCGAGGCCCGCGGCGCGGAACGCACTGCACCGGTACTCGAACGCTTGGATCAACGACAAAATGTCGTGGCACGCGTAAAATGTCCCATGGTGCCGGTCCACGATCGGAAGCACGACCGACTTGACCACGTACACGGGCGCGTGCCGGAGAAAGTGGATGAGCAGCTGCAGCAAACTCAGCACGTCCGTCAGTTCGAGCAGCACACACGTCATGCGCAGGACGTGCTCGACCGTGTTGAGCTCGTTCAGCACAAAAAAGTCGGTCGGGATCTCGTACACGTGGCGCACGAGCCAAACGGCGAACCGACCCTTGTCATGCCCCGACAGCTTTTTCACGAGCGAGCACAGCTCAAAGATCTTGGTCATTTGGTCCAGCTCCGCCACGACGACGTCGTGTGCCGACGCGGCGCCGTCGGGCGGCGCGCCGACATTGGACAGTTGAAACACTTGATGCGACAAGATCATGACGCGCTCCAGCGCCCGGCTGCGCTTGATGTCGCTCCGTATGACGTACACGAGCTCCATCCACGTCGACCGCACGTACTCGTCGTTGTCGATAGCGAGCTCCATCGACAATTCGCGCGTCAGCGGGTGGTCGCCGCGCGGGAGCTGCCACAGGTACAGTCGGAGGCGATCGGTTTGGGACAGATCTCGCAGCCGGTCGATGTGGAACCCGCCTTTGGTCGGTCCAAATTCAAACTGAAACTTGGCCTGGCACAGCACGGATGATGGCCGCAGCGCCTTGGCATCGCCCGTCGGCGACGTGGCCTGCGTCGATCGACAAACGATCGCGACACTCTCGACAAACGCTTCAAACACAAACAGTCGCCGCCGAATCAACAGCGAAAACAAATCGATCACGGCCGTCATTTCGACCGCGTGCTGCGGCTCGTACGTCTTTAAAAACCACACCAACGTGTCTTGCAGCGCCGCTTCGTGCATGCTCGATTCGACGTCGGTCGATCTACTGTCCGTCGATGCAGGTCCTCAGGCACGTAAAGAACACAGCAACTCGGCCACACAGCAACTCCCATCCACGAACACATGCAACTCGCGCACCGCAGCGACCAATCTGTCGGCCACCAGCCAAAAGCAGCTCCATCCACTCGGCCTCGACCAACGGAACGTGGCTCCGCCATCGCAGCCGCCACCACACAGCACCATTCCACGTCTCGGCCACTAGCCATCGCAACCAGTCGAAACACCCAGCAGCGTTGTTGTACCTGTGCTCCAAGATCGCATCGTTGCGCATCTCGAATAAATACGCCGCCGTGATGTACTTGAATTCCTGGGCGCGGTGGATGGTGACTGCCCACTCGCATATCGTGACGATCGCATGGGCGTCGACAGAGGTCGCCGCTGCCGCCGCGCCTTTGTCTTCAAAGATCTACGGACCAGCCTCACGCTCGGGATGTGTACGCGTCGACTCGCACCAGTTTGTAAATGTCGGCCACTTCCACGGTCGAGTTGCCGCCGTGGAATTCATCTAGGATTTCAATCACGTCGACTTCGTTCCGCAGGCGCTTGTCCACTGGCACGAACGCAAACGCTTTGTCGTTGGCCGCTTCCTTCTTTCGTCGACGTGAGATCGACGCGTGAAACTAGTGTCACATGACGACACGGCGACCGGCATCGCGACACGTACCTCGGCGAGCCGCGCTTTCCTCGCCCACACGTGCGCAAACGTGCGCTGCAGCTGCACCAGCTCCGCCTGCCGGACGGCCTGGTCTTCCGCCGGTCCAGGGTAAAACTGCTCGGTCAGCACGAACGGCGGCCACAGCTTGAGCACTGCGCGCCCGACATTCCATCAGAGAATCATCGCGCGACCACGGGAAAGATGATCGTGCGGACGTACCATCGTCTTTGACCTGAACGAGGTGGTCCGCGCCGAGGTGCAGCACACGGCGGAGGATGTCGCAGAGCGCAACCACGAGCCGCTCGTGGTGCGGGCAGCCCATGGCGACGTCGTCGCGCGGCGGCACGACCACTTGAAAGTGCGCGAGCGTAATCTTGACCAGGAGCTTGGTCGCGCTGCTGTCTCGGAGCAAGTCGGGGAGCAGCTTGATCAAGAGCCCAAGGACCAGGAACAACTGGTTCACCGGCATCGGCAGCACGGACCAGAACATGCCATCCTGGATCGGACTCTTCTCCGACAGGAGCAAACTCTTTTGGTACAGCGACAGAATCCCGGTAAAGAATCGACTCCGGTCCAGCAGCCCCAGCTCAAAATGGTACTCTGCGAGCTGCAGGAAGTAGCGAAACGTATCGTCGGAAGAGGTGGCGATCGCGTGGGGCTTGGCGTCGTCTGCGATGGCGGCGGTCGATTCCGTCCAGCTCGCTCGCACGCGCTTGATGGCGCCAGGTATTTTTTTCTTGACGCGGGTGCCGCGAATCCGCTGCGCAAAGCACTGCCGCGCCGTCCTGTGCAGGCAGCCCAAAAGCTGCTCGGTCCACTCGAACGCGCGGCGCTGGAACCGCTTTGGATGGAAGAACCAGTCGCCGACGCGGCGGTCGCGGTCACGGCGCATCTCGTTCAGCTCTTGGTAGATGACGTTGATGCGGATAAACCAAGACGCTTCGAGCATCCCAATCTTGTACTTGGCGACGACGTCCAGGAGCGGGCACTTGGCCTCGGGCGACGCGCGCCACTGCTCAAACGGAATCCCGCCGAAGGACTGGACAAGCGCCGGGATCGACACGTGGCCTTTCGCGAGTTCCGTCATCCACAAATGGCTCGTCGCGGGGTCGAATCGGCGGACCTGGCGCACCAAATAGTCCAAGAACGAGTCCGTCGACAACCCTTTCTTCTTCCTCGGCGCCGCCGCCGCCGCCGCCGACGATTCGAGCAGCAGCGGCCCGAGGCGGTCGAATAGCGGCGGCGTGTCGGGGAAAAGCGCGTACTGACGATGCCAGCTGGACGGCATCGGGCCCAGCCCCCGCGGCAACGGCGCCACGTACGTCGCCCGCCGCTTCGCAAAAAAGTGATACTTTTCTTCGTCATTGTCGTTGTGCGTGGGAAATACACCCGGAACGAGCGCGAGGCGGGCCGTCAGCATCGGCGTCGACGAATCCTAGCCACACCATCCGTGAGGCATCGATGGCCTCCAGCAGCAGCAGCGACGATCGCACCTTGATGAAGCGTGCATCCATGCCCAGGACGTTGGTTGCATGGTCCATTGTCATAGCTTCGTCTGCCGACACGGCGTGCGATCGAAAGCGGTTCATTTCGAGGAGCGTGTGGCGCTCGCGCAGCCGATGCCCGAGCGTCGAGAGAAACATGGGCGGTCGGGACGAGTCGATGGCACTCCTGCTGGTCGTACACGACAACGGACCGGACGACGTGCCGGAGGACCGCCGCGAGGAGCTGCCATTTGTGTCGTGGCGAGACGTTGACATCGACCGCGACGCGTTGAGGTGGTTGTCGGCATCTCCCTGGCTGGTGTTTCGACCGGACGGTGCCGCGCTCTCTCTGTTGGTCGACGTGCTGCTGCCGGGTGCACCCTGGTTTGCAGTCAAGTTGCCACCACTCGTGCTATTTCGACCGGATCCTCTGTTTCGCCGGGGACAGGCCGAACGTCAGCACCACCGGAACGATGCCAGTTGAATCAAACCGACCTGTGTGAACTGGACGACGAAGCGGGAGGCGGTGGATATGCAGATCGACTGGTGTTCATGGAAGTCGTTGTCGGGGGCGTCGGGCCTTGAAGTGGACGGGAGCTGTGGCCTATCACACACACATGACGTCGAGAATCTCTGTGCCCATGGGCGTCCAGCCAAGGACGTCAAGCATCTGAAACACCCACTTGAGGAAGCGACGGTGCTTCGCGGCGACGACGAGGACGGCGGCGGTCGATATGGGAGCGTTTCTGGCGGTTCCATGAATGATGAGGCTCGATCTACGGCGTGTTGTCCGACGACGATGGCGGCTTGAACGTTCCAGGATCAGTCGCGCACAGCACCACCTTCAAGTCTTTCCGCTGTGATATCTCTACGCGTCCGAGCTCAGCCTCGTCCAGGGCGCGCCGCCGTACCTGCCGCCCGCCGAGATGAACCCAGACCAAACAACACGGCAACAAATTCACGCCTCTGGAATTATGAGCGGGATGTCCGGATAACTCTCCCGAGTATCCGGTTATCCGACCGCACCCGGCGGCAACCGCTCGCGTCCTTGGGCGCACGCGGCTGGATCGAGTGCGCCAACCAAGTCCCGGGTCGTTCGCCTCTCCATACTCGCCCCCTCAGCAGCGGGTGCGTCCCTACTCGAGAGACACCAGACTTTTACGCAGTGCCGTGCGACACAGAGTGCTGCTCCACCAACGGATACACTAGCGAACGAGCGGGGTGCGAGCTGCCGATATCCATGAAATGTCTCGACGGATGCCCGCTAAGACTAGAAGACGCAGAGAACGGACGCCATGAGCACGTGGCAAGCAAGTGACGTGGAAGCGAGAGAGGAGACGTGATGCGCAGGACGGGAGGACGCTGGCTTTGTAGCCGCCGTCGCCTGCTGCGTGGTGGTCGCCGACTTGCGAGCGAAACCAGAATCCAAATACGCACCAAATGTCACGTTTCAACAAACCAATCTTCGAACAATAGGAGTGATTGGTGCGTTTTCGAGACTCCAAACAACTTGATTTTGTATGGAGCGTTGGGTGCGTTTATCCATTTCAGGTGCCAAGATACACCGCCATTCTTTCGCGCGGCATCTCTGGGACCGACGATGGCGTCCGCTCCCGGCGCGCTCTGTCCAGAATTCCATCCGACCGTGGAGGAGTTTGCGTGCTTTGCCACGTACATCCGCACTGTTGTCGAGCCGGCGTGCCAACACGTCGGCATGTGCAAGGTACGCCAACCCACGGAGCATCGCTTGTCCTGACCAAACACAGATCGTCCCACCGGACGGCTTCTTCGCGCGGACGTACGACGACCTCGAGTTCACGATCCCGACACCACTGACCCAGCATGTGGCTGGGAAAAAAGGTGTATTCCATGTCGACTTGGTCGCGAGGAAGAGCATGCAGCTCGATACGTTCCGTGCACTGGCCGACGCCGCTGCTCCAAAGGATCTGCAGGATCCCGCGACAGGTGCATACTTCGCTGCGTTTTCGAGCGCGCGTTCGTCGGACTGAATGAACCTCAGCGCCGCTGGACGTCCTCGAGCGTAAGTTTTGGAAAGGGCTGCGACCGACCATGGATCCGCCGACGTATGGCGCCGACATTGTGGTATCGTTTCTTCCGCCATCCTCCCATGGGACTCATCGACGGCAGGGTTCTCTCTTTGGCGACGACCCCGCCATGTCTTGGAACGTGAACGATCTCGACTCGATCTTGCGCACGTGGGTCGACCTACCAGGCATCACCCAAGCCATGCTGTACTTTGGCATGTGGAGTGCCATGTTTGCGCTGCACACAGTACGCAATTCCATCGCCGTCACGGTCCATGACACGCGCGCGCGCGTGTGTCGCCATCGTAGGAAGACATGGAGCTGTACAGCATCAACTACCTGCACACGGGCAAGCCCAAGGTCTGGTACACCGTGCCTCCCCACCATGGTACTTTCCCATTCGTCCTCTCCTCCATTGAATGGCCATGTCTGCCGCAGCGGCGCGCGTCGAGCGGGTGTGCCAGACGATGTTTCCGCACGACTATGTCGCATGCCACGAGGTACCCAGCACATGGCATGCTGCTGCTACTCGAGTCACGTCGCCGCGCAGTTTCTCCGCCACAAAACGTCGCTCGTGTCGCCGGCCAAGTTGCACGAATTCGACGTCCCCTACTACCGAGTACGACGCCGCCGCCGATCCGCGTCGTTCGCCGAACGTGTGGCTCGAGTAGGCGGTACAAGGCCCTGGCGACTTTATCATAACGTTTCCACGGGCGTACCACCAAGGCTTCAACACAGGTCGACGATCGCCGGCAATCGTTGCGCCGCTGACGACGCGCATAGGCTTCAACATCGCCGAGAGCGTCAACTTTGCCACACTGCGATGGATCGCCATGGGACTCGACGCCAAGGTGACGACGGACGGCGTCGTTGCGATTGATGGGACGTCGTGCAGGTGTGCAAGTGCGCGCCCAACAATGTGACGCTCGACATGGACTTGTTCCTGACGCAATTGTTTACGTCGAGTCGGCCCGGCAGCCGCGCCATCGCGCCGGACGACTGGGTCCTCAGCTGCCAGTGCCACAAGGTGGCAACGAGCGCCGACGACGTTGTCGATGTCGACGAGCGCTGGTTTGAATGCTCGACGTGCTCGATCTGGTGCCACTTGCGGTGCCGGTATCCATCGCTATGGGAGGCCCAGGTAGGAGGACGATATGTCCCGCCATGTTTGGGAAATCAAGTCGACGACGACAGGACCACACGTTGCCGGCGACGTTGCTCTGCCACCGGTGCGACGTCGCATCGTGTCCGCCGCGCAAGAAGCACCCTCCGACGACGATCGAGATGACTTCCACGAAAGCAAACGAGTCTGGCGGCGGCAACGTGCTTGCCAAGAACGCGATCGTCCTGATCGAGTCGAACCGACGCTGCGTGCGGGAGGTACGACCATCGCATGGGATTGGCGCCGTCGGTTGACGAGTTGTGCAGGCCAAGGTGGTTGCGGTCGACGGCAAGTACATCCGCGTGCACTTTAAAGGCGAGTCATGTGCGTCGGACGAGTGGATGCCGTCCAACTCGACCACGATCGTCGGCATCGGCCCCAAGACGTCCCCACCACAGAAACAACCCACCGCGCGGCGACGGTCGCGGTCGACCACCCCCCAAAAAGCCAAGCGCCACAGAGTCATGCCAACATAGATACACTAGACGACCCGTTTGCATCGTTCGTGGCGAACATGACGGTCTTGGCTGCACGTCGACGCGGCATGGCTCTCACCCTGGCATGGCATCAGCATCCCACCGATCGACCACGCATTTTCGTATTATCGTGCGACCTCTCTGACGTAGCTGTTGGCTCGACGACGCCGCGTGCGTACCACCACCGAGTGCCATCATCGACCTTGGACCGGTCGATTATTCCCTCGTGCTTTGTCATCCATGCAAGTTGATGTGCTACCCCGCGGGATGAGTGTGCGCAGCGTCATGGCGTTCGGCTACGTACGGGGTTGTGGAGCTGATGGGGATGCGATGGATGGCCGACGGGAGGAGCGTGCATGTCGGTGGGCGGCGCCATCGACCGGACGGCGCCCGAGAGAGTCTTGAGTTCTGTGATGATGCGCGCGCACAGATTCATGTACGTGAAGGCGTCGCCGCCAAGATTCTCAAAGTCGAGGAGGTAAATGTGCTGCTGGACCTTGTACAGCTGCAGCCCAATCTTGATCGGCTTGGCGTGCGATGGACCGGTCGACGGCGCAAACGCGAGCGGCGGCTGCCACCGACACTTGACGCGGTACGGCGCCAGCACCTTCCACTCGAAATGGAGGACAAGCAGCGCCTTGTACACCTCCGACATGACGTGGGCCGGCTCCTTCTTGGACTGGATGCCCAAGTACCATCGCCGACGCTTCTTCTCCGCAAGGGCATCGTTCATGTGCTGCACCGACGGCATGGCGGGCGGCCCGCGCGTGAGCGGAGTCCGCCCGCCAAACTGGCGCATGGCATCCCCCGGGGACGCCGCGATCATCGGCGACGCGGCCATCGGAATCGGTCCTCGGCCTAGTCCACGAAACAAATCCATACGTCACCCATGTCGACGTCCATCGCATCGACTCGGGAAGGCGCAGACGAACTCTGTACCTGGCACGAGCAAGGTCGGGTCTGGTGGAGAGAACGTCTTGGGCTGGTTGTCATGGCGCTTGACGTTGCGCAGCTCTACGCAATGCGGTCGTCCGTTGAACCAGGATGGACGAGACCCGCACCGTCGATACGGATCTTGGCGTTCTTGTGGTCCAGCACGAGGTCGTATGCGACTCGGACCGGCGTGCGCTCGTCGCGCTCGATCGATTGCACCACTTGGTCCCTGGACATGCCTCCAGGAAATTGCAGCGTCAAGCACTTGGCCACGACTTCCTCGTCCACCTTGCGCGCCTACACACCACTCCATGAACAACCCCGCGCCGCCATCGACGCACGGACTTCGTGTTCGACCGCTTCCGGGGGATGCTGCAAGTACGGCGGCAGGTTGGTTTGGAACCACGGATGCTGCCTACGCATTCCGTGAGGTACGTCGTCGTCGAGCGACCCGACCGAATCTCGGGAATCGTGATGCGCTTCATCGGGTCCACAACCAACATGCGAGGAATCAAATCGCGTGCGTCGTCCGACAAGTGCGAAGGCAGACTGTACATGCCGCCACGGATCTTCTTGAACAGGTTTGGAATGCTCTCGTCGTCGAATGGAAGCGCGCCGCACAAAAGCGCGTACAGAATCACGCCACACGACCACACGTCGACTTCCGGCCCGGCATATCTGTAAGAAGCAGTTCGTTAGCAGAGAACGACGCTGGAAGGGTCGCACAGGTTCCCAGAGATGACTTCGGGCGCGGCGTAGTTGGGGGAACCGCACGACGTTCGCAGAAACTCGCCGTCCTTCATCGTGTTGGACAGCCCAAAGTCGGCGATCTTGACATTGTTGTCACCGTCGAGGAGGAGGTTCTCGGGCTTGAGGTCGCGATGCACGACGCGGTGGAAGTGACAATACTCGACACCGGACACGATCTGATGGAAAAAGTGCCGCGCTTCGTCGGGAGACAGCTACGTGGGAGGATGGATCATTATGAGAGAAGGTTGGGCAAGAACCCCATCTAGCGACCGTGCTCGAGACACAAGCTTGATTCGTGCTGACGACGAGGAAGACATGAATGTACCCGTCCTTTCGACACGATGTAGTCGAACAACTCGCCACCAGCGACGTACTCGAGCACCATGAAGATGTCTGTGGGAGTATCGATGACTTCGTACAGCCGAATGATGTGCGGGTGCTGCATCTTCCGCAGCAACCCGATCTCGCGTCGCACCTTCTCGCTCATGTCAAGCGAACGAATCTTGTTGCGATTCAAGATCTTGATCGCAACCTTGTGTCCTGTTATCATGTGCTCGGCCACTACGCTCACACGGCCGTCACCACGAGCTTCGTTGTGCTGCTCACGTACGCTTGACTTTCCCAAACGATCCTGTTCCCAAAGTCTCTCCGAGACGGTAATACCCCAGTTGAACCGGCACATCATGGCTGCTCATCGTGCTCGCGCGGCGCTCTGCTTCCTCGTGGAATCTCTTTCGCGTGGAGCCGCCGAACTGACGCGGTGGGTCCCCCCATCAATTGCAGTCAGGGGGGGTCAAAAATGCATTTCCTGTCAGACTTGATAATGTCCATTCGATTGGTTGAAATCGACGTATCCTTCATGTTCATTGGCTAATAAGAGGGAAGTCCACGGTGATGCCACAACGTCATCACGTCCACGTCGACACCCCGTCATGTCCCCACCATGATGCCAATCGCGCAAGTCCATGCCGATCGAGCGACGATCCTTTTGGAGAATGTTCTTGTAGACCAGTGATGCTCGCCTCCAAGAAGAGTTCGCTGCCTACGTCGTAGGGCCGTCGCAGTGCTGGAGATGTATCCACAACGTACGCATGGAGTGGCGGCAGGTGCGGGTATTCATTTATACGGGTACCTTCGATTGGGTGCGACTTTTTGGTCATTTTGAAAATCGCATCATGCCCGGTAAGACCGCGCCGACGCCGTCGTTGATATGGAAGTCTCTCCTTCTGATGGGGTATGGATAGGCAAGTACCAAATTGTGCTGATCCGTCACGGCGAGAGCCAATGGAACGTGGATAACCGCTTCACGGGCTGGCACGACGTTCCTCTTTCCGCCGTTGGTATGTCTCCGATGGTCGCTTTCGACAGGTTTGTATACCGTGTTGACGAGCTCTGTTGTTGCAGGGGAGAAGGAAAGCCACGATGCCGGTAAGGTGTTGAAGGACGCTGGCTTTTCGTTTGACGTTGCGTACACGTCCGTGTTGAAGCGCGCGATCAAGACGTGCTGGAACACTTTGGAAGAATTGGACCTGATGTGGATCCCGGTGAACCGATCGTGGAAGTTGAACGAACGCCACTACGGTGCTCTCCAAGGCTTGAACAAACAAGACACTGTTGCCAAGTACGGAATTGACCAAGTCATGGTGTGGCGTCGTAGCTACTCGACCCCTCCCCCTGCCTTGGATGCGTCGTCAGAGTACTACCCCGGCAACGATCCCAAATACGCCGACGTGCCGCGTGAAGAGCTTCCGTTCACTGAATCCTTGGCGACCACGAAAGTCCGCGTCGTGCCGTACTGGAACGACGTGATTGTTCCGTCGATGAAGGCCGGCAAGAAGGTGCTCATTGTCGCCCATGGCAATTCCCTTCGTGCTTTGGTGCAGCACTTGGACAACATCTCCGAAGACACGATCACGGGCCTCAACATCCCCACTGGCGTCCCCCTCGTGTACGACTTGGATGAAAACTTCAAGCCGATCGTCCACGAACACGCGATCTCGCCGTTGTCTGGGCATTACGTCGGCAACCAAGAAGAAATCCGCGGCCGCATTGCTGGTGTTGCCAACCAAACCAAGGCCTAAACAACAAATAGAATGGATCTGTGCACACCCTCTCACGACGACGAACGTGCTGGGCTTGCACGACGCCATGCGGCGGGGAAGGTGGTTGCCTGTCGGCGGTCGTCGGCTGTCCATGGGCGCGCGCGACATGAATCGCAACGTTTATGCGTTTAACGCACATTGCATAGGTTTTATTCAGTCCATCGCAGTTCCGAGAGGTTTTACCTAGGTTCAATTCCGCCCGATCTTTTCATTCGCCTGACGTTGTTGATCGGATTTGTCAAATTTTCTTGAAATAAATGTCGCAATTTTGACACGGTCGCTCGTATCCACCAAATTTTCCCAAAAGATTGGGTCTTTTTCACGGTTTTTTCCATCCCTCGGCGAAGTTGTCCATTTTTCCATCACACGTAGTGGGCACGATCGCCAACGATCTTCGGTTCGACCGCAGGACGGCTGGCATCGTCGCCATCGTCGCCATGGGACGCAAGATGGATTCTCCGCGGTAGATACCGGCCATTTTCTCGCTTCATTTTACCCGAGCGACTACCATCGCGCGCCCAACCGACCGACCTTCATCGACTCGATGAATTCATCTCGCCCCACACCTCGCGATGGTTAGGTAATGTGGCGGTGGGAGTTCCGCGTGGCCAATGACCAGCCGACTGGTCAAAGCCCCGCGAATCTTTTCGCGAGCGCTGGCTCTTGTGGCTGCGTGGCGAGGTCGAGCGCCAGTGGCGTGTTCCGATATAACCAACGCGTGGTGTCGGGTTTTTGGACCCGTGACATGCGATGGGGCGTCGTTGCACATGCAGTGGCTCCATGTGGCTATGCGCCTCTGCCGGCAATGCTCCCGGCATACACGGCGGTCGACGGCGCATCCCCATCGACCGCGCCGCTGTGGTACGGGAGCACGTTGTCCATGGATGCCGAGTGTTCGGGTGAAACGGCTGGGCCACGGTTTCCATAGAAACTTCAAGTGGAATCAGTCGATATAACGTATGGTGCGTTTTATCGCGGTAAACCACATAAAACTGCCTATGTCGAACACGCTTAACGTATATAGCGCGTCCTTTTTCCAGTTTACCTCGCTTCGACCCTTTTAAGTGCGAATCGTCCGCCACCGTTGCGCGGCGGTCGCGGCATGGCGGCCGCCATGCCGCTCCTGCATGCAGGACCGTCCTGCACCACGAGCAAGAGTGACGCGATGGCGTGCACGCATCGTCCGTGTGGCCTGTTGTGCAATCGTGGTGCTTGTTCGAGAAAATCACGCTAAGTGCGACGTACGTTGGGGGCGCCATTACGCATGGCACGTGCATTACAATATGGCCGCGACGGTGGCGCGAGGACGGCATTTCGCATATTCCGACGGCCGCGACAGAGCAATTGCAGGAGTGACCGCAATGCGCGCAAGAACAAGGAGTGTGGCGAGCATGCACGAATACTTTGAAGAGGAGGACGACACACGGTCGAGTGGCGCGAGCTCCGGCCGGTCGAGCTCGTTCTCGTACAGGATGAGCATGGGCGGCCTCGACGACTGGGACTTCTCCGAAACCCGCGTCCGCCGTTGCAGTCATAGCAAACGCATTAGTTTCGACGACGACGTCAAGGTCGAGACGATTCCGTCCCTCTCGAGCATCGACGAAGCGACCAAGAAGAATCTGTGGTACTCGGCCGACGACTTTGCCAAGATGCAGCAACAGCAGCGCGCCGGCGACGCCCTCGGGTAGACGACAACGTCCCTCCCCTCCTCTCCATAGTGTGCTAGGTTCCTTCCTATTTATTCCAATCACGAGCAAAGTTTTGTTGCCTTCGAGGTCCCGCCGACAACGTCCTCCGCCGTTCTTGCGCCATGCATTCTATCCATGGCGCGGACAGCGAGCGGTCCTCGTTGGATTGCCGACGCATCTCCACGGCGGCCTCGTCGGCGCACAATGCTACCTTTGCGCGAAGCAGCCCGCCCGACTCGACCTTGATTGTACATTTTTCTTCTCTACCATCTAGTCTACATGATGCTTCAATCGTGCAACGAACGGTGCGGCGCAGACTCCTCTCACGCGGGCGGCGGGACGATGGTGGACGCGAGCATCGCGTGAACAAAGTCGAGTCGCGCTCGCTCCGTGGCGTCGTCGTCCGTGGCATCGCCATCGATGTCATCGTGATCGTCCGACTCCTTCCACGCCGTTGTCGAGATGTCGAGGAGCGCGCGCAACGCAATCGCCATGTCGCTTTCGACATGGTGAACACACAACGCGAACGGGACGGGCAAACGCAGCCACATGCAACAAACATGGCATCGGTCAACCATTACCTCGTCGGGACGATCTCGCTCGCGCCGCCCTTCAACACCCGCCGCGCCAGGTCAAAGTGGACGCGGTCCTTCACATGCCCATCCATGTCGACGGTGCGACCACGGAAGGAGCACCCGAGGGCTGCCAGCGGACACGCGTGCAGTTCCGATGCACACACAGCTTCATCGTGGTCGTGGCGCAGAAAGACGTTGCGGCAATGGGGGCACGTGAAGCGTGCGAACCCACAACTTACTAACGACGCAAGATGCGCTCGTTAGAGCGAACGGAGACATGGCGCCATCGTCCTACGCGAATGCCGGAATGCCGTGGCCCGGGTCAACGTCACGTCGAAGCACCCGTTGTCGAGAAACGCGCACGCTTCGGGCAATGCCGCAACGAGGCGCTCGATGGGTTTGCAGCGTCGAAGCGGCATGGGGTTGCATCGGCACAATGGACACTTGTCCTTGCGTTTCAGCGACTCCTACGACAACGGTCGATCTCCCACCCTCGCCGACATATGTGGACCGTACCCGCATGCAAGGATCGCAAAACACATGCGCGCACTCGGCACACTCGACGACCATGTCCCCATACGTATCGAGACAAATGGGGCACCGGAACGCTTGGTGCGCCGTCGCCACGGCGTCGCGCACACCTTGCTTGCGCAGCTCCACCATCGTATCCTTGTGGGCGGCAGGGTCCCATCGGGAGCCGCTGCTCGTACGTCGCTTCTTTGTCACGACCACGACGTCGTCTTCTTCGTGGTTCAGCTGCGTCGTGGTGGGCACACCGAGCGGGGACGACAGCGGTCGAGCTCGCGGCGGCGGCGCCAGGATCGCGGTGGACGTGGCGATGCTGCACATGTTGAAATGATGCAAGTATACAAATTCCCAGTATAACCGTCGCGCTGACTCGTTAGGGGTAGGGTGGATCCTTTTTCTCGGCGAGAACAGCGCCTTTTCAAGGGTTCGTTTGTATGAACGTTTGTATGTCTATACAAACCACAAGATAAAATGACGGCGAAGGCTCCAGGCGGCCCGCTGCCGGACGCTGCCATCGCGAACGGCGCTGCCGACCGCGCAAGCGCCGTCGTACGAGTGACTGTAGTAGTTGCCTCGCCATTGCATGACGCCCCCGCCCAACTCGCGTTGCCGTTGTTTCGTACGACAAAGTCTTGCCAGGGTTTGCTTGCCGACCACATGCGCGAATGGTGGGTTGCCAATGCCTTCGTGGCAGCGCTGCAACGTGCTGCACGAACGACGCTTCCGCTTGGACCGTGTATAGCTCTCGCCGCGTGCAGGGCGCATCCCTTCATCCACTCTACGCCGCAGCAGTGCCGAGTTGGATCGACGCGCGGCGCAGTCCAACACAAGTACGCGATATGCGCGAGCATGCCCGGGACACGTGTGGCTCCGCCACACCGTTCATCTCGCATCTCCACGCACGGCTCGAGAAGCTGCACACACTCGTGAACGGCAGTTCAGCTCAAGACGCAGGAATCCGATGATAGAAAGCTCCAGGTGGTGCACCACATGCAGCACCGGGTGCGGGTGTGGTGGATTCGGTCGAGGCTGGCGTCGGTGACGCAGGCGTCTTGGTGGCGGTTTGTGCAGTCGGGCAATGGGGTTTTGGTCACAGCGGGCGGTGGGGCCAACGTTTGTGTCGATGTGTTGCAGGTCCACCCCACCTGCCGCCGGCAAGATCTTCATGGAGCTTCCATGACAGTTTACAAGGTGGGTGCGAGATGGACGAGCGGGGCGGCGGTGCCGAGCGGACCTTTGCTGTTTCTGGCCGTCGAAGTTGGGATATGCAGGGGATGCCACATGACGCCGCGGCCGTTCTGGCCGCCATCGCGTGAGTTGGACAGGTCCAAGATGTGAGCGATCCGGCTGCGCTTGTCGACGTCGGCACGCCACAGCCGTTCGTGTGGCTCTTGTGGCGTCGAGGGTCGCATCGGATGATGCTGTCGATGTGGACTAAGGGCATGTCAACGAGCTGGTCCTTTGAGATCGGCAACCCACCAGTACGTACTCGCGCGCGAGAGGCAGCCAGGGCGACGCTCCAGTCCATGAGCATATTCCAAGTTGCCTGGATGTAGGCGGGGTTGTTGGCGCCGCTGCCAGTAGGGCCACCGCCTCGGGTCGACACGTGGCCGGTGAACCCTTGTTGACCGCCGATCGCGACGCCCGGGAGATGTACTGGCCGAACGAGTTTTACGGGTCCCTCTTGTCTGGGTTCCGAAGGATGACGCTGTCGTCTACGGTGCAAGGCCCGACGAGATTGGCCGAGCCCGTCACCCACCCGTGCGCCATCCACCGCGGAACGAGCCATGGAATTCGCCGCCGCCGCCGTTCGACACCCACGAGGGACATGGGAGCGTCGACGTGGTTGGCGGTACGTTTTCGGGCCGACCGCCGATTTTTCTCTCTTTTTTAAAATATTTGTTCAAAAATTTTATATTTTTGTTTCGGTCGGAAACGACACTGGACGGCGATGGTCAAGACGTCATGGACAACGGGGTCGTGCGATCGACGCAGAGGGTCCACCCAACTTTGCCAGGCATCCGACCACATCTGGGCCATCATGACCGAGGCAAACCCACGCCGCGGCAAAGCCAGGGAGAGGAGTTTCCATGCATGGGTGCCGTGGTGAATGCGAGTATGCGAGCCCGTGTGAGCGATCGCAGACGGTGTGTGTGTGCGGCGTGAGCGGTGGCATGGCGACAAGTCGGCGGTCATACCACGGAAGACGCTCGGGTGTTCCATGTGCGTGCGTGTGATGCCATTGCGCGTCTCCGACACTGACGTGTGTGTGTCCGTCTTGGACCTCCCCGTGCTGCACACGAGAGTGCTCCATCGTTGTGCGCCGGCCATCTCCATCTCGAGCCGTACGAAACAGGGCCTCTCCAACAGCAGCATCGCGCGATATTCGTCCAAGGCGGCACGATCGACTTGGGACGGCAAACGACGTGATGGTGCGATCGAAAATTCATTAATCGAGTGCTACGACAAGTGGAAACTGAGCTGGCCCTCCTCGATGCAGTAGAGAAGTTTGGCCCGCATGACTTGTTTCGACGTGTAGTCGGGGAGTTTGAGGTAGTTGGTGCACGTCGACGCGGACGGGAGCATGGCGTCGTTTGATGCCGCGTCGTCCGCCGTGAGCTTGCGGACCACGGTCAGCGTCGGGTCGAGCTTGGCGAGGCCGCCGATCGGAAGGCGGTGCGACCCCGTCACAAAGCGAACAAACAGTTTCTGCTGGTCAGGTGTCAACTCGGCGAGGATCTCGACCAGCCACTGAATCGCGCGACTCTCGGGGGTGTACCCATGGTCGCACACCATGGCGGCGCGGATCTCGTCGGCGCCTCCTGGCCACATTTCCCGCGACGGGTCGGCGAGAATCGCGCTCCAGTCGTCGGCAGACAGCATCGTCAACACGTCGAGCGGCGCGATCGACGAAAACCCGGCACGGAATGCGTCCACTTGGCGCTGGACCGACGTGTGCAGCAGCGCGGCCGCCGCCAATTCCACGTACGCAACCACGTTGTCGGTGGTGACGGGTCGGGCTTCGCCGTTCTCGCAGAGCGGCAGAGACGGCGGCAAGACAAATGTGAGCCCCATGTCGTTGACCGACGGATCGTCGCGGTGGGCGTACAGGTACGTCAGCGACCGGCCGAGCGTCGGGTCGAGAATCGAAATGTGCGCGAGCGCGTCAGACAACGGCGTGTGCAGCACCTCGCCTCGCACCAGTCGTAGAAATGGCACCGCCAGCGGCAGATCCAGCAGTCGCTCGTCCACAAGTGCCTGTGCCGTCAACGACGTGTCAGCATGATAGCGAGTGTCCACAAACACACCATGCACGCCTCCAATGCATCGCACGTCCATGACGAAAACGTCCTCTCTAGTGCCTCCTACCTGGGCGACGAGCTTGCCGAGAAAGTCAAAGAGCACGACCTGCGCAGACGTCGGCGATATCGGCCGAGGGTACAGTCCATGCGGGGCCACGATCGCGTCGAGCTCAGTGTAGATGGACGACGTCATATCAAACCCGTCCACCTGCGAGTCCAGCACTTGCGGGCTTGGCGGGACCAGGGCGACGAGCGCCTGCACGTCCGACTGCAGCAGCGTCACGGTGGTCTGTGTCAAAAGCGTTAGAAGCAGTGCCGCCGCCGACGATAACGACGACGTACTTGAGCCAGCGGCGTGCCCTCGCAGTGCACGGACGCATGCTTGGTGACGGCGCGGTAGTCGCGCTCGTACATGCGGCGGCCATTGCGCGCAGTCATGCGGTCGCCGTCCATCGTGACCAGTCCAGCGTCCGTCCCTGGAAACGTGACAGTGTCGCAGTGCGAGCATTGCAGCACGGGGTGGACGACGCTCGTCTTGCCGCGGGGATACGCTTGGGCCAAGTACGCGACTTCGCTGTCGCTCACAATCCACCACCGCCACGTCACGTCGCCCGACGTCGCGGCTGGCGCCGGCCGGCCTCGTTCAGCAGCAGCAGCGACGGTGCAGTGGCCGCATTGAAGCGACCACGCGCTTTGCGGCGCGCACACATGGCATTGCGGCTCCGTCGTGCTGGTTGGCTTGGTGCTGCCATCGTTCGATTGAGTGAGCAGAACGTTGTGCACAGGACAGATCGGCAGCGTGACGTGCGTGCATGCTTTGCAATGAATGACGGCGATGCGATGATACCCACGAATGGGCAACGCGTGGTGGGACGGCGGCTGTTCAGTTGCTTCGCCCTTGGTTTCCATGGTGGCAGGGATCCGCTTCGTTTCGTCGTCGGCATCCTCACTCGCATCGCCGTCGTGGCGCCACATCTTGAGCTGCTTTGCTTGCACTTCCTGGCTAACGAGCGAATAAAACTCGGTCGTCGGGCCCAGCCCTACCACCAGCAGCACCCGACCGTTTGTGAGGTCGTTTGGATCCGCGGCGGGTTGGTGGTACCTGTACCCACTTCGCCCAAGTACTCAATCTCAAGGATTGCATTCTGGCCGCCGTACGACGTCATGAGTTTCACTGCCGACTGCAGCAGCTTCGACCGCGCCACGCGCACCTTGAGCCGCGGAATCTTGGCTACACGTGCGACTGCAGCGGCTAACGCGGCTTCTTCCTGGCGGCGCGCCCCGGTGGCCTCTGTCGCCCGCGCACCCGTCGCGGCCGCCTCCGCTTTCCACAGCGTTTTCGACAAATACACGATGGCTCGCGCAGCCCCAAAGCTCGACGCGTACAAAAAGTGCAGCTTGGTCTCGAGCGGGAGCAAGAACGAATACGAGTGCAAGATCGCCAGGGCCGCCTCGGGAAATGCCGCCAGCGCCACGACAAGGGGTTGCATCAAGCACGTGCGTTGGATGTGCACCGCGAGCGCTGGCACTTCAAACGCCTTGGCCGGGACGGCCGACACGTTGTGGAGTAGCTCGAGCAAGGCCAAACTTGCGGCAAGAGATGGATGGGACGTCGACAATGCCGCCTTGTAATTTTCCACTGGCGGGGGCGAGTTCCGCGGCGGAGGCGCTGCGGTGGCTTCGGTCACGTGGAATGTCAACGGCACCGCGTCGCTCCACAACGCGTCGATGGACCACGCCTCCTCCTTGTTGCAACGACGCTTGCTCTGAAGCAGGGCTTCCAGGATCGTCATGGACGGCGCCAGGACGTCGCCATCCAGACTCGTGTAAACATGCGTCTTGACTTCTTCTGACGCGACGGTCGCACGGCGTCGATCGAGGCCATCGCTGTCATCGTCGAGCTGGGATCGCCCCGTCCATTTCTCCGCGACAAACGCCTCCATCGTCTCGATGCGTGCCAACGGCTCCACCAGTACGACCGTGTCTCGCCGTCCGGTCGACTTGTTTGCGTCGTCATCGTGGTCGACGCGAAGGCGCACCTTCAAGTGCTGCCCTAGCAACTCGACCATGGCCACTATCGCAGACGTGCCGCCGCCGCCTTGTCGAAACACGGACGGTGACGTCCCTGTCGCTGACATCGCTGCCACCACGTCGGCAAACGACAACGTGGTCGACTCATGAGTCGTCGACGGCGGGTGGTTCACATGCCACACCACGAGCTCTTGCAACGACGACACGAGCGCCGCCACCCACTTGGTTGCATCGACGCACGCCAGGACACGGCGGAATGCACAACTTGCGTCGGGCGACGATTCGAAACAGGCCACCAGCGCTGGCACGACCAGACTTGTCGAGAGCTCAAATGGCGTGGCGCTGCCGACACCAAACACACGTTGCAAGCGACCGGCAATCGTTTCCCCCGTAAGACGTAGTGGCGCCGCGTGCAGGTCCTTTGCAAGGGCCGCAAGGTCGTCCAAGACGGGCGTCGTCATCGGACCCGTCGTGGCGTACGTGGCCAAGAGTTGGCTCGCGCCGATGCTTTCGGCCGTCGCCATCGGGTCGTTCGCAACGCGTTCCAGCGCGCAGTACACTCCGTCGCGGACAAACCGCACATGATACACGTCATACGCGTGGGTGAGGGCGAGCGACATGACGAAGAGAGCCACCGACACGTCGTTCGTGCTGCCGCCGTCGTCGCGGAGGGTTGCCAGGCGGCGATGCACAGGTCGTTGCAATGCCGCCGTGATAAAAGCGCACAGCACATCGACGTGGACCAGCGCGCGGTGCGAGATCGTGGTCAGCATCGAGTTCAACACGTCAACGTACAGGGTGCGGACGGCGCGACTGGCCGCGTCCGTCGCGTCGGCTAGACCTGCCAACGACGCGACGAGCGCCGGCAAGAGCCACGTCGTCAGAGCGGTCGTGGCCAACTCAACCACGTCGCTGTCGTCGTTGGTGGGTGCCGCACTCAGCGACACCACGACCGCGTCGATGAAGAGCAACGATTGACGGACGAGCTCGCGATGTTGCGGCGCCGCCCGCGTCAGGATTGCGCACAGCACCGACACGACCCCGCTGTCGACCATGCGACGGCCGCACACACGACCGACCGCCGCCAAAATCTGCAGCAGCAGCGCGTACGTCGTCGGCTTCATGTTCTCTGGCATTCTCGTGGCAGTCGCCGTGGGATACGAAGCCAACATGCTCAGCACGTGGTCGAGAACGTCCGTGTCGATCACGGCCATGACCTGGTCCTTGTCGGCTTGCACCGTCGGGCTGTGGCACAACCTACCAGGCACCACGGGCGTGAGCCGCACCTCTTTCCACGCAATACCACAGGCACAAGCGCACTCGACGGCGTTCGAAAATGCGCGGGATCGCCGCCACGACGGCGTTGTCGCCGCGGTGCTTGGATTGCAATACGAAGCACAAACGCGTCTCGATGGAAAGCGAGCCCACCAGCGGACTCGTGGTGTTTGGCCGCTTCACCGCGCCAAGTTTGCCAAAAACGCAGCAGGTGACGTACCGATTCAAGCAGTCGAAGCCGTGGTACACAATGTCGGCGTCGAAAGACCGCGTGAGATTGAGGACCAGTTGCACGCCGCCACCGATTTGCACCATTGCGAGCGATGGAACGTCCGTGCACACGAGCGCGGCGGTGCGCGCGGCCGTTCGCTGAACATCCACGGCAAAAAAGTCGACAAATTGAAGGAGCGCAACGAGACCGTTCTCGCGCAATGCGGCGGCGCGGCCGGCGGGGGACGAGCACAGACGCTCGAGCATACGCAGCGCCAGCTCCGCCACGTCCATGTACTCGATGTTGAGCAGTTTGTCGCACAAACTGGCGACGACGTTCGCCGAGACAGCCATCTCGATGGCGGACGAGCAAACGTCGAGAACGATCGCCAAGGCGCGGCACGAAAGTAAAAGAATCTCCATCGAGTCGAGCGGGGGCGCGGCCACGAGCTCCGCCAGTACGGGAACAAACGCATCAGCACGGAAGCCTGACAACGTCAGCATTTCTTCCGACGACGACATCGAGAGGATTTCGCAAAGCTCCGACAAACTTGTCTACAGGATGGAGTCAAGATAAGGGCGTGCTCGTCACGTCATGAAGGGACGTCGATGATGGTACGATCGATGCAGCATTCCTACCATTTGAACATGCGCGGGGTTTGACGGTTGGATCTTCTCGAGAAGGATGCGGAACTGTGGATTGTTGGCGCCAAAAATCATCTACGAGGGCCGTCAGCAGCGCGCACTTCTTCGACCCATCACGCAGTCGTACTGGCAGGTCACCTCCCAACTGTCCCAGAAGTCCTACACAACGGCAACATTCTCGTTGAGCCGTGGAGAAGGAGGACGTCAGCGCGCGCGCTGTGCATAAGAGGGTTACCTCGAAGGGCCTGTGGCAGGTCTTGCGGTTGACGTGACAGCGCGCGAAGCGTTCGCATCATGTCGTGTTCGCTCAAGTCTTCGTCGTCACTCATGTCGGCGGCGGCGGCAGCGACGCACTCGATTGCCAGACGAGGCAGAACGACTGTCTGTCCGTCCTGGACATCGGTCGGGTAAATCGGATGCACCATCGAGTCCATTTTGATTCGCTAAAATGCTCTCCATTTTATCCAATCAAACAAGCAGTGACGTGGCACAACCCAACACAGCGCATCATCACGGCCGGCAGCTCGCGACCACCCACCACCCATCGCGCTGCGATCGACGCGGGCGATCCATCATCCGCTTGGTCAGGAAGACAACGCTCCCGATCCCACGCCGCCGGCGATCGACACTGTGCTCACGAGCAGCAGGCCACGTGGTGTGGTGGTTGGTTCATGGAACTGGTCGCGCCTGTGCTTGGAAAGCGCTCGAGCGACACGATCGATCGACGACGGATCGTTTGTCTAGGCGTTGTCTATATTAGTAAAGTTGGGAATTTATTGCTCGAGGGCCGCGAGCTTCTTGGTCAGGTTGTCCGCGACGGCGTCGAGGAATTCAAACGTGTTGAGCCAGTGGTGGCGTTCCATCTTGTCTTCATGGATCAAGAGAGCCAAGTCTTTGGTCATTTGGCCATTCTCGACCGTCTCGACCACGGTCGCTTCCAGCAGCTCGCAGAACGTCTTCAACTGGATGTTCTTGTCAAGGGACGCACGGTGCATGAGACCGCGGGTCCATGCAAAGATCGACGCGATCGAGTTGGTGCTGGTTTCGCCGCCCTTTTGGTGCACGCGGTAGTGGCGGGTGACTGTTCCGTGGGCAGCTTCCGCTTCCATCGTCTTGCCGTCGGGAGTGACCAACACACTAGTCATTAAACCCAGCGAGCCGAACCCTTGGGCCAAAATATCCGACTGCACATCGCCGTCGTAGTTTTTGCACGCCCATACAAAGCCGCCCTTGGACTTGAGCACTTGGGCGACCATGTCGTCGATCAAGCGATGTTCGTACCAGATACCGGCAGCCTTGTACCTGGCGGCGTATTCGGTGTCGTACAAGTCTTGGAACACGTCCTTGAATTGACCGTCGTAGCGCTTCAGGATCGTGTTCTTGGTCGACAAGTACAATGGCATCTTGCGGTCCAACGCGTACTCCAACGACGCGCGCGCAAACCCACGGATCGATTCCTTGGTGTTGTACATGCCCATGCCGACACCGCCGTCGGCGCCGTTGAAGTGGTATACTTCCCATTCTTGCGGCTGTTGGGACGCATCATCCGGGACGAACGTCATCTTGAACGTGCCCTTGCCAGGCGCGACAAAATCAGTTGCCTTGTACTGATCCCCAAACGCGTGGCGACCGATGATGATCGGTTCCTTCCACCCAGGGACAAGCTTGGGGATATTCTTGCATAGAATCGGTTCACGGAACACAGTGCCGCCCAACTCGTTGCGAAGAGTGCCGTTGGGCGATTTCCACATTTGCTTCAACTTGAATTCTTGCACGCGTTGTTCATCGGGCGTGATCGTCGCGCACTTGATGCCGACGTTGTGGCGCGCGATCGCGGCCGCGGCATCCAACGTCACCTCTACATAAGCCCATCTGTGACAAATGTCGACACACGATCCACATCACGTACGATCGTTGGTCGCGTCACGGTGCTCGACGCCCAAGTCGTAGTACTCGGTCTTCAAGTCCAAGAAGGGGAAGATGAGCTTGTCCTTGATGAGCTGCCAAATGATGCGGGTCATCTCGTCGCCGTCAAGGTCGACGATCGGGTTTTCGACGTGAATTTTCGCGAACACCATGGTGATGACGGAGGGGAGCGAAGTACTTGCGGCCTTGGACGACAAACGAAAAGTGATGCGGTGAATCCCTATGTGCTCCATGGAACCTCTCAAATTTTATAATATTTTCCTGTTTACAAATCGGGTTGGTTCCAACTGCAAGCATTTGAAGTTGACATGGCCACCACGCCGCTGCCGCCATCCGAGCGAATGACTTGGTTGACGGCACGCTTTGTGCAGCCTTGCGCTCCGTTCGACCGCACTAGGCATGCATGAAGAGGCCCATGTCACAGAGTCTATCGTATGCTGCATGCAGTGCGCTTGCTCCATGAGGTTGGTCGAATCGCAGAGGATGTCGTCGACGATGATTCGAACAGCCTGTCGTCCGTGGAGAATTCGCATCTCTGTAGGGTTCCGGTGCTCCATCACCGAGACGTCATTCGACGTGACAGCGTCGTCCGCCAAACAACAGCCGCGGTCTCTCGTCACCTTTGCAACGTCCGTCGTCGTTGGCATGTTTTGTCCCGGGTGAACATTATGTTTCAAAGGTCACATCCCCATCGCGCGCGCTTGAAGTTGTGTCTGCAGCCCGACGTCCTCCCTGCCACTTGCCATGCCACTCGGGCACCACACGCCGGGCACATCGTCTGACCGCGCTCCTCACATGGCGGTCACCGCGTTCGCCTCCATCCTGCGCCGCCGGCGTGGATTTTGGTGATTGACGTTGCAACAGGCCACGGTCGCATGGAGGCACCCACGGTCGCCAACTCCATGATTGGCTAGAATGGAAGGAAGGCTGGTGTGACGCGCCCTCGTCATGCCATTCCACGGATACATCCACGTGGTAAGATCGTCGTCGAGACTCGACACAGCGCGCCGCCCGCTCAACCTGGCGCAGTTGAAAGCGAAGCCGATCGCAAGATGTGTACGATGCGAGTGAAAGCACGGGGCCAGGTCGTTGCTCCGAGGACTAGATCGAGACAGCCTTGTTTGACCGGATCCAAGATAGTCGAAGAGACAGGAACACACGTGGCAGTCCGCGATGGAGATCGCGAAGGGAGTCGCTTTTGGGCAGCGTCAACGCCGCCCCAAATGCATTCAACAGTCAACGTGACGAGCACTTGACGTCCTTATCGCCCTTCTTGGTCATCTACGTCGTTTTATGTCCGCCGCATCGTCCATCGTCGATCGAATGCGACTAGCACACCGAAACAATTGCTGCACGATCCAGTAGAGCGGCATGAGCGGCGCAAATACAATCAGCGTCGCCTGGACACAGTACACGCGAAACGGAAAGCGCAAAATGTAGAGGGCGACGCAGACTCCGATTGCCCAGAGCACCCCCACCAGGACAAACACCACAACGTACTCCCACTCGTCGCCCTTGACGTCTACCGCAGGCACGACCAGCTCAGTTTCGACGACTCCCGTTGCCGCCATGCCAAGACACATGATGCAGCACGTCGACGCACCAACGGCGTACCTGCGCGCGCAGGAGTGGGTCGCTGGATCGCACTCTTGTGTCGATCGTGCGAGCGGTGCCGACCTCCTCGGTTGTGCATGGAGTGCTTTGGCGGAGTGTTCTGCCAGACCCTACACAGCCATGACGGTCCATGTCACGCCAGAGAGGACACGACGTCGTCGTACGGAGAGCCTGGAAAGATCACGGGTTGTTGTGTCATGTGCTCGTGGCAGTCCTAGCGTCAGGTCAGTTTTGTTCGATCGTCGAGACGTTCGTGGAGCGCACTCGTCCTGTGGGGCTGGGCAGCACGTGCTCCAGCAGCATCGTTGTCACCGTCGGCCGGCCGTCGTCGTCACGCATCGCAGAAAGGTACCGCAGTGCCGTTTCGCACGACAGACGTGTAACTGTCGCCATGACGTCGCTCAGTCGGTCAAGTCAATCGCGTCGTGGACCAGCGGGACAACGCCAGGTGGGATGCGCTCGTCGTCATCTGAAACAAGGTCGACGACGTCGTGAGATGCCGCGACGTGGCGGCTCCAGCCTCGCGCCACTTTGTGCGGTTGCTCGCATGACGAGCTTGTCGAGCGTCCGCGTTCTGCACTGGTTCGCACTGGCGCGGTGTTCACTCGACTGCCGCGCCGCTTCATCCGGCGTGGAGATTCCACGGATGCCAGAGCCACGACCCGCTCCACCTGCCCAGTTTCGTGCTTACGGCGCGATGTCGACGAAGAAGCCGTTGGGTGGGGGTTGTCGGGAGGTGGGTTCACTGCCTGGGCGAGCAATCTCGACCACGTCAAGTCCCCGAGACACACAGGACATGTTCCGACATGGGGAATCCCCAGCACGCCGTTGTCTTGGTCCAAGAACCGCGTCGACATGCATGGCACGTGCGCCTTCATGGAGCAGTCGAGGTAGCAATGCAGCGTTGGCTCGCAACGACTTGCGATCGGTTGAGCGCACACATCACATTCGGTGGAATCGGTCGGGGGAGACGGACAGCCATCGTGGGCGGATGGAAAGTCGTCCAGTGGAGTCCACACAGTTCGCATGTGGTCTGGAAGTCGAAACGAGTCGAGCGTGCGGCTCCACTCGAGAAAATCTACAGCCCGTCGTGTTGGTGTGGGTGGCGTGCAACAAAACTCGCACCGTGCGACGTGTACGACAGCGTCAACGACAGGCCCGACCATGGACGCACGTTGAGCACGAGGTGCAATTCCCGCACCTTGCGCTGAATCGATCGCATGGGGCCCAGAGATTTGTCCGTTTTGAGGTGCCCCATCGTTGGTTTCGTGAACCTGCTGTTGTACGGGTGCTGCCACAACCACTCGACTACATGCTTGCGGGTGACAAGGACGAAGGTGTCGAACGTGCGTGGTGGGCACCGAACGTACACTGCAGCGCTAGCTCTTTCGTGGGGAAGCCGTGCACGACCAAGACCATCTCCCTTGGACCATACAATCGGCGCAAGGTCAAACGCGAACCACACCTCTCTTACCACGGTCGATGCTTGAACGTTTTCTTCGCTCCTTGCACGAGCTCACCATTGTGCTGTCGAATGCGTCGCTTGGGGCTGACCGTGAAGCCTATATAGGACAGCCGCATGCGCTTCTTCCGTTCCATCGGCGTCAGTAAGTAGCATGCCAGGAGCATCTCGCCCGACGCTGATGTCGTCGTATTGACAGTGAATCGCGAATGCTGCAAAGGTTGGAAAAAAATTGGACAAAAATGCTTGGAATTTTCGCTAATATTTAACAAAATCCGATGGATTTTCTTCAAACGTTGAGCACCACCGCGCAAAAAGATCAGCGGCGGGTGCCGCGGGAAAGACAAAGCCACTCGGGAGGGTCGTTCGCACCAATGCTTCTGGCAAGAGGAATGTGGTAAATCGAGTCGCCATGTCCTTGCACGACCAACGAGTACGGCAGCGATTCGACGATTTCAACTTGCAGGGCGCTTGTTGCCGAGTTCGATGTTGACGTGACGCCGTCGGGCTTGAGCGTTCGATCGAGGACGCGGACACCGACAATCGTGGAATCGCGCCACCTGTCGATGAGGTCTCGCGAGATGTGGAATTGGTCGGCGAGCACCACGATGTGGTCTCGCATGAAGTCGTTGGTGACGACTCGCACGTTCTGCAACGACGACGCCAAGTGCAGGCTTCCATACAGCCAAAACAAATCGTCCGGTGCAACCTGGGCGCATCCACGGCAGACCGACCGTCACACACGAATCATCCAAGTCGAATTGTCGATACATACCTCGCGCCGGCACTTGAACGCCTGGTCGCGGGCTTCCCACTTGTCCAAAAACGCCTTGTCTGCGTTCGTGCGGGTGCGATGGACCTTTTTTCCTTCCTTCTGCTACACCCCCACATGAAACCTCGATGACGTGGCAAGACCAAGTAGAGAGTACCAGTCGTCGGGACGCAGTCGATGCCTTGACGCTAAGCAGCGACACCTCGTTGAAGTAGATGGACGGCATCGTGACTGACACGACGTGGCCGTCGGCCTCGAGCTCGGCGATGACTCGGTCCACGTAATCAAATCGAAACGCGCCGCCTTCAAAGTTCTGGTTCAAGTACGCCACATTCGGGCCGTCCACGATGAAGTGCATCTTGCCAGGCGGAACCTGCTTGCTCCTGTCAGGATCGAGAAAACCAGGCAACGAGCACGACGCGCGACGTACCTGCGCATGCCGCCGCGCCAGCCATGCTTCAAACTCCGCCAAAGCGCGTTCTTTCAACATGCTCGTCTTGGTCGGTATGGCAGTCGAACGATGTTTCGATGGCGCGGTGCATAACGCGCGGACTGCTTGGAGCAACTGCGCCGTTTCGGATGGACGCACCTTGAGCTTTTCCAAGGAGGTCCCACAATGGGTGCACACCTACGAGACGTTGGCCATCGACGTGTCGAGAGGCGCGTGGGTACGGGTTCGGTCAAGGCAAGCCGGGAAACCCTCCAGTCGTCCGTGGTGCCCGTTGCCGACGAATTCGTGTCATGACCCGCGTCGAGCAGGCGAGGTTCGAACGAAGCTTCCCAAACGGCCGCTTCCGCGCGTGAAAACTGATACCGCAGCACGTGAAGGTCGTCCATGATGCTGCGAACAAGTCCTTCGTGGCCGTGCTTCAGTGCTGCCAGTGCAAACGATGCCTGCATCCATGCTCTCAGCACGCGCACGGCAATCGTACGATGATATGCGTCGTACCAGAATGGGGCCAACAGTGTCTGGCGACAAATATATCGACGACGCAGACTTGACAGACTCCCACCGCGTCCATGCCGCACCCATGTCGCCAACTGAATGAACACGTCACGAAATACGTCCACAAGTGGTAGTTCGCAAACGTACCGTCAATGTAGTGCTCGAGGAAGGGCGCGTGGACTCGAAAATGCGGGGGGGACTGTGGAAATCGCGACTCGCGGATGCGCAGCGCGTCTTCTGCGTGTTGGATATGCCCTACATACAAGAATGGACGTGTTCATGATCGAGCTTGAGAATCAAGGGTACATACCATGCTTAATCATGAGTGACATGACAGACGCCATGGTACCGTCACTTGGTCCTGCTGGGTCGTCACGTAGAAAGTTGTTGAAGTACGCCATGACTGCATGCACGAACGTTGGGGACAGAGAATCGTGCTGCAGACATTTGTAGAAGAACGCGTCCGAGCCCTTGGAGTCGTATGGCGACACGCGCGACGCCAGCACGTCAAACACTTCCTCGATAGTGCTGTTGCTTGAATAGAGGAGGCGATGGATCGGCGGCCGATACCCCAAATCCTTTTTCATGGCGTCGGTGCTAAATGATTGATGTGGCATCGTCATGGCGACCTGCACCATGCGCTGATATCGCGGCGTTTTCTCTCGAGACCACCTCCCCAAATGCTGTCGTATGTGTCCATGGAAGCGGCGCATCACACGCGCGGTCCAGCCTGCAGCGCGCGCTATTTCGCAGCCAGTTACATCCGGACAAATTATCCGGATGAGATTGGGATTTTCTCGGGTCGATGCTTTCGTCTTCGCTGCAATATCACGAAATCAATCCATTTGATTCGCTGGAATTCGACCATTTTCGATAGTTGGACCAATCAGACGCATTCAGAATTCGATTTTATGGCAGATTTGGCGGTCTCGCAAGAACCACCAACCGATTGTGCAATTGAGCGTCATGGTTGTCCGCCTCCGCTTGGCCCGATGGGGCCGCGTCCACTCGCCGTTCTACCGCATCGTTGCCGCCGATGCGCGCTGCCCTCGTGACGGGCGTCATTTGGAAATCCTGGGCACGTACAACCCGATTGCTGCGGCGGATGGAGTGAAGGAACTGCGTGTGAACAACGACCGCATCAAGTACTGGCTGAGCGTCGGCGCCCAGCCCAGCGACCGCGTTGCGTTCTTGTTGGGTCTGGCAAACGTGCTGCCCATCCCGCCGTCTCGTCAGTACACGAAGAAGAACCAGTCGAAGCAAGAAGACAAGTAGACGACACCCCAACAAACACATACCCGCGACAGCCCAACCTCGCGCGCGCCCTTCATAAGCCTAGAATAACATCCCAACCGCCCTCATCCTTTCGTATCCCGGTGTCCTATATCGTGCTGTGGTGTCGCATGTTATGTCTAAGCCCATCATGTGGCGCCACGTCCCACGCAAACGGTTGTATTGCGCCACGAGGGCTCCGCGACATCTAATATTCCGGCCACCTGCGCCTTCATCCTTTAAGCGAGCATCTCGTTCTTCGTCAACTGTGAGCCGCTTTGGCACGAGGTAGTATGGCGAGGGGCGGCAAACGGCGGAATCAAGTCCTGCGGGGCAATACTCACATCGATCAACATCACATTGTGCCACCGCCTGCGAAGAAGGCCAAATGCACCCGCGTCCCGACCAAGCACGTGCCCGTTGATTATGCATTTACGTCGGCGCTGGGCAACGACGGCGACGCGGCATCCGCGGCAGTCCTGCAGCACGACGGGTGCATATACGATGCCCATCTTCATCAAGTCGTCTCCCTTCGCTTGTACTCCACCTCGTGTGACCAACTGCATGGCGTAGGCCTTTTTGGCGTCGCGACGGCATGCAACGTGCCTGCTGCAGCTCGTGGCCACGGACTACGGGTACTACGTGTGGCAGCGGCGCACGCGCTGGCACGGCGACGAGGCTTCTTCGAAGGACGTGACAATGACGGAGCTGTCGCCGCGCACTGCTTTGATGCAGGAGGCCATCGACTTGTTCACACAAGCGTTTGAGCAAAGGGCGGGAGTGCGGTGGGTCGACCGGTTCGACAACGCGCTGCGGATGCAGCCCATGCCGTCGGAGAGTTGCGGACGATTCTGGTGCGTCGACTGTGCGGCCTTTGTCGAGTCTGAATGCTGGATTAGCTTTGTCGCAATGGAGTATCCGTCTGCAAGCACTGCTTCGTTGCATGTGCGGTGCCCGCCGGCCATGCACACGGACGTGCGCAAGCTCATGTCGCTGCTCTACAAAGACGTCGAGTGTCCTGTCTTGAGCTCGCGGGACGACGACGACGACGATGACGGCGTGTTTGCGATGCCGCTGCCAGTTTGGACACTGTGATATTCATGGAGATGACTCACGTTCGTGTCGTAGCTGCCGTACGCCACCGTCGCCATTGACTTTGTACACTTCTTTGTGTTTCATCGAGGCGAGGCAGCGCCGACATTGTCGACGTGTAGGCGAATGCGATTCTCGATCAAGTGGCCGCGGCACTGCAGTCCAAGTCTCGCGGGCGCCGCGGCAAACTTCAAGGGTGGAGCAATTTGTACTTTTCAGGTAACTTCCAACTCTTGAATCGTTGGTCAGCCACAACGTCGGCCATTGTGCAGCAATTCCACACACGTACCCACCGCACAACATGCTCGATTCGACGACAACGATTGAAAACTGCCGCGAGATGCTCAAGGAACTGCACATGTCGAGTGTACGTGTGTTTCATGATCTGCGTCGACTGACCGGTCGGAGGTGCAGCCGACCCGATCGTTGGTGCACCATTTGGCCCCGCCGGACTTTCTCGCGCAAAAGTATGCGGCCCTAGGAGTCCATCTCCAAGTCGTGCCGACCGAATCTCTCGAGTACGACCTCGTCGCGACCTACCTCGACAACTCGAAGGCCCATGTTCAGTACAAAATGACGATTCAATCCGTCTATCGCATCAACAAGGCGGCAAGTGCATCTGTGCAACGTTGCGAGCGGTCACGGCCGGCATGGTAGGACGAAGCCATGGCGTTCAAGCCGTACGAAGTGCTTGGGAATCGAAAGGTGCAGCTTCATTCCGCCCAACGGTACCTCTGCATGGATGGCTCGTAGCTGCTCTGGCATGGTAGCACACTGGCCAACTGGCCTGGAATTCTCAAAGACGGTCGGTTGTCGTCGGACGAGCTCGTTGCAATCGTTGGCTGAGAGGTAAGCGCGTAGGCCTTCAAATTGCACCCCCCCATGTCGCAAGCAACGGCCATTGCTTTGGCAAAGGCATTTACTTTAGCGACTCGGTATGTGCTTCAACAGTCCATGCTTCTTGACGGAACTGGATTGCTTTTGCTAGGTGTCGCGATCGGCGCCGTACTGCCGCGTGACCATGGAAAAACGCACGGGGATTCTGTTACTGAGCGAGGTGAGAGCGTCGTCCACTACTGCCCTTCGGAGTGTGATTGGCATGTGGGTGGCATAGGTCGCACTGGGCAACCCAAATCCGTGCACCACGACCAACACGCGAGCCCAGTCGGCAGTGGACTTTGTCGAGTACCACAGTGTCCTTGGAGTGGGCTCTTTCGCTCCGTCGCCCGACGGCGAGCACGTTCTTCCAGGTCCATGAACACTAGTGCTCCTGCTCTGTTACTCATCCGCCGTAGATGGCGCGGTGATCCCGATAGGGCCGCTCAAGCATCATCCCATTGGCGGCAAGCGAGCAGCCCACATCCACGTTGGCCTCGACTACAACGAATACGTCATTTACAACCCGGCGCAGACGCGCATGCGGTACCTCGTCGTGACGGACTTCGGCTTTGACATGTAACGAAAATGGCATGGACAATTGGTGCAAGATACAAAACTCGACATGTGCGCCATTCTGACGTGTCGAAGTTTTATTGTTAAAACGTCATGGCTTTTTAAGTTAATCCTTCCTGAATTGACGTTAAGCCTACCTCGACTGCGTTTTTCCTCATGGTATATAGGTAAAAGCTTCAAGAAATTTCGATACATAGGAAAATTCGTACGGATAATTGAATGTATATAAACGTCAAGATAACCGTGTACGCCAAAATGTACACATTTATTTCCATTCAAAAGGAGCCCAGGAGACCACACAACTGCACCCATCGACAATCTCAACCATAGCTTGGTTTGGGCTTGTACAAACCAATCTAAATTACGACTTCATTGACGAAAAAAGAATGTCAATTCACAGTTGAGATTATTAATGCAAGTCAAGTTGTTGTCGTGCATAGATGACTTCGACCACACGATGTCGTACAATTTTCTGATTGTTCCTGCGTTAGGTTTGGCAAATACAGTGACGAAAATTTCATCTTTCGACAAAGAAATTGGGTTGAAATTCCCAAAATATCAAAATGACCCAGTTGCACGTCGAAAAAATCGAAAACGACGATATGTGATAGTCGTACGTTCGTCAAGATAGAATGATTCTCCAAAGATACGAATATTTTGAGGAAACACTCAATATACTTCTTGTCATGCACGCGCAAGATATCCCGATTCGAATGGACCCAATTACATCTATTTACAATGTTTTATATTGTCCGAATGCAAAAGAAAATTTGACGTCCAACTCTTACCTTCGTCGTTCACCTCCAAAAAGTGTCATTTTGGGAAAAGGGGATGGATTTTCTTGACACGTATCTTGTTCGGTCCTGGAATATTTTTCCGGGATAAATGGCGGTTACACATTATTCCATGGAATGTGGTGTCGACGCGGCGGTCGCGCTCGACGTGACTCCGCGGCCGACGCCGTTCGACTTTGTCGTTGGCGACCGCACCAAGCGGTGTCTTCAACTGTCCAACCCGTCGTTCCATGTCTCTCTGCACTTCAAAATTCAGTGTACAGCATCTTCTCGCTTCCGCCTGCATCCTTCCAAAGGCATCCTTGGGCCGCATGCCGCAGTTGCCGTCCAAATTCAACTGTCCACTCAGGTACGTTGTCGCGGTCTCACTGCAACTTATCATAGTGCTCGCTCCACGTAGGCAACGACAGAAGGCGACTGCGTCTTTCTCGTGCTGGCGCTTCCCTTCTTGCACAACTCTGCCACCGATGGTAACGCTGACGTTTGGAAACACGCAGCACCGACGATGATTTCCAAGCAGTACATTTCAAGCCGCATCATCTCTGCTCCGGTTCCCGATTTCCTTGAAGATGACCTTCCTCGCTGCCACTCTTCCCCTCGTCCAGCATCCTACACCACAGACAGCTATCCTCCAATCTTGTCCTCGCCCTCCTACATCAAAACACTGCTGATCAAGAACAAAAGCCGCCTTCCCGCTAATCAGCTCACAGCTGCTGAAATCGCATGCCTGCGCCAACACAAGCTCCACGTGTCCGTGGACGAGTGGAGCCAACTTATGGCCAGTGCGATGGCTCAGCGCAAAGAACTCCGCGTGCAGCGCCACTGTCTCTGCCGGCCAGCGCCCAAGCAGCCCCAGTCACATCTCTCCTTCGACCGAGACATTTCTCCATCGTCTCCATGCAGCCGCTCCGACACAAGTTCAATCGACGGGCGATCCCTCCGCGCAATGCGAGGACGATCTGGCAGCTCTACATGTAGTTCAACATGCGAGAGTGGGGGCGCCGAGTCGACCGCCGCCGAGATGGCGTACTCGGGACATGACGTCCTCGACGGAGGCGACTGCAAAGAATCGAGGGATAACCATAGAAAGGGGAGGACTGGAGCATCCAGTAACCAATGGACGCGGTACATGCTGGATGTGTGTGTTCAGCAGCTTGCGCACGTCGACGAGGTACGTGTTTGGAATGAACTTGTGTGTCGATCTCGATGGCACTTCGATACGATGGTAGACATGCACGGACATGACGACGACCATGGAGCTGCCAAAGAAAGCGCGAACGACGCTCCTGGCCCTTCGCAACGCGGCCAATACTCTCGTCGACTTGTGCAGACGGCATCCATTTCTCCACGAACAGGACGAAGGCGGCGATCCTCGAGACGACGGCACCGCGTCGAACGCATCTCTTCGTTCGTCCACAGATTTTTCGTATCGAAATCGCAACGAGTTGACCTAACGCGCAACTGTTCCGTCGTCGACCGCAGGCGCTTGCTCGGACGAGCGACGGCGGGTTTTTTTTTGCAGTGGCATGGCGTGTGCACGACTATGCTCGGCAGGTCCCTTGTCGATATCAGGGTGGGCGCTTTCATTGCGGCGGTGTGTCGTCGTTTGCTATGCAGCTTCCAACGAAGGCAAGTAGGGCTGGCAAGAGTCGATGGCGCGGAGTGCATGGACAATGGTTACCGAGGTCGACCGTAAACATGCACAAGTATTGGTGCGTGCGGGCGAGGAAGACCATCACAAACGTCACTGGTATGGATGTAGTTATCGTCCTCGCGTTTGGTTGACGATGTCATCCAAGCGGTGTTGGAAGAGCAGGCACCATGACGACGACCGTGAGATTGGCAGATGTCGCGGTATGGTTGAGGCAAACTGTGGAATAGCTTGGCGAAACACGAACAGCGCCGTCCACCTCGAACGGCGCTGAGCCACATACACCTCGTGCACCTCCCGCGTCGTCCGGCATCATGCAGCGATGGTGGACCTGGGATGCGATTCAAGTGACTCAAGTATAGCCAATCAAACCGTTCAGATCGAAATTTTCCGGATAAAATGCTAGGATTTATGGCACTTGAACGGGACTTATTCTAAAATTCAAACTCGACCGACGCGGACTGCCGCGCCGCGCGTTGAGGCCAATGTTTGTGCCGTTAAGCTCTGGGGAGGAGACCTTCTTGAGACAAGAGGAAGCTCAACGACGGCGGAAGCAGAGACTTATCGAGGTATGTGTTCTAGACGATGGACGTGAGTTCACGGCCGGGGAATTTGGATCTAGGTGCGTCGACAGGAAAAGCGCATTGCACAGGAGCGCGCGCAATGGTACAAGGTCCAGCTCAAAGAAACACTCGGCAAGAAACGCGCAGAACAATTGCAAGTGGCCGAGGCTGAGAAGGCCGTTAAGTTGTCGCTGCTGCATGCCAAGTACAAAGCTTCCATGGACGCAATTGGCGATGCACATGCGATGGCTGCCGAGTTCAATGCGAACCTCCAGATGCGCGCGAAGCGACAGCTTGAAGCTCTTGAGTACAACGACAGCGTAAAAGACCAGCGGTACAAATCGGCTGTGGACGATGCGCTTGAAGAAGCACGTCGGCGCGAGGCACGGGAACGAGTTGCGCGGGAAAACATGGCGAAAATCCAGGAGATTGCTTCCCGACAGCGCGTGCACGCCGAGCGGGAGCACCGCCGTAAGGTCGAACGGGACGAACGGCAACGACAACAACGAGACGCGATGGCGTCCGCGGTTGAAGAGCGCCTCGAGCACACGATCGTTAATGCAGCCCGACCGCATGCAGTCCATCTCCACGAGTCCGTCCTGCGCCATTCCCGCCTCCATGCAATGACTCATACGACGACAGCATCTGTAAAGACAAGTAGAATCTTACGGCACAATATCAAGCACCCCGCAGCGGTCGATGCTTGGAACGAAGGTCAGCGGAAGCGGTTGGAAGTCGACCAAGCGGTCCATGCTCGCTTTGTCGCGTCTGAGGCACAGGCGGCTGAAGCTCGTAGCCGCGGCGTTGTAGCCGAGCGCCAAGTGGTCGACCGCGCCGAGGCCAGGTCGACTCTGCGATGGTTGCAAGACGCTGATCGCGAGTACGCCCAACAAACAACCGATCGACACCGAGATCTACTCTACGCCATGCATCGAGCGGCGCGAGACCGCGAATCGCTAGAGAGAGCAACGGAATCAGCATTTGAAGCCATGTTTCACCAGCCACAAAACGAGGAAGAAGCGCAGCAGCCTAAACCACACATCCATCGCTTGGCCAGTGACGAGGACGGCTTGATCGCGACACCTGGCAAAGACGACCAAGATGAAATCCCGCGTCCGTTGCCAGCTGTCACCCCGGCGGCCGTTCCGCCACCGGCGCCTGCGCGACGTCTGCAAGGTCGTCCCGTGGACCACCGTCGCGAACGCCCTCTACCACGACGACGTTCGGCGCCCAGCATTCCATCGGCGTTGCATGACCCGCAGATAGAAACTGGTCGAGAGAGAGGTCATGCAAGAGAACAAATCGCGCCGGTCATGCACCCGTCATTGCCTGAAGAAGACTTTGATCGAATCCTCATGAAAACGAACGAGACTGCCGTGGCAGCGTGTGACGATGCCCAACTGAAAGTTGCCGCGAACGCCGACCTGTCCGTAAGCTCACCGATGCTCAAGCCAGTGAACGTCGAGGACGGCCGAGAATGCGTTGCCAGCCCTCACGGGTCGGTATGGAGCAGCCCTCGACGTTGTCAGCCCTTCGAGACAGATGAAGGCGACGGCATCGCCACTCCGCCGTGGTCCCCGGCTGTCGCTGTGCTTGAACAACCCGTGGCAAACGAGTCGGACGATCCTGCGGTCGACGCAGCACCAGCTCGTACGAGTAGTACAGGTGCAGAGTCCCCCGAAACGAGCCAGTCGACGGAGGTACCACCGCAGACAAGCGAAATTTTGCCCAAGCTGCGTTCGAAAGGCAGCTCGTCGTCGGCCTGTTCTTCTCGGCGCAGTGCCGCGTCCGCATCGTCCTCCGTGAGGGTTTCCGCGCGTAGTCCTGTCGATGCAGTAAGGCATCCGCAGCCGTTTGGCACCAGCATGAGCATGGATGCAAGCGTTGACCCAAGCACACTCGACAACATGGACGGTCTCCCGCCACCGAGCTCTCCGTCAACCTCTCCGACAAGCACATCGCTTCCAATGACCGCTACCGACCAGATCGTGGACGGCACGATCGACGGTCCTTCCACCGCAACCAACATCTTGTCGTCGAGCGAGATCGTCTCGAGTGCCGAGAAAAAGTCGCCAACTGCCCACGACACTCGTCCTCCGCCCCTTGCTTCCACCAGGTTTTCATTCAGCTCTAGCGAGTCTCCTTCCAGCGACAAGTCCGTCGCTACTGCGGCAGGAGCCAACGAGCGGCCACCGGCCACGTCTTTGTCTCGAGGCGATGCGGCTTCACACGGCGGCGACCATGTCGCTTCTTCCCCTATAGACTGGACACACGAGCGCTTTCCCATCACGTTCGACTCGGCTGCTTTCGAGCGACCCCACCCAGCCCTCCACCACGAATTCTTTGACCAAACGTCGCCGCCCGTCCACTCGACATTCCGGCAACCCGTACGCTCGCAGTGTCGCGGGAATTACTGACGTCGTGTGTGTGCAGCATGACTGGCGCTCCAACTCCAGCGACGACCTGCCGTGCTTTGACCTGACCTCGTCGTCGTCGTTCTCGTCCGAAGTCCTTTGGGGGACGGCGGCCGCGGATGATGGGCCGTCATCGCGCCATGGCAAAGACGACGACGCGGCCTCGTTGGTCGACCCGACGTCGACAGCCGTGCGAACTCCACTCCGATCGTCGCGATTCCCATTGTCTAGCAGCAGCAGCAGTAGCAGTAGCAGCAGCTCCACCCACGCACGACCAAAAGGTCGTGAGTCCCCACTGTCGACACGCCAGCGCCTGCTCGATCTTCTGGGGTCATCGTCGTCGTCATCTTCATCGTTGTCTGCCATGTCAACTAGCCAACAACAGGCCCACGACGACGATGTGGATTCTCGGATGCAATCCACCCTGCGCCGCATGCACGATCGTGTGCGGGAAATGACGGCGGCGAGATGGCCACTGGCCATGTCTCGCGAGCACGAACTACAACACGACGATGAAGCCGTCGGCGGCCTCGCCTCGCCGACCAGGTCCCACGCAGCGAATGGTCGGCACCATGTCGACCACTGGGCGCAAATGGAGAGCGGCGCCGGCCGGTCGAACGACGCCCCACTTGCCATGCTCCAAAATGTCGACTTGTCGATGGATCTGTCGTCGTCGGTCGAGCCGTCGTCACCAACGTCGTCATCGGCCAGCGTCACCCACGCATCCCAGAAGCAATGGCAACGATGTCAGGACGTCGAGCCGGCGGCGGTGGATGCGCCGCTGGTGCTGCAGTGGCTCCAGTGGACCCCGCGTGAATCTCGAACGCCGTCGCCGCCGCCAGCAATCGATCGCCCTGTGGACCACGAACGGAGGATGCACCGCGTCGACGAACCCGCCGAGGAATTCCATCAAGACGGCGCCGCCGACGACTGGCGAGTCCTTTCCACGTATTCATTGAGCTCTCACTCGTCTGACGCGACGTCATCCCGCCACCATCTTCCGCACTCGCTGCACCGTACATTCGAACGGTTGAGCGGGCCGACCATGCCCGACGCGCGATGGCATCCCCGTGCGAAGTCGGCGTCCTCACAATATGATGACGACTTGCTCGGTAAGCCCAGCTCTCTCGAGCCGTCTGGATCGTCGTCTGCTGGGTCGTCGTGCGCCGACGACATGGCCATCGTTCAGAAACAGAACAGGAGGAATGCACACCGTCCTGTTGACCATCCAAATGCAGAAGCTGGCACGACCCTTCCCACCTCCCATCGGCCTTTGCTTGGGTCGTGGGGTCGTGCGCCAAGCAGCAGCAGCTCGTCGGCCTCCTTGCACAAGTCCATGTCACCAACGACATCGTCCGTGAAGAGCCCACCAAGTGCATGGCTTGGCGCTGCTCCGAGCCTCCCAACGACCCCATGCCCGGCTTCGGCGCCGCCATCGTCCCCACCCACCCAGGACAAACATGCCAAGACGCATCATTCCACCATGGAACCACGTCGTTCTCGTCCACAGCACGACCTCGTCCCTCCCGTGAACCCGACGTCCAGTGCCGCGCCAGACCTTCCTCGCAACATCGCACTCGAGGATGACACCCGAAGCAGCAGCAGCGACGACAGCCACTTGACGCATCAATCGATCGCCGCCCCAATCGACGTGCCACCCACCGAAGGGCATCGCGACTTGAAGGCGAGCTCCCATGATCCATTGCCCGAGTCCAGTCCGTCAAGTGCCCGTCTGCCGTCGCCTTTGTCGTCAGCGTCCGGGGGGCATGTCAACATTGCGGAGGAAGTCGCCCTTGTACCACACGACCCCGTGGCGGTCCAACCAAACAGAGACACAACTCCACGAGCTGTCCATGGCGAGGCTGGGCCTCTCGCTGCATCCTACAAACCCCACGACCGTTCTCGCATTCACGCATCCGAGTGGAGAGTCGAGTTGTTCACTCGTGGCCATCCCCAACCGAGCGAGTCGTCGGCCGTGTCTATCGGCACGACGATGGACTCGATTCTTGTCGCGGAATCAACGACCACCCCGCCATCCCAACTACTTGCAGCGCGTCCACCGTCGTCGCTGGCATCCCCGTCGACTGCTTCACGTGCGGAAGGACTAGAGGACGCCGCCGCGCAGTCGCACGACGTGTCCTGCGACGTCATGGACCCACCACACACGGCGCCCGACCAACGACCCCGTTGCGCCAGCCAAGTCCGCCCCATGGACTCATGCTTGCCCCCGTGGCACGACTTTGACGAAAGCGACGGTAGCATCGTCGAGTCCATGCCAGCCACAAGGACGCTGACGAAGTACGTTCATCTCAGCCACTCGTTCGTTCGGGTCAATGTGTGGTCGTAGGCAGTGCTCGATGGCCGGCATGCGTGTTCATCGCGACGACGATGACTCATCGAGCTCGTCGACGCTGCCGTCGCCTCGACCTTTGTTAAACGTGGTGTCCAGGCTGCCACCGATGCCGCATCCTCGCATGGACTTGTCGCGACCGCCGCCGCCCGTGCCGCCGTCGTTCGTGCGCTTACCATCCTCTGACGACGACGATAACCACGACGAAGAGTTGTCGCCGCGACCACTGGACGACCCGCCGCCGTTGGCCACTTCGATTGCGGATCACCTTCGCCTGCGCAACCCTGGCCTGTACAACCGCATGGCCCATCGAAAGCAACTCTTGTACGAGTCCGGTCGGTCGTTGGGACCAAGAAGGATCCAGTCGGCAAATTCAGGTGCCGTGCATGGACGTCGTGACAGCCGAACGTTGTGACTCGTCCCATGGAATGTGTAGCATGGCGGCGCATGGACAGCCCGGAAAACGATCGCGCCGCGCGGCCAACGTCCGCCATGGAACACATTCTCATGCCTCCGTCGTCGTCCGAGCCGCGTCGGCTGACCCGATCTTCGGAGCGGGAGGTCATTTCTCGTTCGGAAATGCTCGCGCGAAACCAGCGGCTCTACGCCAAGCTGCCAGAGGTCGTGGAGCGCAAGCGGCAGGACGAGATCGCGCGGCAGAGAATGGATCGGCTCAAGAAGTTCCGCGAAGACGACAAAGCGCGGCGCCAGGCGAAGACAAGTGTCGGCCGACGATGAATATGCCGCGTGAGATGACGTTTAAACAACCGTCGATGTCGTTTAAACGTGTTCTGCCAGCCGCGATTTGGGCGTTAAACACCGCTGCACAGCTACGTTGAATTGAATGGATTGGTTGACATGATGTGGGTTTTATGTATTTTGCCCAATTGGAATGCAGTGTTCTGGAGCTGCATGTGGCGGCAAAACCAGAATCGAAAGGAACGCCATGTCGGTGGACTTTGAAGCGCCGTGGGTGGAAAAGTACCGCCCGACGACGCTGTCGGAGATTGTAGGCAACTCGGAGACTGTGAGTCGGCTGCGTGTCATCGCAAAGGAAGGGAACATGCCGAACATCATCATCAGCGGCCCGCCCGGGATCGGGAAAACCACGTCGATACTGTGTCTGGCGAGGGATCTGTTGGGTGATGCGCTCATGAAGACGGCGGTGCTGGAGCTCAATGCGTCCGACGACCGTGGGATCGACACGGTGCATTCTCTCTCGTTTTGTGTGTCATATGCGTGAACGAGGCCGTGTAGGTCCGCAACAAGATCAAGATGTTTGCCATGCAAAAGGTCACGCTGCCACCCAACCGGCAAAAGATCGTGATCTTGGACGAAGCAGACTCAATGACAACCGCGGCACAGCAGGCGCTCCGTCGAACGATGGAAGTCTTTAGCAGCACGACACGGTTCGCTCTCGCATGCAACAACTCGACCAAGATCATCGAGCCGATTCAAAGTCGGTGTGCAATCCTTCGGTACACTCGTCTCAAAGACGACATGATTCTCGAGCGCCTTATGCACGTGTGCGACGCCGAGAAGGTTGGGTACAACCACGACGGCATGGAGGCCCTCATTTTCACGGCGGAAGGCGACATGCGCAACGCGCTCAACAACTGCCAGGCGACATTCAGCGGGTTTGGCTACATCAGCGACGTCAACGTATTCAAGGTGTGCGACCAGCCGCATCCGACCGTCGTGAAAGAGATCATCGACGCATGCATCCAAGGCGACATTGTTCCAGCGGAGAAGGCCATGATCGCGCTGTGGAAAACCGGGTACTCGGCCCTCGACATCATCGGCACCGTCTTCCGCGTTGCCAAGAGCGCCGAGATGGACGAAAGCCTCAAACTCGACTTTGTCAAGTTGATCGGACAAGCACACATGTGCGTTGCGGACGGCTTGACGACCGTCGTCCAACTGCATGGGCTCGTCGCGCGGCTGTGCGCGGCGGCCGTCCAAGCCAAGAAGGCCCACAAGACGAAAGCATGAGGTGTCTTGGATCGAAACACTAATCCAACCTGTGCATCCTATCTCATCTGGAAGCGGCAACCCACGAGCTGCAGCACCGTTGGGACGCCATCTCGACCCAACGTCGAGACGTTGGTTTCACTCTGGCCAGCAGCAGCATCCTCCTCCGCCACTCGATACACGATCGATCTGCAATCACAACCGGCGCAAAGCACCATCCCGTGCGCGCGCTCTGCTGAGACACAACGACAACGTCGTAGTCAGCAGGCGAAAACGTCCAAAAGGTCACAGTGTCCTCGGATCGCCGGTACGTTGTCGATGACATATTGGCGCATGATCGGGAACCCACCGGCAAGTGGGGATGTTGTCGACGGTCGGGGCCGCCCTGTTGTCTCTCGATACACGCGGCGACCGAGCGCGCGGGAAGCCTCGACACTTGAACAGGGAGATGTTGAAGAATTATACGGCGTCGGTGCGTGTCGCCGGTCATGCTCCCGACTCAAACCACGACGTGTACGTCACGAGGGGAAAGATGACGAGGGTGCCGCCGAGCGCGCCCATTTGGGTCATGAACCCACTCCACTGGTACGCCGTCTTGGCGTACGCTTCGTTGCCGCGCACTTCGCGCTTGAGCGTGAGGTACACCATCGTTTGCGCATATGCAAACAGAAACACAAACGAACAATTGGCGGCGACGGCTACGCGAGAGTGCGTGAGATCGATCGTCGGCCGCGCCGACGTACGCGCGAGGCCGCCGTACGCGTACGTGGAAAAGATCGGGTCCGCCGTCGTCGACGACAGCACCATGACGAGCTACGACAGGAACGTCACGGGCGGCGGCAAGACGCGCGGCGCCTACCCCCACGAACAGCGTCATCGCACTGAGCGCGGTCACGTTGTACCAGCGATAAAAGCTGCATGGCACGGTGAGAAACGCAAGCGAGCGATGATGGCCTTGCCTGGTGAGGAATCGAGCGCATGGATCGCACGCCATCGAGAGCACAGACGACCACTTGAGGACTTGGGCGCTCGACTGGTCGTCGCGACAGTCAAACGAGAGCCGTCGACCAGCACGTACGAGGTATTTGCTGCCCAAGAACGGCATGATGGACGGAATCACGCCAAAGCTCATGGCGCACAGAACGAATTGGAACAGCAGCGGCTTCCACAGCTTGCAAAGGACGTAGTCGCGTCGATGGGTCGGCGATTCAAATCTCTACACACCCGCGACATCGGGACATGGACACACAGCGAAGTGGCATCGTACGTGCGGGGCGACCGGGGACACAAGGGGACTCTGACGGAACGGTCGTTAGCCATGCATCGACATGAGTCGCATGTACCGATTCGCACGTGGCGCTACTGGTGCTCCTGGCGCTACTGGTGCTCCTGGCGCTCTTGGACCGAGTCGTCGGCGGCGTAAACTTGCACTCGAACGCGCCGGGATCTTCCGCGTACTACAACCAAAACAGGGTCGACGACCGCCAGCATCATCACGACGGACGCACGTTGCTGTGCTGGACGTCGCGGGCTATCGCCGACGTGGCGAGGAACCAGTACGCGACCATCGCGACGGCAAACACCCCGCCTACGACACACGCGAGGGATGTGCGCTTGGCATGCGTTGTGGATCGATCTATACCTGCCCATCGAAAGAACGTCGACACAGACAAGCGCATCGGGGTCGCGCCAGGGTCTTGCCAAATGCCGATGACGCCAGCCACAACTCCACTCAACCCTTCGCCCGTCGACAGCGCACTAGACAGTGGTGGATGTGTGTCATGGAATGCCCGCGTCGCCGCCGCAAAAAATGAGGCTCGAGCAACGTGCCAGCAAAAACGCTACCTCGTAAACACTGGAGGAAACGTCGACACGAACGGGTAGTACACGACGGTCGTGGTCGCGCTGACGGCGCCGCCAAAGAACACGAGGGCCAGCAGGGCTATGGTATCGTCAAGCCAGTGCGTTTTGACGACCCCGTGGTGAATGTGGCGCATCAAGTCATCGCGCGTTGGCATCGACGGGAGAGTACTCACCGGTGCTATGCTCGTGGCCCCAAAACACGGACGTGATATCCCAAAAGAGCGACAGCAGCACTACACAACGCCTGCATGAGCTCGAGCCGTCGATGGGTGCGATCGTACCGCACGTCAACACGCCCAGCGCCAGCAGCACCCAGATCGCCGTGCGAATCGTGAAGAGTTGTTGATCGCTATTGAAGACCATGTACAACGTCGGAAAGATGTTCGCTCCTTGCAGCGCGACAATCTAGCGATCGAGTGAGACGATCTTTGACGCACGCGACGAACCAAGTAGGCGCTGATCGCTGCTTTTTCAGGCACACGCTGCACACGACGGGAATTAGAGCACTGCGCGCACATAAGCACGTTGATGCCGATGTACCTGGAAGAGCGCCGCCGTCTCAATAAACACACCTGGAGACACACACGATGCGCGCGCGTGTGACTGCAACGTCGTGCCGTGCAAGGAAGGATACATACTGTTTGTCATGATCCACGAGCCGAGTCCAAACACAATGAAGGCAGCATACACGGCAGCAACTTTCCACCGGGCGGGGGGTGTTTTCGACGGGGATGCGAGCAGCACATGTCGTCCACGTCCCTTCTCGTCGCCAGCGTCCTGCACGTGATGATGCTGGACATCGATGACAACGGACGACGCCACGTCTGTGTAGGAGGCAGTTCGCATGGCGGTCCCGTGGACAGTGGATGCACGTGATGGCAATGGCGCGGTCGACGGTCCACGCGGCAGCACCTGCAATTCTGCCTTGGCGGTCATCCCCCGCCAATCTTCGATTTAGCCACCACGCGGAATTGGGCGCGGTTATTGGGGTCGGACGGACCAATCAATTCGCTGGAATTCCGAAACGGACCAATCAGAGACAGGAATTCGGCTGACTCGGCTAAGCTAAATTTGGCGGCGGAATCGGGGGAAACGTCGGGAGATGGAACGTCGGGACGAGAATGCCAGGACGAGATGCAGTGTGGGGTGGGTGGACGAGCGGCGAGGAAGGACGGACTGCTGGTTGTTGGCGCGGATACGCGAGAGATCGATGGGACGGGCTGGCTCTCGGCGATCGATACGTTACGGTCCCACCCACACACCCATAGCTCACACCGTGAACCGGATGGAAGGCGTGTCATGGGACCACCGACGACAGTGTGCTGCACCAACACTCGCGCCGCCCTGTAGTGATCTAGAGCGGTCGGTCGACTGTCCGCCCAGCGGACGTACAAGATGTGAAGGGACAAGCAGCGCGCCATCTACTCAAGAATGCTGCCATCGGCAATGTCGCCGATGCTCTACACACACGGTCGACGATTGGACAGACGGGTTGGCGTCTTCAGCGACGGCGGCGGCGGCACCAAGGCATGGGGACGTTTGACCAGCGGGGGCAAGGGGTGGTTCTTGGAGCAACGGCCGTCCTTGACGTGAGTCAGCCAGGACGGCGGCGGCGGTGTCGTGGACCGGCATGCCGCAAGCGCATCACGCACGATCGATCTACGGGGACAGTCGCGATCTTCGTGGCAAGGGACGGTCGTACATGCACACGTGAATCCACGCGTCGAGTCGGCGAAACTCTTGCACTGCCTGGTCCCGCACGACGGCGACGAATTTCAACTCGACGTCCTTGGCATCGATCTCCGCGTGCAGGTCCCGGTGCTGTCGGTCCAGTTGGCGCACAGCGTGGCGTTGGCGGAGCTCCGCAGTCTATCGTAACAATGCATATTCCGTGTTCATGGCAACCGGTCCTCCCATGCACCTCCATGGCCGCGTCGAACGCGGCCCGCACGAGTTGGCGCTGTTTCATGGCTCGCGCCGCGCTCGGCATGCGGTCGCACGTCGCAAGGTCCGCCGACACTTGGGACGTCAAGACTTCCCTGTATGCGTTCCATGCTAGATCGACTGCTCGAAGCTGCGCGGCATGGGCGGCATCCACATTCCAGCGTTCGTGGCCCGCCCACTTGCGGAGGTGCGCCGCACGGCGGTCTCCGTCGAGGTCGGTGGCGGCGCCGCGACCACAGTGTAGTCCTAGCGCGCTGTCATCTGGCTCCGTGGCCAGTATGTCGTGTGCAGACGGGAACGATTCCGAGGCGTCCTCATGGCGCAGACACCGCCACAGGGCGTGTGCCCGATCTCGCAGCGATGCTGCAAATGTCATGCGGGCGCTCGTCGCGTCCAGATGCACTTGCTTCCATTCGCATTGAGCGGCCGCGCCGACGTGCTCGACGCGTTTTCGCGTCACTTGCGCCATCTAGCACAGCATCGTCAAACAATCCACCGTCATGGCGGCGAGAGATGCGCGAGACGATCGTGGCTCTTTCCATGGCGTATCGAAGCGATGGCACTCACCGCTGCGTCTGTCAGGTCCGCCGCATGCGCGTAGTCGACTGCCGTGGGTGTGATGGAAGGAAGTTCGAATGGAAGCCATGGACGGCACGGCACAGACGGGAAAAAGGATATCTCGACGCTGCCAGCGCCGCCTCTTCACGCTCGACAAGCTGTTGGATTGTCGCGTCCGCGATATGGTCGAGCTTGGTCGCCATGGCCTGGTCATGCACTACGGAAACCTGCTCTCGATCTCGACGGCGCACTACCTCTTTGCTTGCCCGCGTGAACTCGACGTATTTGCATACCTCTTCAAACGCAATCTACGTCGAATGCATGCGATGCCCGTGGACATGTGCGCGGCGGTACCTGCATCGTCGACCGCTCCTGGACCAACGCGTCATGCCATGCAGTCAGCGCTTCGTCCCACGGCGGCGCCGCTGTTGTGCCAGACATCGATACCTTCGGTTGTTGTCGTCGTTCGAGTGGTCGGATCCAAATTACAACAAAGCCAACGACACCGCATCTATTAATAGGGATTCGCCATGTCAAGGCCGCGGCAGCGGGGACCGCGCGTCTCCGATCGACATGAGCACACGAGCCACCGACAACAGAGACGACTGGTCCTTTGGCGACAACTTCTTCACGTCACCCATGTGGCCCCCTGCATGGGACTGCTGGAACCGTCGTTCGCTGTGCGAAAGTTGCTGGGGCAGGCATTGCGTCACCTTCGGTACGTCATGACTTCGACGTGGAAGGCTTCGGTGCGATGGCTGCGGCAAGAGTGGCGGTGGTGGAGGTGGCAACGGGTGGTGGTATTGCATTGAGTTGTCACCGCGACCTTTGCGTCGGTGCAACGCAATCAGCGACTTCGATGCGACTGTTGGAGGATCGCTGATGCCACGAAATCGCGCAGACGACGGGATGAAGGACGGAGGCGACGACGACATGCCATGCTGCAATCCACCCGCGCAAGCAGCATCGCTTGGCGGATCCGTGGAAGGAGACGAGCACTCGGAATCGTCCACTGAGGCAGACGTGTCACTGCACGAAGACGTGGATAGATGAAGCAAGGGACGATGTCGCACTGTCACGCGCAGTCCCTGCTTGGCTCTGGTTGCTGTGGCGATTTCGGGAGCACTCGACGTCGCAGGTGTCGACATTCTGGACAACACCATGAGGTCGATCTGTGTTTCCCGGATCTGTTCAAGGCAATTCTGCGTGTGCTTGACCAGCGGCAATGCTGCGGACGCGTTCAGAGCCTGCTGGAAAGCATCGAGCGCTTGGTTTAAGTAGTACACCCGGCATGTGTACAGAGACTCTTGAGGCGGGATGCGGCTCGCTGTCGAACGCAGGAGCTTTCCCTGCGCCATGAGATCTTCGTAGCTTGTCCCTCCTACTGCGACGTCGCTGAGCTTCCGTTTCAGAGGGACGATGGTGCTGCCGTCGCGTGGCTCGCGCCATGACGTCGACGTCGGCTGCCGCTGCGTCGGCCTTCGATCCATCAATTCTTCATGTGTGTATCCACGCGCCAATCACAGCGCGCCATCCCACTCCGATACCAAATTCAAGATATACAGTACCAACATTCTCGAACAAGTGATGGTCCACTTGCGCTCGAGTTGTGGGGGAGGGGCTGGCGCACGCCACTGTCGCACACCAGGTCAACCGACGCCCCCTGCGTCATGCAGCCGCTAAACGTCCCTCCGTGGCCTCCCTTTCACGTGTTGTGGGCGGCACAGGGCTGACGTGATGCACTCCGTGCCTAGTGTTTGTTGAACTCTGTGGTCGTCCCACTATTCTGCTTCGGCTTCAAGGGGCAGGGGCGGCGACCGGTCCAAGCGGTCCGGCATGCAGTTTCTCGGAGCCGTCCGTGTCGATGCTTGTCATTTGCACTGGGGCGGTCGCGAACAGCGTGATCGAGCCGTCGTGGGTGCATCGTTCGCGCGCGCGCGCGCGTTGGGGAGATTCAAGCGTGTTTCGTGGTGTGGGCATTGGCATGGCCTCGTCCTGGCTGCACAAGATGGATGTCGGTGGTGGGTGCATCGTGCGCGACGAATGGGCCAAGCCAACGTGTCGGGGTCGTTCGTTCGTTCGTTCGCTCGCATGGAACGATTTGATTGGTCCCTGGAATACGTCAGGCCTGTTGATTGGCCATTGCTGTGCGACAGTTACGAAGGAGCATGCGCCGCGCGGTCACTGACGTTCCGCGCCAGCCTGTTTGGCCCAGCATTGTCGCGGCGTGTTTTCCTGTTCTACTAGCCATCCCAAGATCGTTGTGGCGGCATGCAGAGCCGTCGTTCTCGAACGCATGGTCGAGCGACTTCTCGCATCGCTTGCGTTCGACGCAAGTCGTGTTTACAAAACGCCAACGCGAGTAGTCGTCCGTCGCATGCAACATGCTTCGTTACGGCTCCATGATCTGTTCGTACGCAGCATCCATGGACAAGAGGCGGAGCAGGTCGGCGTCGATGAGGATGTAGATGGGGAGGATCTCGGCTGCCACGAACAGCGCCACGAGCAGCATCGATTGCGTCTACGCGTCAACGGGGCGAGGAGAAACGAGCGCGCGGCGGCACATCGACCGGAATAAAAAACACCAACGTACCGTTGCATTGTTCTTGCCCACGTTGAACCATCCCTATGGGAATGCGGGAGTCGGACCGAGTTTCACACGTATGAAATGTCTCCATCGACCGCAGTACCCGTGTAAACGTGAGCAGCATCATGACGCTGTAGAGAATGCGGCCGACGCTCCATGCCATGGCCAACCGTCCAATCTGCCCGCCACATCACCACCACACACAAGCAAGTAGGTCCCACCAAGTACCTTGGCGAGCTTGGCTTGCGCATGGTGCGACTTGTACGGGAACCCCGATAGGGTCAGGGTCAAGTAAATCCACGTCGTCAAGATGATGAGCGGGAGGCAGAGGTCGGCGGCGGCAACGCAGTCTACCGAGACATGACAAACGAGCACGGGCGAGGTGGGGCGTACCAAAGATGAGCGTTGGAACGAGGGCGAGTTGGGTGCCCTCGTCGTTCTCGTAGATGCCAGCAATCGCAGATGGATCCGCACGGAGGAATAGCAGAGCGTAGAGCACGACTTGGGTCAAGTACAGCATGCCGTTGAAGATCAGGTAAAAGATCATCCACCGGCGATGGAACTGCTCGGCCGAAAACCAATGCCGCCGAGACGATTGGTACGTTTCGGCCCACAGCAACACCACAAGCAAGTAGGACGACACAAAGAGATAGTCGGGGAGGTTGAACAGCACGGCCACGACCTACGTGTGCGGATGGCGACTGTCGGAGTAGGAACATCGGCGCGGTGCTTTGATACCTTGTTGTAAAAGGACAAATCCGATTCCTCTGGCGCAGGGCCCTCGGGAACGCGCAAGGGCGAGCTTAGCGGCGACAGCCCCGACTCGGTGTGTTGAAAATCGAGAAAGCACAAGGTCGAGAATGTGGCAGCGCGAAAAAGACACCCAAGCGAGACACTGACCATGAGCAGCTGCGTCGTTCGTGAATACGACAGATTCTTGTTGCTACAGAGCTTCGAGATCCCCATAAACGTCATAAGCATGTAACAGAGCGCAAGGAAGTACGACGACATCGCAAGCCCGGACAGGAAGATCATCGCCATGGCGCTGCAGACTCGGCAGCGACGAAACCTTCGATCGCTGGGATCTCTCTTTATCGTCAATTTTGGCCAATCCGATGACGTCTTTGACAAAATTGGCTGAATAAAGCGATTTCATTGGCTGAATTATAGCCAATGATTGGGATTGCATTACGTATTGAACATGCCTATGGTGCTCGCGAGAAGGACGCAGGCAGCTTGCATTCGGCGCGACAACGCATGTGGAGTCGAGCCTGCGAAGAAGCGCAGGCATGACGCGTTGGTTGGGATCGACCGGAGCGCGAGACTCCATGCATCCATCATACCCACGAACCCATCCGTCCAACGGTCCCATCGAACTACGTCACATCAAGTCGTTACACTACCATCGGACGAGACCATCTCGACATCGGCGACGTGGAGGGGGGTTGCAGCCAGCTTTTTTGCTTTCATTGCTTTGAGCTGTCGAATGAAGTCGTCGCGCGGCACGTCACGGGCGCGGGGGTCCTGGGGGCGAGGAGCACTTGCCTCTGCCAGGACCTCGCTCTCGTGGTATTTCTGTAAGTCAAGTCGGCGGCGCAGCTCGATGAGTTTCGGGTGCGAAGTCACGACTTTGTGCTCGACTGCAGGCGATTCGTCCGCGTCGCAGGGACGGCATAAGGCGTATGTCGTGATGCTGGGCTTGCGTTCTAGCAGAGTCACAAGGGGCACGAGGGCCGCGTGGTACGGAAAGTAAGTGCAATTGTCTGGCACGTCGACCTAAGCGGCGCGGACGTCATGACGATTCGGTTGGTCCAGTTTACCTGGAACGGCGTCATGACAACATCGCAGCCGTCGCGACGCAGGTCGATCGGTCGAGCCAAGTACCCCGTGACTCGACCACCGACGTGGACGTGCCAGTTGAGCGCGAGATCCAAAAAGTCATGCCACCTGGACGAGAAAAAGCGTTGATGGGCCATGGCGCGGCCAGGAGTGTGTACCTTGACAGGGAATACATCGACTCGTCGCGCTCGATTGGGGGCAGGGGGTAGTCGTCGAAGAAAACGCAGTCAAATGCTACACGCATGCAGCTGTCATGGCGAACCGTGGGTTTCGACGACTTTACCTCCCAGCGACGGTAGCATCGATTGCCACGACCCTGGAACGGCGACAACATTGGCACGAGATTTGGACCACGCCTGCAGCGCAGCGAAAGACACGGGGTCACACTCGATGATCGTGTGCGACTTGGGGTTGTACGACTGAATCCGAGTTGCCGAATACGCCAACCCAAACCCAATCTCCAACACATCGGTGGCTGGTGTAATTCCAAGAGCGTCGACGCACGCCTCCATGTAATCTCGCTCCCATGCCATCATGACTTGCTGCCCCGCACAGCTCAGCAAAACATGGCGCTCATACATGTCGACATCGTACGCGTTGGTGGCGCCGTGCCGTGTCGCCATGATCGAATTTGACGGATTACCTCCGAAATGCGAAACAGAATGAAAATTGTTTCTCATAGGATATGAGTATATATAGTTATCGCCTTCGCGGAGGGGGGTGTGCTCGACAAAATTTACTACCTCTGTTTCGGTATGAAGTACATATATGTAACTTTTCGTAGAAACTCCAGAAGTCAGTCAATATCCGCTAAATTGAGTCATAATGGCATAAATGAACAGAGGAATCATCAAGGAATACGCCAGTATATTCAGATCATTTTTATTCACCACCAAGCCTGAGTAATGATGTTTCAAACATCAAAAATACAAAAACACAAACATAAAAAACACCGTAACTCCGTCAATTCTGCTCCAATCGATCTGAAACCAAGCGGAATCGCTTCCTATTGGCGCGTAGATATGCCTAGCGACCTTCAGAACAACGAAATTATCGAGGAGCTACGAAAGTTCTGCGATGCCGTCGTCCATGACGACCAAACGGTTGACGGATGCTCAGCGCACTGACATCTACATTCGCATGTCGCTGATCAAGGCTGACGGCCGCATCAAGCATGGCGAGCTCAAGAAAGTCTGAGATGAGTTCAAGGTCACCAAGGGAGCACTGGCCAAGATTTGGAAGCGCGCCTGCGAGACACGGGAGGTGGACGGCATGGTTGATGTGCGTTCTATGATCAAGGCGAATAGCGGGAGGCCACGCAAGCTGAACATGGCTGTACTCGAAGCGAGGATCAAAGGTGCCCCAGCCTTCCAGCACTCGACATTGCGCTCACTTGCCAAGGCCACAGGCATCCCACTGACATCGCTCTGGCGGCTTCTGCAGACAAGGGTCATGAAGAGGTGCACGAGCAGGCTCAAGCCCATGTTGACGGGGAAGCACAAGAACGACCGAATGATGTTCGTGAAGAGCCATCTGCGGACAACCACGTCAGGGAAACAAGTCTGGCACGACATGCTTGACACGGTCCATATCGATGAAAAATGGTTCTACGTGTCCAAACTCAACCGGCGTTACTACCTGTGGAGCGATGAAGACGTACCCACACGGAGGTGTCAGTCCAAGAGTCACATCACCTAGGTCAAGTTTCTCACCGCAGTCGCCCTACCAAGATTGGACGGCAGGGACAAGCGCATGTGGGATGGCAAAGTAGGCATGTGGCCCTTCATCAAGACAAGACCAGCACTGCGCAACAGCAAGAACCGCAAGCGTGGCGATGATGTCACGGAGCCGTTCATAGTGACACGAGACGTGTACCGGTCTTTCCTTGTGGATAAGGTGATCCCCGCAATCCGATCACGGTGGCCATCCTCGAAGCGCTCCCGGATCTGGATACAGCAAGACAACGCACGACCCCATGTCAGTGTTGACGACCCTGCCGTTATTGCCGCTGGAGCCAAGATGGATGGAATATTGCACTGTGTGTCCAGCCTGCACAAGTCCTGATCTGAACGTGCTCATCTTGAACTATTTCAATGCCATCCAGAGTCTGCAACACCAAATGGCAACGTACACATTGGAGGATCTCGTTGCGGCTGTCCTGAAATCATTTGACGAGCTGCAAGCATCCGTGCTTGACAAGACGTTTATGAGGTTACAAAAGGTGATGGAGAGCATTTTTAAGATGGGTGGTGACAACAGCTTTAAGCTACCGCACCAGAAGAAGAATGCATTGCTCAAAAAGGGTCCTTTGCCGCCTCAGTTGGAGTGCGATGACGACCTTAGCGCGGCGTTGGATGCAATGGGGGAAAGAATTGACTTTGAACGTCGTGATGACATTCTCAGTAACCTCTTCGACAATGGTTGTCAATTTCAAGACGAAGCCGACTTGTCCAATGTGGATTCCATTTGCTCTCAATTAGTTGGCGTCGAGTTAGTTTCAGATGAGTAATAAATGTATGATATCATGCAGTCTCTGGTCGTAAAACAGCAATTTTGAATAAAAATACAGGTCGACGAACCTTTTTATTTAATTGCTTTACATACTTTCATATAAAATTCACATTTATATAAAGGTGGACTTCATTGTGGAACAGAGGAAGTATTTATTATCCAGTAGACCAGTGACGTTAACACGAAATCACACTCATTTGTCGTGGGGCACACTACAATTTGATTAATTCCTGCGACATCACCTCACCAATTCATCAAGGACAACACGAGAACTTTCTCATTCGATCATTCAAGTTAAAGTGAGCGAATTTGGAAATCATCCAATAAAATTGCATTTCGTTCAGCAAGGACGAAGTATAACAACAGAATGAGACGTCATCACATTCAAACGTCACGAAATCAATATATCTCGAAAAAACGAATACAAACATTAAATTCATTTCGCGGAAAGTGCCGCCAAGTCAAGCATACTTTTCGCCAAAATTGGCGCGAAAATCGTTAGAGGTCTCCCAGGCAGGCCATTTTCAAAATATCGCTTCAATGGACAGAGTGGCTATGGATCGGGTCGCAGTGGAGAAATTCTTCGGCAGGTTGAAGACTCTTTGGTCCATTGTGAATGAGACGTACACTTGGAAGTGAGAGAGCTATGATCTGTACCTTCAGATATGTGTGGCCCTCACAAATGTGCATATAAAGTTTTCACCTCGCAAGGTGGAAGACAGCCATGAGTGAAACAATTATTTGAATAGCCTTATTTCGTCGAGTGAAAAGAAGGTAAAGCGTGTTGTTGCATTTAAGAAGCATCGCGAAAAACTCAAATTGCGGTTACTTGCAATTTGCCGAGTGGTGAAAATGTTCATTTTGATTCGGACTCTGAAATTTACCATAGTGGTGAAGAGAGTGGATTCTTTGAATAAGAATTGTGTAGCAAATTTCATATCATGAAGTTTCTCCAGCTTGACAGTCTGCTTCACAAAACGACTTCGATTATATACAAAACCACTCGTGACAATTGGAAATGACCGAGTTTCTTACGTAAGAGCGCAGCACACTGTTTTGTGCAAAGACATTTACAAATCTCATCACGAATCTCGAGCACACATCGCATCATACCAGTGACCCAATCATGGGTTAGGTGGTCTAGTGTACCAGTGCATGGTTTCAGCAGGGTTGGGCAAGACTACATTTCTATTTTCAGAGAAAATCAGGTTATAGGCTAAGAGCAAAAAGGACTTGATTTGAACCATAAAACCTCAAGTCCACCTCACTTATGTTCTCAGAGGATTCGCTGCCCGATGGATTATCGTCGGCATCGTCGTGCAGGGCGTAGTTGAAGAACGCTGCCGCAGCTCGGGCCAGTAGTTGCCATCGATCAGCCAGTACTGCAAATTGACTTGGTGCCATTGGCCGTCATCTCGAAGCGCAACGAGTCTACGTCTCATTCTTGTTCCACTGCAATCGCAAACTTGGTCCTATGCACGGAAATGGTTTGTGCACGGCTTTCACCCCATGGCTCACGGGGCTCGTCGTCTATGGGGAACTTGTACAGGGTTTCCTCCAGGACGCCGTCGGACACAAAGGCTAGTTATTGCAGGCAGAAGGGATTATTGTTTATATCAATGTTGGGATTTACACCACAGAATGCAACCGACGAGAAGTCAGGCGGGAAGAGTTAAACGTGGAAAAGCAGGGTATCAATCCATGTACCTCCAGCATGCTAAGCGGGAGC